ACATTCTGAGCGTCGCGTATACGCGACGCTGGCGTACAAAGGGCTAAGGAGTAAGCGAACAATCAGATTTCTTGGTATCCACCTTTTTTCTCCTTTTTTCTGGCTCATGTGTCTAGCTTTCAATCAAGTGTATCCATCTTTCTGCTTTCCTCTGTGCTTTTGCAGAATGGCCGCAAGTCACTGAAGTGGGCTGTTTTGAAACTACATCACTTGCGATCTTTGACTCTTTGACCTCCGACAACTCTGTCTACGGGGCGACAGGGGGTGTGCATCCTGGCAGCTGCGCTTACAGCTGTGCGCAAGAAAACATGCCCTTTTCCGGAGTTACTGGTGGAACAATGTGCTACTGTTTCGCAAGTCGAGATCAAATGACCGGTGCTTCCAACGCTACTGGATGTGATTCATGCCGTGGCTTTACGAGCTTTTCGCCTTCTGTGACCTGTGGTAGTAGTGCAAGCGACGATTATATTACCACTTACCAGATCACCAATGGTAAGTACCAGTCACCTTTTCTGTGTTTGCATGTGATTTCTACACTGTGGCTGTGTGCAGTGTTTTACCCCCTTGTAGAGCCAGCCCATACCTGAATGGATCAATAATACACTACACGATGTGTAATGTCCACAGACGGCATCGCAGTCAAATCACACTCAGAATAAATGAGCTAAGGGGCCGTCCATAATTGTCAATCTTTTAAACGAAACGAAAACTGTTTCGTTTATAGGTGGGTGGGTCGAGGACGAGCTCCGTTCTGAAAAGTCGATTGGTGAAAACCTATCCTTTCTGGCTGTCAATTTTTTTATTTTTATTTTTTTTTTTACTGAATACCACAGTACCATCAGATGCTGCACAGCGGGGGCGGTGGCATATTGGATGGAAGTGGGGGCGGGGCAAAAGTAACTCCTCTGACCAAAGGTCTCGGAATCATCGTTACTCCTGTGCGCCGATACATAGGAGAAAAGAGACATTTGCATCCAAGAGGGAAGCACCGGCTTTGCAAACGATAATGGGGAGAATTTGAGATTGAGATAGGACAAAACAATAGTAAAAGCAGTGAATATATTTTTTGGTCTGGGGATGGGGGGGGGGGGGGGGGGGGCGTTCCCTGAAAATAATCAATAATGCCAGAGAGCCCCTGATGACCAGGTTCACAAAAAAATATTTGAACACAGCTATCGTCAGGCTGGGTCGGTCCCGATGAATTAAAATTAATCTGTCAGTCACATGGGGTCTTCATGCATAACTGCCAGTTTCCGGGATCCAAATTGAGGCATTGTGGATCTTTTTACTCTCCTTTTAGACTAATTCCTGTAAACAAGCCGTATTTGGGGTCTTGAGTGTGTGGTCGTGAGGGATCGAGGGAGCCTACAGACGGAGTTGGTAGTGCTCTAGGGTCCGACCTAAAGTAGAAAGGAATTCGATTACAGGCATTTGTTCTCCGGATCTTCCATTCCCTGTCGGTGTGCTGCTGATGTCCGGTACACACCTGGCTGTGATCAAATGCCCCAACAATTTTATGGGTTGCCGCTCTTGCTGTGTTGTGTTTCTCTGCACGCGAGTACCGTACTCTCGTGATTAGTTCCCCTGCGGGCACTATCCATTCACAGTCCGTCGCAGATGGGGCTCTATTCAAATCAGGGCAATATGCAAGAGAGGATACAATTCTTTTTATCAATGCTGGTACATTTACACACATCAGCATAAAAAAAGAAGGCATAGAAAAACAGAGCCTAGAGATTTCTGTAAGTTTTGATGACTACAGAAACAGCAACAGGAACTGCGATTTTAATTCTGAAGCCACCAATCCAATGTTATTTGGTAAAACAACACCAAACTTGCACGTATGCTTGGTCACATCCAGAGGGGGCACTATTCCAGAGAGGGCTATATTTTTCTTTGACTCTTAGTCACAGGTGCACTATTCGAGAAAGGGTGCTAATCACGCGAGTGTGGTATGTGCGGAGCGGGATTTTTTTGTCATCCATCTACTCGTGACGGATGACTACCGTATTTTTCCGGTTGTAAGTCGACCTTTTGCGACTTAAAATAGAAGGAGAAAGGGCGGGGTTCGACTTACAACCGGGATTCGACTTATAGGCGGGAACTACCAGTATCTTACAGAAAAATGACCTGCACTGTATGCACGAGTGCACCATGTGTACACATTTTTGCCAGTTTATTGGCCTTTTTCAAGGATTGGGAAGTTGTACCCTCCAATAAGGAATGTTTACATGATTTTTTGATGTGTTAGTAGCAAGAGGTGGAAATCTTCAAAACTCAGAATTGAGACCTCCGGATTAGGGGGTTTGACCTATAACCGGGGTCGACTTACAACCGGTAAAATGCGGTAGGTGGATGGCAGGGCAATTGAAATAACGGGGAAACTGCATGAGTCCCCTGCAGCATGAGGCATCCAGATTGTCAACGCAGCGCACCCCACACGGCACAGAGTGCTGCCTGTTCTGCGAAAGTAGCTAACCCATGTCCCGTGTGTGCATGCCGGCAGACACTAGCTAGCAGGTATCTTGTACAAGATCATGATATGGAGATCAGCAACCTTGCTATTGTGCGACACTTAACTTGATGTATTGCCCTTTCCTATTATTTTCATACAGGCCCACCTGTTGGAGCTAAGATTACGTCCGCAGAGGACACTTTCGTGCGAAACAATGGTGAAACAGTGGAGCTGCTGTGTGAAACGTCAACCGAAGTAAGCTCTGCAGCATGGTATTTCAATGGAAGCATCGTTCCGGTTGGTAACCGTTATGTGGTGGGTAATTTGTCAACTAATAGTATCACGCTGAGATTCACGGCCAGCAGTGCTACTCAAGGGAATTACACTTGTGTAATGTCAAATGTCAAGTATGTTCCCGCTGGCAACTATATGTCTTTGAGCAGCAATGTCACGGTGATGGCTGGCGTGAGTGTAACAGGTAAGATTGCACGTGGTTGTCCGTGCTGTGATATGAGCTTATCTCCCTCTGTGTACGTGTGTGTACGTGTGTGTGTGTGTATGTGTGTGGGTGTGGGTGTGGATGTGGGTGGGTGGGTGGGTGGGGGGCGTGGATGTGTTCACGCGCATGCTTGTGTCTTCAAGAATTTCGGTCCTTCCTTCCTTCAACCATCTGATTGGTTGCTCGTTTTGCTAAGTGGCTAACACTACACCACATTATTAGGAATGCGGCGAGCCACACGTTTATGCCTATGGGAATTTGGAGAGGCTGAAGGCCACATCCACAAGCAGTGTGGGATGGGACCAGGCAAAATTGGCAGTGATTCTGAATAGAAATCCAGCAGCCAGGCTGCTCCTGAATCTGTCCAAAAAGGTCTGCCTGGCACCACGGCATCAGAACCAGACCAAAACAGCCTTTGAGCAGGACCAATATTCCAGCAGTTGTTTGCGCCTCAGTAACCCAGATATTGAAATCCAATGTGGTTCTTTTCTTTATATTGGAAGGGTGGCAATTGCCGTCCAAAGCCTGATTTGACTTGAATCTTTTCAAAACATTCCCGGTGAGGTCCACCAGACCCCCTGTAGTGTGCCCTTCGTCGACCTTGACCAATCAAAAGAGCTTCTGACGCTTGTGTGTACGCGCCAAACTGACCACTGGTGCAGTTGGCCAATTGACTGTCCCGGCCTCCCTGGATACCAGTTGGCCAGGCCAGCACCTTGAGAATGCAACTGCACGATTTCTCAGTTTGTTTGCGTACATGCCTTAGATGGTGACCAGCTTGTGCTAGAGGGTCTCCTGCTTGTCACAGCCACTGGTGGAGTAGGCTGCTTAAAAAAAGCTAACCGTTTGAGGGCTGTCTGAGAAGTGTACGCGATATTTCCGAGGATGTGTATGCTTGCCAGCGCACCCATTGTCCTTAACTTGGCATCCTTTGTCCGATTATCACAAAGAGCATGTTGAAAAGCTAAAAAAGTAGTTTCTTGAAGAAAGAAGTATCATTTGGCATAGCGAAATGCGAAACCACCAAATGCTGAAGAACAGAATTCAAATACACGCAGTTAGGAGAGTTTTTACTGTAATTTTCAAAGGCTTCGGCATCTGTGCTGCAACCCCGGAGGGGGTTTCCGGGAAACCTGGAAACACTGCAGGCTACGCGCCTGAGGTAGGCTTAAACCCTTTGTGTACCAGTCCCATCTCACATCATTGCACCGTAGCACGCTGTCTGGCGGCGTTCTTGCTCCAATCGACTTGCGGTTTGTTGCGCTGGCCAGCTGAAGTCTGGGTTAATATCTGCCATGCCTGCAGGCAGCTCGTTGCACCAATCTGACGTTTCAATTCAATCATGCATTGGCTTTGTCTGTATTTCGCTGGATTTATCGTCTTCCAGATTGGCCTGCTGTAACATCATATGGTTGCATCCTCTCTACCCCGGAAATCTCCGATTTACCCTTGCACAGTAATTACAGCGGCTTGCAAACAGCCCACCCCGGTCAGTGTGCCTTCACCTGTGCTCGTAATGGAACTGTTTTCGCTCTCATCAGTGGAACCAAGTGCACTTGCATCGATGCTCTACCTAGTACAGTACTGCTTGGCGCTGGCCAAACTTGCGGTGAACCTTGTACGGGGTACTCCGCTGATCCTATCCGAGGCTATGCTTGCGGTAATGGATCAGTATTTGCTGCTTACAGCATTCGAAACGGTGAGTCACGTGGTGTGCAATGACCCATGATGTTTACCTTTAAATGAAGTCTTGCTCGTGAATCATAGGAGGGACTACCTGTGTGTGTGTGTGTGTGTGTGTGTGTGTGTGTGTGTGTGTGTGTGTGTGTGTGTGTGTGTGTGCTTGGCATTTTGCGAAGCAGTTTCTGTGTGGTTAGCCTGTCTCAGCGGAATGCAACAATTGTGGGGAACGAACATCACAGTAATTTGATGTATCATTGAGCATCGTAGCCGAAAAGGCGCGCGGTTTGTGGGAATTGCCAGCCCCTGGAAACAGCCACATGCAAAAGGTCGGTGTTGAACAATTTTTTTGATGTCCCAGAGTGATGGATGCCCACTTGTCTGAGGAAGATACCGTATAGGTGGGAATAGAAGCCCCAGGGCACTACTTTTCCAGAAGACGCCCAGAGGGGGCTCTATTCGAGAGGGGCTTTGTTTTTTCAATAGAAACATCAATTTTTCACACCTTTCAAGATGATCGTTTCTGGCGCACGCGCAGTGTGTTCCCATTTTTGCATGTCTCTACGTTGACCCCAGAGGGCCAGAGCGATCCCGTACCTCCAATGTGGATCTTGTGATCCGCAAAGCACACTGTGTTGATCGTGCACACCGTACATGGTTCATGTACTGCACTACAACGTACGGACTGTGGGCGCTCGATTAGAGCCCTGGGCTTTTATTCGAGATGGATCTGCATTACTGAGAATGCCTCTGAGGGACGGGCTCTATTCGAGAGGGGGCTCTATCCAAAGGGGGGTCTTGAATTCGCGTGCGTACGGTAGTACACGTAGGCGCATTGGCATTGGGCGTACTTCCGGTTGCGTTTCATTTGCAAAGTTGAACTCTGGTCGATTCCAAACGGAGTCAAAGCTCCACACAGGTTGGAAAAGCGTGGATGTTCACAGGTATAAGTTTGACCGGGGTCTCTTGTGAGGAGACTACTAATATTTTCGCTAACAGAAGTGGCTTTTTTTTAGTCTTACGAGGCTCTGCTGCAAACGTGTTTTCGAGAGTAAAAGCCACCTGGGAGTATAAGCCGCACTCAGATTTTTGTCACAAACTACAGACATCTATTCTGTACATCACCATTCATTTGACGATCGTACTGATTGTGGCACTAGTATAAGCCGCACTGAATTCTTGGGGTAAATTGCGGGTGCTTAACCCTTTCCATGCCAGCATGTTTTCCTGTGTTGGCCACGCATTGTTCAGGCGCTGAGCTCAACTGTTCAAAGCTGCACGCGCACCTCAGAACGAAATTTATTGCTATTTCACTATACCTTGATGGATTTTCACGATCCGTGGCTTGTTGGAAAGATCTGGACAACAGGAAGCCATTTCAGGGACTCACAGCGCGACAGGCATACAAGGGCCACTTCCATCTCCTCTCAAAGTCCCCCTACCATGCCTGAAAATAAGAAAACGACTGCCTCTCATGTTTTCTTTCGTCTTCTTACTCATTGTGAACTGATTTTCACGATTCAAACTGCGTTGGAAAGCTGAGATTCAGTTGCAGCTGACTGCGCACGCGCTGTGTCTAGGGGAAATCCCCTAGCCCGCACGAAATCGCGAACAAAAAATTCGAATCGATCGCCAAAAATGAAATTTGCGCATTCTGGCCGTTCAATTTATCGCCGCTCGGTCATACCTTGTCGTATCTCGAAGATTTATATCCCTAGAAAGCTGAGCTCAAGACCTTTCCAGCGGTGTCTCAACCTTAGCAGTCCGAGATATTTTGACGGAGTTACGACAGTTTGTACACTCGTCTATAGCGCGCGATACACATGTACTGTACAGTGTACATTGTACAGTCCAGGCAGAACGCGTCCGTGGCCAATCGGCTCATACTAAAAAAACCCGTATACGCGTCCATGGCATGGAAAGGGTTAAAGTGCGGTTTATACACTGGAAAATATTGCGAGTTGGCTCCGGATACGCAATTTAATCCCTGCCAGAAGTACACACGACAGCACAGCACACTAAAGCCTTGTTTTTTCGGGCGGTCCGGCACCCGGCACTGCCTGTGGCCTTTGAATGTCCGTAAACCTGGCCTTTCCCATAGAAAAAAAAAAAAAAAAAGTTCACGGTTCGCGTGAGACTCGGCCAAAGGCCCAGTTTTCCGCATCCGCAGGAACGCCACCACCCTCTTGGATCAAGGCGCAGATGCAGCTCCTAAGCGGTGGGAGGTGAGTAGATCAGACCCACCACAAAGTGGTCAAAGACCGAAATCCCATTCACTGCATCCATGTTTCCCTCGTGCCAGGCCACGAGTTCCCAATTAACTGTGGGTCGCAGCACGGCTGGAAAAAATCCTTCCGCTTCCAAGCAGGACTTGAACCTGGTACCCTCTGTTTCTCAATCATGGTCTTAGACCATCCCACTATGCCTGCCTCCCATAGAAACATAATACATAATGTGATTTAGAGTTGTTGTTGTTTCAAATCTTTATTCTCACGATAGCCAGTGGACAATAAGAGATAATAGTGTAAGAGAGGAGAAAGAGTGAGGAAGAATTGGGTGGGGTGAGCCTAGGGATTAATGACCACTTAAGTGTACGGGCTAGGGTGGTCGCTACCCGAGCATACAGAGTTGTGCAACAGCAGGGATATCTGGGATTTGAAGAGAGTACGAGAAGGGATTTCGCGAAGCTGGGTGGGCAAGCAATTACAGTAATGAAGGGCCTTGTACAGGGGAGAATGGAGGCAGCGATCAGTCCGCAAAGTTGGCAAGTGCCAAGTACGAGAGCGACGTAAATTACTGACATTTTATGAAACACTACTAGCGTTCTTGAATAAATTCAAAACCGGCGGCATCAAAGCCGACTCTTCCCACCTGCTGTCCTTTGTTGCCAATCTTCTGGCATGTGTTCATGTGTGCGTGCATGTGGTGCGTGTCTTCAATCTTGTAGGACCTCCATTGGATGCTATGATCACTGTACCATCTGGCTATCTGCTTCGCAATGCTGGAGAGAATGTCAGCTTGACTTGCTCCATTGCGAATTACAGCGTAGCCACGTCTGTTGAATGGACTCTTGATGGTGTGGCTATTTCGACCCCATCAGTGGATGTGTTCGACAACTCCACATCATCTACGTTGACGGTGACAGCTTCAAGCATGACTATGGGCAAATACACGTGTACATTCAGCAATGATAACTTTACTCCGCAGGGTGACTATGTTGAATTGTCCAACAGTGCCGTGGCCAACGTTACTCTTAGCGTCCAAGGTGAGAGATCACAATACTGTTTATCACCAATGGATGCAATGAGTGGGATTTTCGGTCTTTGACCACTTTGTAGTGGGTCTGATCTACTCACCGCCCATCTGCACCTTAACCCTTTGTGTACTACAAATTTCGATCCCAAGGAATCGAAACTTCGAGGCCGTTTTTTTCTTGTCCATCTAAATGTCCAAAGAGTACAGACTGATCCACGTCAAGATAGAGTAGATTACGGATGTTTCCAAGAACACTTCGAATTCCACCAAGACTTGCCACGGGCTTGCTGTGTCACGGAAGGCACACTGAAGAATAAAAACAATTGGTGGACAAGCCAGTAGCTAGCTACTCTCATTGTAAAGCTTTCTTTCTGGCATTTTAATGTGTGTGTGCCCTCTCTTGCAAGTGTAACCAGTTTCTGTCAGTTCCTGAGCACTTCTGGATACTGGGCTATTGTTCCTGGGCTACTTTGCTTTGTGATTTCTTCTGCCTTCCTGTCATTCTATTTCTTTTCCCCTTTTCTTCTTTCCATCCATATGCGCCTTCATGTGGATGGGCCCAGTTCCCTTTTAATGTGCGAAGTTAGATACATACAAACACACAAAATAAAACCTTTTTTTAGAGAATGAGTGGTGCATCTCACAATTATGGTTGACAAGGATAGAAATTAATTTCTACAAAACTTTTCCAGACGAAAACAGCATTGTCAGTGGATAAAGAATATCGTACGTATTTCTATCTTTGTTAACCATATGTACCACTTTTTGTCCAAAAAAAGGATTTGCTACACTGAAGATTGTCAATCGAGTGCTCCAGCCCCATTTACAGTTTGGTGTGAAGCAGCACACTGGTAACGTATCCGCATGTAGTGCACTTTACCACGTTCTGGCCAGAGGAACAGCGCGCCTTTCTAGGCCGACTGCACCAGCATACTAGTACGCTGGGCAACGGACTGAATCAAACATTTTCTCAGCACCCATATCGGATTTTGCACGGGTTCCCCGGGCAACCCGGCACCCGCCCTATGTGCGCTCTGATAGGCACACGCGTCGTGGATGTCGGAAGGTATTTTGGGTGGTACGGTCAGCCACCTGAAGTACCAATTACTCGTGGGTTTGAGGTGGCTCCTCTGAAAATGTTTGAAATTTTGAGCCCAGATCAGTGCTGTATATTCATTTCCAGGGTACCGGGGAAAAAGATTAGTACACTGAATACTGTAGTGTCCATAGCATGTCTAACACCGCTGCGTGTACAGAAATACCAGGGAAGCTACGTGCTTGGAGAACATGGCCCTATTTCATGGCATGCGTTCCTGTGCAATGTGTGTTGTGCTTAGAATACCCAAGCGCTCGCTACGAAGAATGTGTGCCTGTCGCGAGTGCAGCAGCGAACTTGAGCACGGTGATGGGTGTGTATGATAGCACCATGACACAGATACCAGGCAAGTGCGCCTACGAATGTGCTCGGCAGCGACAGCCTTACGCGTGGCTTTCACCAAGCACGTGTCAGTGTTCAGAAACCCCACCAGCACCAACGCCAGCACCGACAATGATGACGGCAGCAACAACAGCAACGATGTCGACAGCAGGAACATGTGGAGATATTTGCAATGGCTATGCAGGCAGGACTACGCCATACAACTGTGGAAGTTCTTCACAATATGCAGTTTACCAGATAGCAAACAGTAAGTTCTACAGGCATGGGCATCTAGATGAAATGCCATAGGAGATTGAAGAAGGGAGGCACAGATACTATGTACATGTAGTACTTTGAGAAGAAGGGAACGAAAACGTTCCATACATATGATACATTTTCTAATTGGCTGGTGGTGCGTTCTTGCGTAGATGCGTGCGTAGATTAAACATGTTTTGTAATATGTTCAGCCTCCGTCCTAGTTTCAGGTTATGTGATATTGAACATGTTTTAATGGTTATCCATCGCAGAGTCCTGGATATTTGATAACTGTATTTTATATCTCTGGATCTTAGTGGGTGAGGTAGAGGGGGTGGCGGGGGTTGAGGGGGGGGGGGGGAGGGGGGAAGGGGGGGGGGGGTGCACACACGCATGGGTGCATTGGTTTGTGCTATGGTGTGTGTACGCGCATGTGCACACACTTGTGTGTTTTGATAGGCATTCATCTCTGTCCCTGTGTATGTGTATGTGTGTGTGTGCCTTGTCTGTGGTTTTACGCTTGCAAACGTAGCTCCGCCACTGTCGGTCTCGATTCTCCCATCCACTGCGATTATCGCGGTTAAAGGCAATGCCGTCGAAGTGTCCTGTTCTGCTAATGCCGGTAGTCGGGTTACTGCAATAGACATTCTGAAGGGTGGCACCATCCTGGCGACGTCAATGAGAACTAGAGTCAATCTCACACTCTCACCTGTCGACTCTATTAATGCTGGTCCATACATCTGTATAGCAAGAAATGATAACTTCAATCCAACAGGAAACTACAGCGATCTGCCCAACAACGTTAATGCAACTTTCACTCTCACCGTTCAAGGTCGGTCTCTGTTTGATCATTCAAGAAGGGATGTGCTGGTTGTATTGTGTTGTGCCCTTTCATCGTATGTCGATGTTTCTTTTTGTGGTGTGCAGTTAGATGCGGCTCAAAATGGACATTTTGTGTCCGAGAAACGTGTGCAAGACACATGCTGGGCAAGGAACCTGCTACAGTCGACTCCCGGTATAACGAACACCATGATGCAGGAGAATTAGTTCTGTATAGCCAAAGTTCGTTATAACAGAAACGCACGCGCACTATACAAGTAGCAAGTCATGACCGACATGTGCCCCATGCCAGTATGACTGCACTTGGTTTACATTCAGCCCTACAATATTTGTTTCGTTATAAACGAACACTGTTCACGATGAAGGGTCAATTTTGTTGTGTTCCAAACAGGGACATGGACAATGGTTCGCTAATCACAAAATTGGCTATATGCGAGTTCGTTATAAGTGGAGTCGACTGTACCGTTCAGTGTATCATTGTGCCGTAAAAATTAATGTTTAATGATAGCTTGCATGCCGTCCATCCGGTATGCTCAGACCGGTAGCAACCAAGAACTTGCTCCAGAAAAGTGCTTTCGGTTAAGAATTGTCCCAACAAATTGTTTAGATTAGGTCTTTATAAGGCATAGTAATGGTGAAAATGCAAGACTATGTCCAGTGCATTGCATAGTTATGTGTAATTGGATCGATTGAATTGTCAAACGCTTCGGCCGGACCGCTAGCAACTATGTCCAAGGTGAATTTGGAGAAAGATTCATCTCAACTTTTCTACATGGTTGTTATGCGATTTCACTACACTCATATCTCGGTTATCCGAACCCCAAAGTTACGGGCACGTTGGTGTACGGGGGGGGGGGGGGGGGGGTTCAGTGGAGATAAGACTACTCTTTTGTCACTTGTTGTGGAAATAGTGCTGCCACATGCCGTATCTATGGTCTTTCCCCATCAAAATGTATGTAATTGGCAGTTGCGCATATGTCAATATTACGGGCAGTACCCGATCCCCGATCCCGGACCGTCTGGATAAACGTGGTATGAGTGTATCGCAGACATATTCAGCATGCAGGAACAACTTTATGGTGTGATGGTCGTGGGTTTGAATTATTTGACAAGCGCAGTCAATAGGACAAGCCGAGATTTGTGTATACAGTAAAACCTGTGACTAACGACCACCCCTTGGGGCCAGAGAAAGCGGTCTTTAGTGGCAGGTGGTCCTTGGTTAGAGGGTTGCACAGCACAACCACATATGAATGGGAGACCGTCCGTGCCTGGTGAAGTGGTCTTTAGTAGCAGGTTGGTCGCTCGTCACAGTGGTCTTTAGTTACAGGTTTCACTGTACAGTAAAACCTGTTTTTAGCGACCACCCCACGGTGCAAGCACAAGAGGTCATTAACCCTTTCAGCACGCATCACGTATATGTACGTGATGGTACATGTAACTGGCCCACGGATCACGTATATATACGTGATGCGTACAGTGAAAATGAACGTACTCTCGAGACATCCGTGGTCGACGGATCTTATCCCTACGTGGACCAGTGACGTGCTGGATGAACGTCGACAGTTCTACGATAGTACTGACGGGCGCACGCGCATGTGCGGCTATGTACGCCTACATAGATGTCGCGTGCGAAATTATTTGAACAATAGAAATTTTGACAATTTGCTGTCATGGCGCGGCGTCGATATGGTGCAGACGATCTCGATCATGTCCTCGACCTTGTCGTACTCGACCCTGACAGTGATGTCGAGCCGACATTGTCTGAAGACGACATCGTTCTGTCGGAGGAAGATGGAGATCTGCCTGAAAATCGCGCAGGGTCGCCAGGCGATAGTGAAAATGAATTGGACGACGACGATGTCGTAGGAGACGCCGCGGATGACGATGTAGGTAGCGCCAGCAGCGACAGTGACGGTGAGAACGAGGGGATATCTGCTAAAACGCATGTGGAAGCAGTCGAAGCACTGGCTGAGGGCGACGATGGAAGTGAAGGTCAGTGTGCGTATGGATCTGAAAATAGTACTCATAATTTCAAATTTTCAAATAATTGTACTAAAAATCTTGTCACTCAGCTGATCGCTCAATGATCATGCACGGACATTTTTCCTCATTCACAATGCATGTAAATGTGTATTGTGTTGCAAATGCTTATCGTTGTGAGTTCCAAATTTGAATTATATTTTTAGTATTCATACACATGTACAACTCAATCAGCGGACAGAATTGTACAATGCAAATTATTATAATTATTAGCATTTGTGTGTGACACTGGGAACATCATAGGATTTGTCATGGATATTTTGTTACTGCAGGTATCTGGGTGAAACAGAATGTGGAACCTAATGTGCCGCCATTTACTGGCCAGCCAGGGATCAAGATGCCTCTCCCGGACGATCCAACTCCACTGGACTATGTCAAGCTGTTCTTCACTGCACAATTCTGGGTGATGCTAGTGACGGAGACAAACCGGTTTGCAAGAGCATACATCGACGCTAACGCTGAAACACTGGCCCGGCGCAGCCTCGCCCGCTCGTGGACACCCGTTACCGTAGCCGAAATGAAAGTGTTCCTGGGCTTGTTCTTGAACATGGGCCTTGTTCCTAAGCCCGAGCTTGACCACTATTGGAGCACAGATCCCATCATCGCCACACCGTTCTACAGCCGCACGATGCCGCGCGAGCGCTTCACCTCTATCATGAACTTTCTGCACTTCATGGACAACGCTGAAGAAGATCCCAACGATAAGCTCTCCAAGATACGGCCTCTTCTGACGTTGCTTCAGGAGCGATTCATGAGCGTTTACACTCCCAACGAGTACATTTCAATTGACGAGGAACTGGTGGCGTTCAAGGGAAGGATATCATTCCGCCAGTATATTCCGTCGAAGCGAGCACGCTTCGGGATGAAAATCTATGCGCTCTGCGAAGACAGCGGTTACCTCTTCAATCTGATTGTCTACGTCGGGAAGGACAACGAAACCTTCTGCCCTGAGAAGGTCAAGGAGCTCGGCGTGTCCGGTGCGGTAGTGCACAAGCTCGTTGAGCCGCTTCTCGGGAAGGGGTATAAGCTGTACGTGGACAACTGGTACACGAGTATCCCGATAGCCACCTACCTCAAGGGCAACGCAACGGGAGTGTGCGGTACCATTCGCAAGAACCGGATCGGACTACCGAAGCGTATAGCAAATTTCAAGGGGCTAAAGAAAGGCCACTTTCTGTACCGGAGCGGTGGTGGCATGATGTTTATAAAGTTGCAGGACACGAAGGAGGTGCATTTTCTGTCCACGATGCACAAGGCAAACGTAGAGCCAACTGGCAAGCGAGATCGGCAGCGCCGCCCAGTCCGCAAGCTTCGTCTTGTACAGGACTACAACAAGAAGATGGGTGGAGTTGACAAAAATGATGAGATGCTGTCGTTCTACACCGCTGCACGCAAGTCCCGGAAGTGGTACAAGAAGCTCGCCGTGCATCTGATTGAGCAAGCACTCCTGAACGCGTATATCCTGCACAGGAAGTCAAACCGCATGACGCACTTCGACTTTGTGAAGCGCGCCCTGAAAGCCCTCATCGCCGAAGGCAAGGCGGAGATGGTAGCTCACGCGGAAGCAGCTGCTGCAGCAACTGGTGGAGCCACAGGCACGAAGCGCATGGACAGCCACTTCCTCCGCTACATCCCGGCAACCGAGAAAAAGGCTAATCCGCAGAAACAGTGTGTTGTCTGCTACGGCAAGGGTAACCGGAAGGATGTCCGCACCATGTGCGCTGATTGCCTCGGGAATCCTGGGTACTGCATTCCGTGTTTCGAGGAGTCTCACCGAGGGAAATAGAGCTGTACTCGCTTGTGTCAGGGGTGTTCAGGTCTGGGCACCGCTTGAGGATCGTGGCAGGCTTTATGTAGTTGCTAGCTACCTGCTAGTTCACTGTAGTGGTATTGCAGCGCTCAGCTACTTTGTGTGAGCTGCATTCAATAATTTGTATGAGCTACATTCTATAATTTGTGTGTGTGTGTGTGGGCGCGCACTCGCGCGCGCCCTCGGGTGCGCTTTCATGCATGTGTCCAATAGAGTACATGAGTGTACGGGTGAATGTGAGTGCGAGAATTGCATGGCTGGATAGGTCTGTATAGGTGTGAATATGTGCATGCCTCTGCCGGTGTCTGTTCGGCAAGAACCTGTTGCCTAGCCATTCGTAATGCATTCAGTGTTTCGAGGAGTCTTACCGAGGGAAATAGAGCTGTACTCGCTCGTGTCAGGGGTGTTCAGGTCTGGTCACCGCTTGAGGATCGTGGCAGGCTTTATGTAGTTGCTAAGCTACCTGCTAGTTCACTGTAGTGGTATTGCAGCGCTCAGCTACTTTGTGTGAGCTGCATTCAATAATTTATGTGAGCTACATTCTATAATTTGTGTGTGTGTGTGTGGAGGGGGGGGGGGGGGGCGCACGCGCGCGCGCGTGCGCACGGGTGCGCTTTCATACATGTGTCCAATAGAGTACATGAGTGTACGGGTGAATGTGAATGCGAGAATTGCATGGCTGGATAGATCTGTATGGTTGTGAATATGTGCATGTCTCTGCCGGTGTCTGTTCGGCAAGAACCTGTTGCCTAGCTATTCGTATGCACATTGAATAGTTCCTGACGCCCCTCAGCTGGTTTCAGCAAACATGACCATATTTGGTCATCATCTACTCAAGAACAAAACCGTAATTATGTCAAACCTAGTTCTTACCATCATATCCACCTGGCCATTCTAGTATAAATGAGCTGCATGCTCTGGTACGTTCAACCCGTGTTTATGCGAAAATTCATCAAAAATACGTATATTTTGTACTCGTTTTACTGGCTTCTATTGACCAAATATGGAATTTTGTGTTTGGAATTGTTCTCACTGAAACCTATGCATTCCGCAGAAAAAATTGTGAGTGAATAGGACTACTTTTGGAAAATCACGAAAATCACTGGTTTTGGCTCCGCGGGTCAGTTACACACCCTGGCCGTGCTGAAAGGGTTAAGGCCAGGTGGTCTTTGGAACCAGGTCCCATACGGGTGTAGAGCATAAAATACTTTCTGTAGGCAAAGCACACCTCGCTCCAGTGCATGCAGCGCATCCTGCACTGTCACTTGTCACTTCTGTTGACTACATGCACATGCAGCGCGCACTTCGACCCTGTTGCTGTCAAACCTGACAGCCAAGATGGCACTTGGTACACAAAAAAAGTCGGTCGCTGGTCGTGCAAGACAGGTGGTCGCTGTATCCAGTGCAGTTTCTGTGTAGAACAGTCCGTGCATGGAAAAAAAAGCGGTCGTATAAAGCAGGTGGTCGGTAAACCCAGAGGTTTAACTGTACTTTGTTCATGTAGTATAAAATGGTGGAGACAATGTGCAATGGAACGATGAAAGTACGAAGAAAGAGTGTAGAGAACAATAACACTGTTTTTTCCTACTTTCCTCGTTTTCTTGCATATTGTCTCCACCATTTTACACTGCATGAATAAAGAATACCGCGAGCTCCCACGTAGGGAGCAACACACCCTTGAATAGTACACGTTAATGTTGATTCAGCTTGTCCTAATTATACGGTAATCTGTTTTTCCCTCCTCGCCTCGCATACCGCATTGCTTGCATACAACAACAGTACTTCTCAGCCATGCATAGAGATACCCCCCCCCCCCCCCCCTCTCCAGCATCAAAACACCCAATAAAGGCCAGCCAATGAGCAGATACGATAGTATCAGTTCCCTTATAGCCGACCAGTATTGGGCCACTTTGAGTGCGGCAGACATGTTTACTGTACTTTAACTATGAACATTTAGATGTATTTGCTATAAATTAATCCTTGGTTCTCCATTCGAGTCTATCCATGCACACTTAATGAGCCATCCTTATCTATACCTCGAAACGATCGTCGTACAAAACTGCTGCTTTTTACTGCTGCTTGTTGTCCATATAAGTTGTCATTGTCGAAGTACAGTACTGTTTTACTGCGGCGTTTGATTTTGCATGATTCTTTGTCTTTAGAGCCACGCAATTTGTGTGGTATGTTGCCTTGCATCCTTGAATTGTGGTTTGGCCGTATTGTCCAGTGGTCTTGCCAGTATCGTCGTCGACATACATGTATATCCGTCAATGTCTTTCACAGCTGAGACTTTCAGCTTGTGCCTGTCTTGGTGGCGCTCGCCTTCCCCCCCCCCCCCCCCTACTTTATTAGTAGAACTTAGAAGTAAGAACCAGGTTTTGGCTAGGCTGTCGGAGTGCGCATCCAAGACGTGCTTGAGCTGATTGGCATTTGTTGTAGAACGTCAATACCGTGTGTCAGTGTCGTGCAATGCTGTAATTAGTGCATGGGCTGATTGTCAACTACCTGGTGGTGTTAGTGGACATTTTAGTGTAACTTTTAGTTCCTTGGTCCTTTTCTTTGCTATAAATTTATCCTTGGCTCTCCATCCAAGTCCATCCTTGAGTATTCTGGTGTACGCCCAATAAAATGTGAGAGGAAATTGTCATGCCTTAATCTAAAAGTCTATGGCGAGGGAATGATCGCTGTGTTTCTTTCTTCTTTTCTTTGTCTGTGACTCTGTAGTTCCGCCCACTGCCACAATCTCAGCCAATCCTAATACTATCAGGCCAACACAATACAGTAACATAATTTTGACCTGCAGTGCGTCAGGAGGAGGTACTGCTTCAACGTATACATATTCCTGGTCGGGCCCAGGCATCACGGCGAGTATTGCCACACCTTCACTATCGTTGACGAATCTGAGTTACACAGGAGTGGCTGCAATGTACACATGCACAGTAACCGATGACACGATTGTAGACAAGACACAACAAAATGCTACGGCTACCTACACGTTCACTGTACAAGGTGAGAGCATTGTTTTACTTCTTTCATCATGACTATTGTAGTGACTACACAGTCACCAGCACACTCAGCCCATTACCACTAGCATGTCTGGTTTAGACAAAGAACTATGAAACTAAAGATGAAAGCCAAGAAATCAATATAATGATATGCCAGAGACGCAAAATGACTAGGCCATTCGGGGCTCCAGGTAGGCCCAGTTAGGGGCACCCGGTCACGCACTCTGGATGTGTGGGTAACCCCATACGCGTAATGTGTATACTCTTCGATGAAGCGCCGTGCTGGCTGGCCACGATTGTGACGAATTGGTCGGTCTGGCTCGGCTGCATTTGGCTGGACATTACACATAATTATGGTCATCAGTGTCGACCAGTGGTGCTGACGGTTGCTGGATCAAATGGTGACGATTCCTTTGAAGCGTTGCTCCAGAAGACCCGGTGCAGGCATAAGGCAGCAATCTCTCCTCCTCTTCTCCTCCATGCGCACTCAAGTACCCATAGCCCTTTTGGTTGTTTGGGATTTTGTGTGTGTGCAATGGCTACTGAGAGTAGCAACGTGTCAGCTGAGAGCGCATGGCGGAGAAGAGGAGGAGAGATTCTTGCATTCTTTCATGATACGCACATCTTGTTTCAACTATAATAATTATTATACTTTTTGAGACGAAAAGTATTATCGCCAGGAAAAAGCCGTCTTATGTTACACTTTGTGGAACATTCACCACAATGCACTGGACGATCGAATTGATCTAGGAAAAATAAATGAGGCAGGGTGCAACAATGACAGGGAACACGGCGTTTGATTATACGCATTTGTATCGGTCTTTTCTAGATGTTTGTAGGAACATTCACCCTTTGGTTCGCGCTGTACAAGTGTTGATGGCATCCTGCCGATGACTTCAAACAGCCGTAACTCAATCTAATAATAATTATTATTACACTACAGTCAGACCTCGCTTATCCGATCCTCGTTTATCCGGATCCCTCGCCGTCCGGAAGAAACTCGCTGGTTACCGATGTGCAGCAAATGTAATGCATACAACATAACCGGACCTCGCGATCCGCATACCGGTGCATGATTTTGTGTACAAACTGGTTAAAATGTGCACAAAAAGCTTCATCGTATCCGGTTGCATATGGATTGCAGTAGCTAGAATCAGGAAGTTGTACAGGCAAATGAGGTCCTTGACCTGCTGGGTGCCTGTGGACAGCACTCAGTTGCATGCACTTGTCATTTTTCTCGGTTGTTTTACATACTGTGCACGCTAGTTGTACTGCATAGGACCCGTCTACATGTATGTACGATGTCACTGCTTTTGACATGCCACATGCATATACAGTATGTGTGTTCAGTTATCCGGTTCCCTCGCCTATCCGGATATTTTTGTGGAAAACAGATGTGTGCGGTTAAGCGAGGTCTGACTGTATCATGAAAATCAAAGTATGTGGGTTGTAGCGGAAATCCTTATCTTTCCGTTGATGAAATCCTTTTCACAATAACTCCAAAGGTTGTCGAGATATTACACTCGAAAATTCGCTGACAGCACTTTTCTTACTCCGAGCACATTTTCCGGTATGAAACAGGAAATTCCTCTTGTTCCCAAGTACAAGTCATCAAAATATAACTCTATTGTTTTTGGATGGTGAGCCAATTAAATTATAGTGAAAAAGGAGAAGGACAAAATGTTACGAGTTATGACTAACTGTCCAACAATAAGATCTGGTTACGTTGGTGGGCAGTTAGTCTTAACTCGTAACATTTTATCCTTCTCCTTTCTCTATTGTCTTTCTTCGATTGCAAGAATTGAGGGCCCATTGGAAAGCTGAGAGGACAAGCATTCCAACAATGTGTCGTTTGATATTGCGCAAGGAAGAATCAATGAGCACTGAAGAGTGAAATACGGACATGATGAATTTTTTTACAATGCGTGATGGAGCACGGCGATGGATGCGCGATGAGCACGGCGATCGTGGACTTCCCCGATGAATCATGGTTGCCTTCGCGCATGGGAAACGGATACAAATTGACCCGCTTGACTTTGAATCATCGTTCTATGTTGAGTAAATTTTCAGAACCAATGTAATTTGGTGATGTGGCTACAGAACCTGGCTCAGACGCAATAGGGCGGCTCTCAAAAGGAATGAAAGCAATTCTGTAGCTCATGTTAGGTATATAGTGGCAATATTCGGAGAGAGGAGATCTATAGCTTTCCAAAGAGACCCAAGACGAAGAAAGCTGTAGTTTTCATATTATTTTCACTCACCAAAGGCTGAATTTCTTCATTTGGTCTCATCGATGAGCTACAAATCTCCTTTCTCGCAATTATGCAACTAGATGCCCAACAGGAGCAACAGAATTGCTTTTATTCCATTTGAGAGCTGCCCTATTGCTGCCCTCTTGTGCCTCAATGAGATGCTGTACCCACATTGACAATTTTCTTCGGTTAAAGAGTGTGGAACTCCTCTTGGGTTGGCCGACGGCGGATTTTTTCGTTGACGTCACCTTTTCTGGAGATCAGGAATCGTACCGTACGAGGCATAACCTGCGAGTGTATGGCCGCGTGAACTCGGCAGGGTTCACTTAACTTGCAATGCAAGTACAGTAAAATGCTACACAAGGGAGAATATGATAAGAAATAAAATGTTTTGAAGGCGGCAAACACGAACTCGCGAAGAAAGTCGTCTTCAAGCACATGCTTCATGCGTGCTTTCTTCTGTATGCGGCATAGGTTCAGGAAATGGTGATGTCAACAAAAAATCTGCCGTGCACCTTACCATTACTGTCCACCAATTTAACCAGATCATATGCAGTGGGGTAGTGCGACAACATGGCACAGAACTGACAAGCAGACCGTATATGATCTGGTTACAGTGGGGGACTGTTAGTCATAACTCGTAACATTTTAGTCCTCCCTTTTATCCGCGATTATATTGGCTCAACATGTGAGTTGAATTAATAATAATTACCGTATGTCCGCACCTTTAAAGCCATGGCGGTATCGTTATTGGATTATAAAGCCAGTCTCAGTTATAAAGCCATGGGCTTCATAAAATTAATGAAATGACGTTGAAGTACGCTTTGTAAAATGAAGGAGTAAATACTATGCTAACAAACATACAGCCCAGCAGGAAGGGTGAACAAGTGGATTTAGATTGAAATTTCTGTGTGGTTTTTGACTTTTATGGCATGCCATAGTGGGTGAGTCATTTTGCTTATAAAATATCTAGGAAAGCGAAAAGCAGCGGTGTTTCGAATATAAGGTAATGGCTTTAAAGGCGCCGACATACGGTATTATTATCATTGCCTATCCTTGTTGGTATCAGGGTAATGAACAAATCAGATTCGGTAGCTTTCACTCAGTCCTTCCAAAGCGGGAGTAATGGAAGAAAAAAGAAGCAGGAAAAAGGTCCTCTTTTCTTCTTATAAATTATTCCTTGGCTCTCCACCCGAGTCTAACCATAGAAAAGTACACATTGATCCTCGGTACAAAACAACCCAAACACACTGTATTCAGAAATGGTCCATAATTGTTGAATACACGAACCCCGCCCGGTAGACTGTCTCGCAGGTATGGATTGCAAGCTCTTTTGTGGTGCATGTTTCCAATGCTGTTAGAAGAGTTACGGTCTGACGGGCAAGTGGGTCCCTTTTCCGTCCATGCCAGTATGCTGTTCCAGTGCGTACGTCCAAGCCTGCCGCAGCCTCCAGGAACTATGCCTACTTCATCACTCGCTGTCCAGTGCAAGAGTGCAAACAAGCAAACAAAAGTCCCTTTTGGTGCCACCACAACCTGGTGTGCACTTGCTTGAGCATATCACCGGCATGTGCACTTCTAGGCATTCATGCCATAATGCTTTGTGTTGCGCCTGTCTTTGTGCATATTTACCACCCTGTGAAGATGTGAACGAGTGCACGCTATCATCTGCTGACGGGAATGTTCACAATTGCAATGACAACGCAACATGTACTAACACTGCCGGCGCACACACCTGTGCATGCAACGCAGGCTACACGGGCACTGGCGTTGACGCAGATGGCTGCACAAGTAAGTAGCCACGCCCTATTCGTGTATAGTGACAGATGGTTCGCACACGCGCGTACGAGCACACCCCCCCCCCCCCCCACACACACACACAGAACAAGAGCTGTATCAGGGTTCTAGCCAAAGGGGTGTAGAGGGGCGCAGCGCCCCCCCCCCCCCCTACTCTGTTTGAGCACCCCCCTGTGAAAAGCGCCCGCCCCCTACTCATTTTCCGATTTTCGTGTTTTTCATGCAATTCAACGAAAATGCAGCCGAACGTCACTATTAGATGGTTTATAAAGGCACATTTGTCTGGGGCTGAGTCGGGGATTCGGCCCATACGTTGCATTTGGCGTGGCAAGACAGTATTGGAAAGTGGAAAAATGGGATTTATGGTAACTGTTTCCCATGCCCCCCCCCCCCCCCCCGCCCCCCCCCCCCCTACTATTTTACCTGGCTAGAACCCTGTGCATGATCCCTCGAATTTTCCTGGTTTCGTCTCCCTGTATTTTCTGTTTCTTTATTGTCCTGAATGGCACGAGCGAAGTTTGCAAACCCACTTACATTGCGAAGGGGCTAATAATAAAATATAATAATACCTGTACTTGGATTATGGAGTGGATGGTGGCTGCCCAGCTTGTGCTGAAAGTATGCTGTAAATATATATTCACCAAATCAGTGTGCGTACATTTGAGCCAGCACAAGCGAAAAGGGACCTTATCCGTTTTTTGGGCATTTTGAGTTAGCAACGGATTCTTGTAGCCAGACAACGTATGAATCAGGTAAAAAAAACCGAATGAAAATCCATCAACATATAGCAAAGTTACGGACGTTTAAATCAACACTGTTTTCACCAAAACATCGCACATATTCACGAATAATCTTTGAAATGCGTAAATTGCAATAATTTGGCCATACAAGCCTTACAGAAGCCTTCGAGTCACCAGCAGAAGGGCTGGAGGATACAGTATACACACACTACTAGGCAGTTGGCATAAGTTTCACTGTGATGGAATTTATAGTGCCAAACGTGACGTCTGATGGGCCATCACGTCCTTCCGTACCACGCAGGCACGCCGCATTTTAGATACAAGAATAATAGAATGTTCTGAGGCATGTAGCTTTGACACAGCACCAGACTGTAGCAATTATCAGGCTCAAAACGTGTGTTGCACTACGCAAGTTTGTCATTCCTCCGGCACAGGCGGACACAGCTCATCCTTGTAAGGGTCTGCCACAAACGGGCGGATATCCTTGAACAGGTACTTCTGGCGTTCTTGTGACAGACCTGCTGGGGGCAACACTTGGGGAAGGCCTGCTGCCCTCACCTGCTCAGGTGTGGTCTTCAACAGCTGCACCTTGGTTTCCATCCCATCCACAAGCTCCATCACTGCCACTGCTCCAGGTTCGTCGGATGAGAACCGGAAATGATGCTGCTGGCTGATGTTGGGGACTTTTTTGAAGAGCCGGGCGAGGTACGTATCCCACTCAAACCAGGTCACATTGCCAGGGATCCGTCGATGGATGTTGGAGGTAGCGCTGGAGTCAACCACATCTGCTAACTGCTGCATGCTGAACACGTCAGAGCGACGGTATTTCCTCTTAACCAAGCCAAACATACCGTCGACTAGGCATCTGGTATGGCCGGTTATCATAAACGACAATGTTATACTTCTGTGCAAATTCACAATGCAACGCCATGCAAGGTAAGCTATAACAGACTTATTTTTGTTTTGTCCTGCGCAATTGTCTGCATGTAGGTAGCAGTCATACTCATCAGCAACAGAAGTGGAAAAATAGTCGTGCAACAAAGAAATTACAGTGTTCGGATTGTGGCTCTTCTTGCCGTCAGGACCGATGGTTTCTGCCTCGTCAATAATGTAGTTCACCTGTTGGCCAACGCCTTCATTACATACACCAAACAAGTGGACTTTCCGAGGCACTTTGAAGTAAAGTGGTCCTACCTGTCTGGCCGTATACGGCAAGCTGACGCTCTGAGCAAAGTCAAACGTGTAGTGGGACTTTGTTAACGGCGGGCGATCAGCAGGAGACATGGCTGAAACTTGCTGAAGCTCAGCGGCAGCATCTGTAGTTCTCTGCCGGTAGCTTTCTCTCTCCCTCTGGGCCCTATGAACATGGTCAGTCAGCTGAGTGCATGCGGTCGTCTTCTGCTCCTCACTCCCAGCCGCCATCACGTTGCGCCGCAGGTCCTCGCACACAGGGCAAACATCCATGCGAGCCGTCATGAACTTAATATGCGGTAATGTCTGGTGCCAGATTGAGCGGAACGTCGACAAAGATACAGACTTCTTACCCTCCTTGTGGCAGCAGTCGCAGAAGTCTCCATGCACGGACTTGTACGTTTGCGACGCTGGAAGGAAGATAGGTGGCGTGTCGTCTCTGCCACGGAGCGGCGCAGGATGTGGAATTCCAAACACTTCCGCGTGCCCAGTGATGTATTCCACGCAGTACTTCACAACAGCAAACTCCAGGGCATTGTGTGGCCGTTTGCCTGTGTTGCCGTGCACTAGTGGCACAAGCCCATTCTTCTCCAGGTGGCTTCTGTACCGTTTCAGCCTCTTGCTAGACAGTGCGTACACGTGACGGAACGCACCCACACAAACAGTCAGTCCTTGGAATTTGTAGGTAAAACGCTCCCTCTTGCGCTTCTCTCCACTCTCAAAAACTGTTTCAGGATGACTCAAAGCTTCAAGAAGGCCCAGGACCACCAGCTCACTCTCGTGCGACTCCATTTCTCTCATGTTGAGGATCGACGTCTCGATGTCAGCTGGGTCAAATTGCTGCAAGCAATTTTTTGAACATCCGCAGTTCTCTTTTTGACGAACAGTGTCATCCTCCTCTGCCGGCGCAACGGTCGCTGCACAAGCTGCTGCGGAGCTAGCCTGCGGAGGTTTGGGCTCTGCCTTTCCGACATACAGCTCTGCTGCTGCATCGACATCCACTCGCTGCTCAAGAAAGTGTTCACCATCGTCATCGTCATCGCCATCGCCATCATCGTCGCCGTCGTCAGATTGAACCGAAACATCACTGGCGTCCGACTCGTCTTCCTCACCAAAAACTTCAGCCTCATCCTCTTCCAGGAGAGATTTCAGCGCTTCGTTGACAGTGAAACATTTACGATGGCTCATAGTGAAGAGCTACGCCGACCCAAGGACTTAGCAGAAAGCGAAGACGGCAAGACAACTGCGCTGAAACTGTGAAAGCAACTTTTTGTCTTTCCGCTCGCGCGTGCGATTCTATTCAGCGTAGGTGTCGACGTGTCACGGTCGATCGATTTTGATCGCCGATCGGTGGTACGTGGGTCGATTTAGCCAGGGTTTTCTTCTACAGGAGCTGTAGGATACTGGCTCTCCAATAGAAAGAATGACTGAGCTCCAAAGAAGTCGCGTATCGCCAAAAAACGAACAGTTTCAAGTTCGATCCGAACGTGACAGCTGAGAATCAGCTGATTCACTTCAAGTGCGGTTTTCTCAAAATCACGTGCAGCAGGATAAGGTCCCTTTTCGCTTGCGCCGGCTCATTTAATCCTATCTAAGCAGCTCGCTCGGCGATTCCCGAAACGTGGCAACGATGTCCAAACCCGGCTGGTTCTCATTGCATTGCCCCCCCCCCCCCCTGGTACAGGTTGATTGCCTTTAAATTGATATATGTGATGTACTGCTACAGAGGTATCCTAGTGGAAAAGATCTCATTATTTTGCCTGTAAAGGTAGTAGAAATGATATGCTGCTGTGTTGCTTTGTCTGTTCTTGCCTTAGCTGTTTGCTTCGAAAACGGTTGTCTGAATTCGGGTAGTTGTGCTGCCCCGGATGTATGCTTCTGTCACAACCGCTACTCTGGGAAAACCTGCGAGAACTGTAAGTAGCAAAAAAGCTGTAACATGACTTGTTATCAATGCATGTGAGAGAATGGCTATGTTCCGAAAGTTAAAGAAGAGGGAGATGAATGCATGGACAGACAGACAGAGAGACAGACAGACAGACAGACAGACAGACAGACAGACAGACAGACAGACAGACAGACAGACAGACAGACAGACAGACAGACAGACAGACAGACAAACGGACAGACAGCTAGATAGATAGGAGGGGAGGGATGGGGAATTGGAGGGGAGGGGGGGGGGGGAGAGGGGGAGTGTGAGAGCCAGGGGGAAGGAGAGGAAGAGGTAATAGAAAGGTGTGACAGGGTTTATATTTTGTTTTGTTTGATGTGCTCCATATGCTTAGTGTACCCCGCCGTAACCCAGGAGAGATGTGCATCAGGTCCTGCTACCGCACTAACAGCTGAAATGAACTTTCCTCTAGTCGGTTCACCTACTGTAGACCCTGGTTATTGTGCTTACCTGTGCTACGGGGAAAATATGACATATTCCGCGATCAACTACGACACACAGGTATGATCTATGCCTGCACCATTTTGATGACCTATGCCTGCACCATTTTGATGACCATGCACTGCACGACATGCATGTGAGTGTGTGTGGGATTGTGTGATTGAGGTTAGAGCTATACAATAGCTGGATTTAACCTTTCGCCGGCTTGTCGATCTCACGAACCTGTTAACGAGGTGTTGGCGCAAGCTCCGTCATCACCATCAAGCGAATCGTCGCCAGGTTGAAACGAAGTTTCGAGTTCTGGGAGAAGTGACGCGCCAGCATCCACCAAAATACAGATATTAGAGTGGGTAGAAATCTCAACAGGAGAACTACATGCGGCGCTCAAGAAGTCAAAGGGAACGTTCGAACATCAATTCACTCGGCACAGTCTTCCAAGATACTAGTGAACGGGTGAACTCACTTGATCGGGAAAAGAAAATATTTTGCGGAAGGACTTTTTCGACAGTACGCATCACTGGCACTATGGTATGGTATTTTTATTTGAATTCACCAATCGAACAGGCATGTCTGCCTGCTTGCCGGGATGGCCAGAGCCAACCACGGCTCCTACTAATTGATGAATAAAAAGAAAACTTCTTTCTATACTACAGTAGGTTTGAAACGTCATACAGTTCGGTTCTTGATCGAAACCTTATGAATCGCCCTGTATAGTACTTGGCTCAACTGTATTTTGTTATACATTTGGAACTCATACTCAATAGATAACCTATGGATACAGGCCAACCCTCCCGGGTTCCCCAGGAAAATCCCGGGAAATCAACTATACTCCCTGGATCCTGTAGATTTCAAGCAAACTTCCGGAAATGTCACATGTTTGTCTGATATAGAATGTTCCTGAAAACTCCGTGGACTCGCCTCGAATGTTCCGGTTTTTTCAAAAATATGTACGGTGCGCACTTGCACTGCGAACTGTGCACGGCACTTTGTAGACCTGACCAGCCTAGCCTGCAAAATCTGCACTGACGGGCGCGCTAGGCAGGCGCCACCTGATCGAACTGCAGTGCAGGGTCGAACGCCGTTGTACGCAGATTTGCAGAGTCTATGCCGTCGAACTTCTTCTTTTACGGGAAGAGCTCTTTTCCACTTGTTTTCGTGCCATCCAGGGATTTTGCATGTATTGTCAAAGGATTGAGATTTTGGTGGTTGGTCAGTATGCTTATGGATAATGGATAACCACAAATCTACTTGCACGATGTTCAGTATGCTCAGTTATTACTCCCCTGGGAATCGAGTTTCGAATTATCAGTGTTACAAACCACAAGTCCTCAAGTGTGTGTTTGGGTAATATGTGTGGGTATGTGTGTGTGTGGGGGCGTAGGTGTGGGTATGTGTGTATATATGTATGTACACGTACGTACGTACGTATGTATGTGTGCGCGCGCGCGCGCGTGGCTTCGATACCTCACTCTTCTCTTCTCTTCCTGTCGGTGTCTCCCGCTTCTGGGCCGGCATGGCCCATGCTTCATGCATGCTTGTTCATGTTGTTGTGATATGTAAGCACATGTATGTCTCTACTGTGTTCTGCCGCTACTCGGGCTTTGGCCATGACCACGATTATTCTCCTCATTTTCTACTTTATCCATTCTTTTCTCTTTTTGCTAAGAGCTTTCTTCTCGCCAGTGACCACGATATATCTTTTCCTTTTTCTTCTTTTTCTCCTTTCTTTCTTTTTTCTTTCTTTCTTTCTTTCTTTTTCTTTTGCTGAGAGCTTTCTTTTCCCATATTTTCTTTTCACCTGTGTGTCCTTTCCAAGTTTTCCCATGCCTGTGTTACTTGGATCACATTCGCTTCCTTGTCATTGGACATGTTCAGTCCGTTCGGTTTGCGAATTCAAATAAACACAACCAACCAACCGCTGGAACGAGTTGTTGTACGACGGTGAGAAGCCCTTCGGTGGGGAGAATGTTACAAGCACAAGTCCTCAAGTGTGAAAGGCCTTCTCGCTTATGACATTGTATTCGTTGCAATGTTGTATCTCGACTCTGCCGTACTGCTGATGTTTACTGCATGGCATACGCTATATGCGCTATGTGTGATTTACTGTATACGCTGTCATGTTATGTTATATATGTGTATGCTTTTCTGATATACGCTGCCCTTTGCATGCTATTAATAGCGGGTGGTCTTCGACTTTAGTTACTATATTCGATCAAGTGAAATGTACCGTTAAAGAGTCAACAGTTGTCCTCGTGCCGTGTGGTCGTTCGTTCCTGGCACTGCAGAGGGTTCACAACAATCAGTAGTATACTGTACCCGCCTGTCTGTTTGCTTGTCAGTCAATATCTATGTGTCTGTGTGAGCGTGGGTGTTGATTTCTGCCTGCCTGACTCTTTGACTGTGTGCCACCCCCCCCCCCCCCCCCACCCGATAGACTACCTGCCCCTTTTTTTCTGATTGAGGAATCTAAAGACTAATTTGATGTGCTCATCTGTTTTCACTTTTGCTTGTGTTCTTGCATCATAGGCAAACTGCTATTGTGGCAACACCCTCGACTTCGCAGGAGCGGCCACAACTGATACTATGTGCGGGAACAAATGCGAAGGATATGAAACGCGGACAGAAAACTATTATTGTGGTGCAGTGATGAAATATGCTGTGTACTCATTGAATCCACGTAAGAACACTTGTGCGAATTCAGTTAGAGATGTTGTTTTTAGATCAATTTTTCTTTCCTGACAATATCTAAACTCACTGTGTTTTTTTAGGAGATCTCTCATGTAATGAATACATAGATCGAATTTCGCATTGTTTCCACACACCCATGGGCGTAGGTCAGAAATTCATTTTCTTGAAAGCATCCACCGCTATCTCTATAGGTTTACGAGCAAATCCAAACAATCCAAAAAACTCACGGTTCGTTTGAGAATCGGCTGTAGGCCGAGTTTTCGGCATCCGCTGGAACACCACCACCCTTCAGGGATCAAGGTGCAGATGCAGCTCCTAAAGCGGTGGGAGGTGAGTAGATCAGCTCACCAGCAAGTGGTCATAGACCGAAAATCCCATTCACTGCATCCATGTTTCCCTCGTGCCAGGCCACGAGTTTCCAATTGACTGTCAAATCCAACAATCCAAAAGGAGGATGTAACATCCAAATCGCAGAAGAGTAAAGACACACCATCGCCACCATTGGGTTGTGTATTGCATTACTGAACTGATTTTAATCATCAAACCTTGTGAAAATTGTTAATGAAAGCTGTCAATCAATAACTCTTTTATATTTTCCTTACTGCCAGCAACATGAGGTTCTTCCAGGTATATCACGGTAACCTTGTGTCCTGCATCTGGAGCTTCCTATATTCGAACGAGAATGTACATGGCGAGTGCAGAATAAACCTCAGTATTCGTTTGTTTTGAGCACAGGGCTGAACACCTGAAGTGGCAGAGCGTTTTACACAACAATACGAACAACTAACTCGTCGTGGCACACTCTTCAAAAGCATTGCAACTATTGTAATACCTAGCTGAATTCTCGATGTGAATGCTCCAATGCGTCATCAATCACTCATCATGTACACCAGAGAAATGGTGGTAAAATATCCCTGGCGAAAATGGTAGTAAACATGACTGGCCGCATAGCCCTTTACAAGCTCCAAAATGCTCCGTCCCTCACGACCGTCATTCGTTTGTGCATTGCGTCTAGTCAATGCATGGCTGGTGTTGTCAACTTAGCTGGCTGGTGCCTCATTTTGCGCCGGTAGCAAAGGCGATATAACGCACCGACGACTGTGCTCAGATTGCGACATTCGTTTCGTCCCTCCTGGACTCGTCAGGCTTTCTTGGATGTCTTCAAATGGAGCTTGGTGTATTAGAATAATCTGAAGACTTTGTGAGTGCATGCCGACTTTACCCCGGCTGAGCAACAGCCTGAATGTCGAACTATTTTGCTTTCCGCTGAGCTGCAAGCACATGTTCATTGATCTTGGCTGTGTGCGGACACGCATCGTGCACATCACGCTGGTACAGCAATGGCTGGTCGGCTTCTGGGCACTTCTGCCAGCCACGCGGTCTTTCCAGCTGTTTCTCATTTTCGCACTTCGGTGTCATGCGCTGGGGTTGTGTTCCGGTGACATTCTGTCAAGAAACGTTCATGCTTCGCCGATTTTTCGAAAGCACTCCACGCTTTTGGAGGTTCAAAAGCCTCTCAGAACAATGGATGACACCACTGTTACCCTATGTAGGGGATAGGTCACTGAGAGGTTTGTCGAATGCCGGCAGAAAGATCATGAAAAGAACACAAAAAAAGCAACGAAGTATTGCTTAGCGGAGGAAGTATAAGGTATTGTAAACTTTCCTTCTTCAGTTTATTAATATTGTTCTCTGCTCACTGTCCGTTGTCTTATTTCCCTCAGTACCTCCCCTTCAAGTTATGGTGACTGCGACTAGTCCGACCGCTAATTCCATGGGAAGATTTGTTGACGGCAGTATTGTTACATTGACTTGCAATACAGCCGCCCCTGATGCGGCATTTACCTATGCCTGGGAGCGGAATTCGGTCTCAGTCCCAGGAACGGCAAACACATATGTGCTTACCATCAGCAACATCAATGATGGTATCTACACATGCAACGTAACCAACCCTACTGTTGTATCTGCTGGTAATTACACTCTCCTCAATAGCAGATCTGGACAAGTCAGCCTTACTCACCAAAGTAAGTAAATCAAATGCCACATGGATTACTTTTTTTGTTCACACTCTGTTCTGTGTTAACCCTTTGAGGACTACCACGAAATACCTGGAGTCCTGCAGGGCAGTGCAAAGGCGCACAACAGCCCCAGTACGTCCTAGTATGCGTTTGAAAATTATCTAATTTCACTCCCCAGCTTTGGGATTTCTTCAACTTGGTGTCTTTGGTCTCCTCTGTTCAATTATCACCACTAGATAAATAGTAGGAGCAAAAGAATCGCCTTCATGCCTTCTGAAAGGTGCCCTTGTGTGCCTGGGCAAGATACTGCAACCACAGCCACAAATTTCATTTGTTCTGAAGTTTTACTCAACGTACAGTGGTGATTCCAAGTCCTGCAGATTTCTGAAGATCAAGTGATTCACTTGGTCACACTACGCATGTGCCATTAAACCATGAGTCACAGGGAAAGTCCCTGTTTGAGCACTGCCGCTCGCCACACGCGGAGTTTGAACACAAATTCAAGCGCATCCGTTTTGTTCCCTTTTCGGTGCTCAGTGATTTTTCATTGCGCCGTATCAAACGGCACACCGTTGGAAAACTTGTTCTATCAGCTTTCCAACGAGCCCTCACACTTGGCAATCGAAGAAAGTACAATAGAGTTAGCGGTTCGACAGTAATCTATATGCGCTGCATCAACTGCAAATTTGGAAACAAGTATTCTCGTCCTTCGTCCTCAAAGGGTTAACAGCTATGGTAGTACAATGGCCTGCCTTTGGTTATCATTTAAATAGAGAAGAAATAAGGAAGCATTCGATGACCAGTCGTGTTTTCCCCAGATCATGCCACATTTCCCCAATAAATGTTCACATCTCCGTTACTATTACCTCTCCAATAGTAGTACAATAAAACCTGTAACTACCGACCACTCCTTGGGGCCACAAAAAGCGGTCTTTAGTGCAGGTGATCTTTCACTGGCTAATCGTGCTGTAAACATTTTACTGTTGGAAAGTAGTGCGTAAGGAGATTGACTTGTTCAGCTGAATTTTGTTTTTTCCACACGTATAGCGTAAGGTTCTCGATTATTCTATGATTATACTGTAGCTCTATAAGTTGGTGTATTTGACATTTTTCCATTATTCCCTGTATTTACCCATGATGAGAAGGGAACGAAAACGTTCGGTTACTAAATTGGCTTACTTGATTGTGTGGATTGCGTCGGTGCCGACACCTTTTGTTTCAAAATAATGAGAATTGCACCTCTTACAGGGGAAGTTCACCCTAAAATAAAAACTTCAAAAATGCACTGATTCCAATGGTGAAGGTCCCAGGTTGATCGGAGCAGCCGTTCCCGAGTTATACCAGTTTGAAGTTGGCACTAAATTTGGTGACATCATGATGACGTCATTAGCTTGCCCAGACTAGGCCAGATTTATGACATCAGAGAGATAGACTTTGTATGGGAGTAGATGGGGAAATTTCAGTATTTTGGCTCTCCATTGTCCCAAAGAAGTCGGATCTTTTTCAAACTTCGGTATAGGACACGTGGCACCCTACCGGTATCCCGACTGGAAAACATTCTAGTGTGAAATTCATTGTTGCAGAGAAACAAGAAACTCGGGTATTGAGCCAATAATAAAAGGAGAAAGGGAAAAGGACATATGGAAACGAGTTAAGAGTATAGTATCTAGTTACAGTGGTGGAGAGTTACTCTTAACTCGTTTCCATAGAAACAAGAAAGAAATTTGTTTTTCCCCATCTATCGTAGGAAAGCAGGATTCATATTCTGGAGAGTCGACAGTCGTCGCAGAGCAACGGTGTCGACGCTACAAACAAAGCAAAGCGAACATGTTTTTCATTTTTCGTCCACCAGGTGCAATGGGAAGAAAAGCACTGTGCTCCCTGCTATTTTTTAGTTCAGAACTTGACAGAGCAGGGCAATGGCACCGAGGAGCAAGAAGAGTGGAAAATGAATAGCAATAGCAGCTAGCTTTTGAAATTCGCACCATCTCTGAAACGCCTGTCTGCATGCGAACAGGTCGGCAAGATGTCAAAACTCCAAAACGCAGAGATGTCGAAATCGTCACTTCGCGCAACAGAGCAAGATGAACAAGTTCAAAATAGAAGTCATTCAGCCACTGCAGAGCCCAGACCTCAACGTGGATGATCTCACCTATTCCAGCAGCCTCGACGATGTGTCCTTGGTCGCAAAGGAGAAGGCGAGTTCTGGTCGTGGTAGTCGGGAAGCGCTGGTATAACTATGATATCCTTCGGAGGGAATTTGATATGTTTCGCATTGCCTGTGTTTGTTGTTCCGGGTCATCCTCGAGCGAGAGCGGAGGCAGTAATGAGTACCAGCGCTGCAGCGCTACCATGGTCTCCCCCGAGATGTTGGAGAAGGCATTCTGGTAACAATGAAGGTGATGAGGGACGCGGAGAAGCTTATCCGTGACATACGACATCGCGTCGATCGACCTGCCACTTGGAACGGTTTCAACGGTGACGAGTCGAGCGATGGCGACCCAGACTTTACTCTCACTAATCGATCCTGTCGATATTGTAGATTTTGTTTCCGCAGGGAGTACATATACAGTCATGGTCAAAGATATCTGACAGACAAGTCAAACTTAGCTCCCCGTTTTCTTTTCTATACATCATTCACCGCCCCATCCCAGGGCCGCAGTAGCACCATGAGCATTGGCGCTGTATGCGGCACGCGCGTCAAATTCTTTGGCCACGACCTTCGACGTATAACGTAAAGGTAAGGCCAGACCAAGGTGAACAAATGCATGGCAATGGTTGGAAATGCCGATTGATTGGTGCTGATTTGTCATTGTTGTTCTCATTCTGTCTCCTATGGTATGTAGTGATTTCATCACAATCTCTCCCTGTGAAATTGTTTCCACTTGCAGCTCCTCCTACAGTCTCCATTACGATTTCCACTAGTACATATGTGACTGGCCAGACAGCAACCTTTACCTGCATAGCAGCGGGTGATACACCAGTTACGTTCAATTGGTATCAAGGAACCACTATGGTCAATTTTAACAGCCGTATCACGACCATGGCGGGTGGTAATGAAAGCAAGCTGACGATCAGCAACTTGGTTAAAGGCGATGCTGGAAACTATTCCTGCACAGCAACAAACAACTTGATAGTTGTTAGCAGCTTGCAAACTTCTAAAGCACAACATACTGCAATTGTTGTCCAAGGTGAGTGAAACCTGCAATTCATTCAGGGGGAGGGGAGGGAGAGGGAGAGAGAGAGGGAGAGAGGAGAGAGGAGAGAGAGAGACACAGAGAGACACACACAGAGAGAGAGAGAGAGAGAGAGAGAGAGAGAGAGAGAGAGAGAGAGAGAGAGAGAGATGAGAGAGAGAGAGAGAGAGAGAGAGAGAGAGAGAGAGAGAGAGAGAGAGAGAGAGAGAGAGAGAGAGAGAGAGAGAGAGAGAGAGAGAGAGAGAGAGAGAGAGAGAGAGGAGAGGGAGAGGGAGAGGGAGAGAGGGAGAGGGAGAGGGAGAGACGGAGGGAGCGACGGAGGGAGCGACGGAGGGAGCGACGGAGGGAGCGACGGAGGGAGAGACGGAGGGAGGGAGAGATTTAGAGATGGAGGGAGGGAGAGATTTAGAGATGGAGGGAGGAGGGGAGGGGGAGAGAGGAGGGACGGAAGGAGAGAGGGACGGAGAGGGAGGGAGAGGAAGCTTTGTTGCAACTCTAAGTTACTTGTTAAATCATCGTTTTTGGGCAACTGACGGCTGCGAAATAAGCATCCTGAACATAAGAAGGAGCAAGGTGAGCGCCTTTAAAGCCATGGCCTTATATTCGAAACACCGCTGCTTTCCTAGATATTTGAGATGCAAAATGACTCACCCACTACGCCATGCCGTTAAAGTCAAAGTCCACACAGAAATTTCAATCTAAATCTACTTGTTCACCCTTCCTGCTGGGCTGTAAGTTTGTTAGCATAGCGCTTATTCCTTCATTTTTGCAAGACATACTTCAAATGTCATCTCATTTATGAAGCCCATGGTTTTATAACTGAGACTGGCTTTACAATCGAATATACCGCCATGGCTTTAAAGGTGCGGACATACGGTAATTGAATGAATCAGGTGCAAGCGAGAGGTGAAAATCGAAGTCCAGAAATACACCGAAAATTTCTTATTTTACAGTGCTTCGGCACATATTAGCGCATGTGCTTATGTCCGGACATAAGCACATGCGCTTATACCGTGTGCACTATTGGTAAAGCACTCGGGAGCTGAACATACTGCTGAGCATGATACACCGTTGTTTAGGACACAGAGAAACCGTTAGGTGCTTCTACCCGAACATGTTCACACAGCAAAAAATTCTATTTGTAACAATTGTCACTTATACGCACATGCGCTTATATGTGGGGAAGTAGGGTATGCTGTTTGGTATGTGCGTGCGCTTGTGTCCATGTGCGTGTGAAACATCTTTTTTTTCTAATTTTGTGTGTGACTTTGACGAAAGCCGGTTGAAAGTGTAAAAGAAACGCATAGGCATGCTTTTTAAGAGAGCCTGTCGAGAGCATGCCAATTTCAAGGTTCCCTTCAGAATATTTTCCGAGGGCTCTGCACAGTCAATCTACACCCCAAAGGAAACTTACCAGCAAATTTTGGGCGAAATTGGGGAGATCGACTTGCGCAAATTTTCTGGTTCTCTCAGACATGCTCTCTTAAGGGCTTTCCAGAACGTGATGCGCAAACTAACCCTTGGTGGATGATGCCGGCAGAAATTTATTGCAGAATTTGCTAAGTTTTCTGGTATTCTTCATGCATGTTTGGTACGTGGATAAAGAAATGGAGCACAAGTCACCGCTATAAGGTTTTTATCGTTCTGCTCATTTCACTCATTCTCGAGCAGAATCTACCAATTTTCCGAGCCATATCCACCAAGTCCTGGCGTGAGCAGTTGTATTCGTTGCTAGGCATGAGCTGGGTACTAGTATACAGATTCCTCGAGTCCAGCGTTTACCGTTTGTTCATAACTGACAGATCCTGTTCGCATTATCTTCATTGTGTGTGACTCTGCAGTTCCGCCCACTGCCACAATCTCAGCCGCTCCTAGTACTATAACGCCAGCACAATATAGTGACATAACTTTGACTTGCAATGTGGCAGGAGACATGCCTCCAACTTTGACATATTCCTGGTCGAGCGCACTAACACTCCCAGCCGTTACAAATACCCCAACTCTATCATTGATGAATTTGGCCTACACAGGAGCGGATGCAGCATACACCTGTACAGTAACCAATGGTCTGATTGTAGACGCGACAAAACGAGTCGCTACAGCTACCTACACGATCAGGGTACAAGGTGAGAGAACTCTTACTTACTTTGTCATGCACACTTTCAACTGGGCAATTCTTAGGCAGGGACAATTGCTGGAGAAGTGCAGTTGATAAAAATGGGAGACAGAACTATTATCACCAGAAAAATATATTTCTTGTAGAACCTCTAGGAATGACTCAACAAACCTGCCTAGTTCTTACTTGAGAATATGTGATTATTCAGCTCTCCAAACTGCGTTTTTGGATGTTCAGAGAGTGGTCATTATTAAAGGGGAAGTCCGGTGAATTTTTTTAATTTCAGGGTCCGTAGAGTTCGGGGCGCTGAGTCGAATGGTTTTTGTCCGAGGAGGTTGCGGTCTACGGTTCGTGGGTACGCCCGATCGAACATGTGCAAATTTGAGCGCCCATCACCCAGATCCAGGTGATGACGTCACAGCGTGCAGCTAGGTGGCCACACCATCTATTTGTGCACAAAATGGCCAATTCGGAGAGCGCGTTGGATTCAGAAACCGTTTGTTGCAGCTTCTTCGGACCAAGAGCAGTCGACTCAGCGTTACAAACACTACGTACCCTGTGATTCTCAGCTCGGCAAACCGTGAGATCCCGTACTTTTTTTCCGTTTCCACGCTGGCCTCTTGTAGACTCCACTCTAGCCCTGCGCTGCTTGCATGCTACAATGTAGCTGTAGTCAACAGACTCATCACACACGGAACATGACTACTCCCGCACTGCCGCGCTGGGGTAGTTCTACAAGACTCGAGTCACAAGACTCAAGAGACTAGTCAAGACATGGACTCGTCATGTCCAGTGTACTACTCTCGTATCAGTCGTATTTACACTCATGTAGTCAGGGAACGTGCGTTTCTCCTTGCCGGTGCCGGTGGTTGTGCTTTTAGAAAGACAATTTTAGTTCTGCGCATGGAATATTCCAGCCTCATTTATGCCACAACGATGAGTCCACAACCTTGACAAGTAACAAAACAGCGAAGAGCTCCTGGACCTAAACCTTTCAGATCCTGTATTGTTGCGAGCCTTGAATCGAAGAGTCGTGCCCGTGGTTCAAAGAGCCTGCACTGTTCTCCAATGAGCAGTCCGAAATATGCCAAAATCACATCAAACTATCACCATGTGGCAGGCCACTGGAGTCCAAGTTACATCTTCGGGGTCGCTTGCACCACCTACTATCTGTCGCCAAATTATTTGAAATAGCACTGACACTATTGCTTTCACGCACTGCTTTTGACTCCTTTTGACCTAGCTGCACGCTATGACGTTGCAGAGGGTGTGGCGCGGCCGCATCACGTCATGGCGGAGCCCCGAAACTCAGTTTTTCAAACGGAAATATTTCAAGAACGCTTTGGAGACACGTGGGACCAACACCATTCGACTCAGTGCCCGAAACTCTGCGGACCCTGAAATTAAAAAATTTCACCGGACTTCTTCCCCCTTTAATTAATTCTAAGTTACTTGCGTGCAGTCAGGTTGGCGGGCTGTTTATCAGTATTCCAATTTGCACCCGAACTACAGAGTTTGCACTCTGCCTCTGGGTGCATGGATTGTAAGTTCGTTGGAACTCTCTTCCTATAGGTGCGCTGCATGTACTAAGGTTACTATCAGCAATTGGAGGTATGCATCTCAGATGGCCGTCACCTTTTTGCGGGGCAACTTACCCCATACTTGGCAGGTACAACCCGTTATAGTACATTTCTGAGTATGACCTCACAAAGTTCATGACCTTTTATGCAGAGTTGGTATCAAGATGTGTACGGTTGTAGTGGACTTGCCCCGCAAAACCTAATGGCGGGAAATTGATGCATACGTCCCATTGCAGAAGTGTGCTGGGCGTCTTGGCCAGTCTTAGTTTCTGTGCAGGCTTGCATTGCGCTGCTGGCACCTGAACTTCAGGTACTTTCTCTCCTGCTATGCCACCGCCATCATGCAAGTAATGTTCCTGCTAGATCGTTCAGTGTTTGTCAATGTCGGCAAGTGGCAGAGTTGTGTCCGCTAACAGTACCGGCGCTTAGCACCTTGCGTACCTGCACCACATCTCAACTAGGTCACCTAGCATGTACCTAGTAGCAGGGTTGGAATGTGATTGCCCAGTGTGTCATCAATTCTAGGAACTGGCCCCTGGCCGGTGAGAAGGCATCCTTGCCTGTAAATCTGATGAAGTAAAATAAAACAACAACAACAACAACCATGCTGCATCCGCTGTGATAGCTGGCGGCCACGGAGGCTTACTCCACCCAAGACAATTACTAATGCAGTACTATGGTGGGGTGTATAGCTGAGAAGAGACTAGACTGTGTGTAACAGTGGGCTATTCGAGGGCACAGATCATGCAATGTAGCCGTGCAGTGCTATCTGTGCAGTGTCGTGTATTTGGTGGCCCGGAAGAATCACAAACCGTCTTGCTGTCACTGCCTTGTCATGCCATTGATGGCATTGTATAACCGGTGTGCTCTGTTTTGTTCCTGCCTTTGTGCATATTTACTACCTTGTGAAGATGTGAACGAGTGCATGCTACCATCTACTGACCCGAATGTTCACACTTGCAATGACAACGCAACATGTACTAACACTAACGGCGCACACACCTGTGCATGCAACGCAGGCTACACGGGCACTGGCGTCGGCGCAACTGGCTGCACAAGTAAGTAGTAACGCCCTACTCGTATCTGGTAACAGACGGTTCGCACACACACACGCACGCACGCACAAATACGCACACCGGCACACACACACGTGCGTGCGCACGGGCACACATGAACCAGGTCATATGTGGGCCAGCACCAGCTAAAACATGTGTTAGAGTGAACATTTTCAATTTTTGTTTTCTTCCAGATAATATTTTTTGGGGACCTAACGTGACCTCTTGAAGGTGGTACGGGGCACCAAAGTAGTCTAAAAGTGCCCCAAACACCGCATTCAAAATAGAAAATTGCAGTTTTTGCACAGTCTGATACACAGACAAACTTAGTGGATTTTGTGGAGGAGCACAATACAAAGGAACTAAAGATGATGACACAGACTTGAGCATGTCAACGACATCAGTTCTAAGTCATGGACCAAGTTCTTTCTGGAACGCACCACGATGATCTGGGCGGCGTTGCACTTGCATACTCTTTCGATTCTGGCAGTGACACTTTTGATCGTCGCCTGCGCCTCCGAGACTGCGTCGGACGACTCATGAGAGCTGAACGGCACGTAACGTCGTAAGGCAGTTCGTCGCCTAATGTATTCGCCAACAACTTGTGCCTCTTCCCGACTCGGGACGACAGGGGCGATTCAGCTTCGCTGTCGACATCAACATCGCTGAGATTCCAACAAATATTAATTGTCATGGTCACTCTGCAGACCGGCCGCCACGGACTTGCTGACAAATGACCAAACTCGCGCCATGCACAGCGATCGTCTGGCCCTGCAAGCTGCTCTAGTGTCACTAGATACGAACATTGTCAATCTTTGCTCGCCAGCTACTTGAACTAGACCGCCAAGCAAGTGTTTGAACAACATTTGAGAAGATATGAATGAAGCGCAGCGTGAATGTGCTCAACAGAACATTTTCATTCCGTTGTTTCTCAACTTTTTTTTACGAAACCCCAAAGACATGTTTAAGCTGATCTCGGCCCATGTAACTTTGGCTACATGGGCAGTTGCATCGGCGTAGACGGCTGGACCAGAAAGCAGCAATGCCCTATTGAAAACCATTCCACTCCACATCATTAATTCTTTCAAGCAGTCATGCTAACATTGTGCCCAATGGTGGCCTGAACTAGCTTATATTGAAAAATACGCAAGTTAATATGCAGTTGGTTAGAATCAGTGGAACTGCCCTGAAGAAGGACAATCCTTCGGTGGCCAATCCAATTAAAATAAAGAAGGACAATCCTTCGGTGCGCAATCCAATTAATATAACAAAATGAGTACAACTAAAGCCCCACACCTTGCAAAACCTTTAACAGCTACTGGATGATGGCATACCGAGGTGGAACGCCATTGGTTTATACATCATAGATTTGCTGGAGTTAGGTGTCAAGTCATTGAATGTAACCCTGCCAAAATGCTACTTTAGAAACCCGCAACGTGTATTTAAAAACAAAAATGGTGTCACCATTTATTGCAAGTGGTATAGTTATTGATATGAATGTTCAAAATCAGCTAAACAACAACTAGTTAATGCAACCACAGTCGTGGCAAGCGAAATCAGACGCTTGCCAAAGTCGCCATAGGGGACTTTGCCCGCACCTTTGAACCTTTCTTGTGAACCTTGACTGCGATGAGTACTAGTTCTGTGATGTTCGGAAGGACATATTGGATCGCTTGTAATTTTCGTATTTTGTGCACTATTGCTATGCACTTCACGGGTGTGATATTTATTTTGAGATGCAAGTACGATACGGTGCTCGTTATGCGTGTTTGTCTGATACCGCGATATAAATTAGTTGCATACTATACCTTACTAAAGTTACTATAAGTCACTCACTTGGTTCCTTGCATTCTCGCTCTCCGCAGCAACTCCCCTGCGTTCTATGTTTTTTCTACGTTGCACACTGACCGTCTCTCTGACGGGGTTTGCTGTCACCCTAACGCTGGGTGCAAGCACCCTCCGACAGACTAAACCAATTCGCTTCATCTCCAGAATAGTCTGTGGTCTACCCAACGTTGATCCGTTGCGGGACCTCAAATAGCCGCAATAGTCATGAGACAGATACAAGTTGTATGTAACACATGTACCACATTTGAAAGGCTGTAGTCCCTTATGCTAAGTGCTGGATTTCGCTTGCCAAGACTGTATATTGGCATCACAAGGCACTCACAAATACACCACTTTCAATAAGTCATTGTTTAGCCATTCATTTGTTTTAACACGCATACGGTCCACTGCATAACATGGGATTAGCCGATAATTGAGGGTACTGGATGTACAAACCCATGACACAGTGCGTACTCTCTCACTCATGCTCCGCTCATGCTTTAGGGCCCCGGCTATTATAGAGTGCCGCAATCTCTTGGCTTGAGAATTTCACCGGGTCAAGCTTGACTGACATTGGATAATAGAAATCAGCCAATGGTGTGAAGGGAGGCTTGTAGTGCCGTTGTTAACGTTCCCTTACCATGTCCGTTTGGATTGTGGCATGGATGGTGGCTGCCCAACTTATGGACAAGTGGTCTGGTCATGGGTATTTGACTAGAAATGAACCTGTCTCGTTCTCATTCCAGTGGTCCCCTGGTGTAGGTGGATTGCCTTGATATAATCATGTTAATGTACCGCTACGGAGCCATCCTAGTGGAAGAGCTCCCATTCATTGGCCTGTTAAAAGGTAGTAGCTACTAGCATGATATTCTACTGTGTTGCTTTGTCTGTTTCTGCCTTAGCTGTTTGCTTCGATAACGGTTGTCTAAATTCGGGTAGTTGTGTTGCCCCGGATGTATGCTTCTGTCACAACCGCTACTCCGGAAAAATCTGCGAGAACTGTAAGTAGCAAAAAAAGCTGTAACATGACTTGTTATCAATGCATGTGAGAGAATGGCTCTACTCTAGAAGTAAAAAGAATGCTGGGAGCACGAAACAGCTTCATTATCGTGTAGAGCTCTTCCCCAACATCTGGATTTTGGTGTTATTACTAAAATTGTTTTTTATGAAGAGAGAGAGAGAGAGAGAGAGAGAGAGAGAGAGAGAGAGAGAGAGAGATTGTTTTTATGAAGAGAGAGAGAGAGAGAGAGAGAGAGAGAGAGAGAGAGAGAGAGAGAGAGAGAGAGAGAGAGAGAGAGAGAGAGAGAGAGAGAGAAACAGCCGCCGCATGAGTGTTTTAACACGAAACTCTGAGTAACGGCAGAGGCGGACTTGGTTGTGTTATTGCTGTACGAGTATTTGAGAGAGAGAGAGAGAGAGAGAGAGAGAGAGAGAGAGAGAGAGAGAGAGAGAGAGAGAGAGAGAGAGAGAGAGAGAGAGACAGAGAGAGAGAGAGAGAGAGAGAGAGAGAGGGGAACAGGGACAGGGGGAGGGTGAGAGGGGGAGAGGGAGATTGGAAGAGAGGGAGAGAGGGGTTTGATACTTTTTTGTTTTGTTTTTGGTGTGCTTCATATTTCAAGTGTACCCCGCTGTAACCAGTGAGGGATGTGCATCAGGTGCTAGTTCCGCGCTAACAGCTGAAATGAATTTTCCTCTAGTTGGTTCACCTACTGTAGACCCTGGTTATTGTGCTTACCTGTGCTACGGGAAAAATATGATATATTCCGCAATCAACAACGACGCAAAGGTATGGTCTATGCCGGCACCATTTTGATGACCATGCACTGCACGACATCCATGTGTGTGTGTGGGGGGGGGGGGGGGGGATTGTGTGAATGAGATTAGAGCTGTACAAGAGCTAGTTCACCTTGCGTGCGATTTGGGTCAACTTGTGCAGACGGCAATGGGTAGCAGTTGGTTCTTACCTGGCACTAGTATTTCGGATCTGTTTGAGATGGTACATCACAAACAAAATGAAACTGTACGAATTGAACTCAGCATTGTGCACGGGCGGTATTTTTGTTGCTTACTTGGTGATTGCCTCAAATTGATTTTGATGTAATTGGTTGACATGGAAATGAAGAGATCTCCATTTACTCACCTAATGCAGATTTCTGAAAGTCATTAATATTATTTGGCTTGACTGCTGTTTGTTTCCTGTTACGTCGCATTCCCTGTTGTCTGGGGATTGTGTAATCAGATTGTCGCCTGTGTTTTCCAAAATTCCAACCACCGTCATTTCCAAATTCTTTAACCCCTTTAGCGCGAGCGTCGTACTAGTACGACGCACATGAGTTGCATGCCCCACGGCCGTCGTACTAGTACGACGCGCGCTGTACACTGTGCAGTGAACCTGCATCTCATAGTCGTGGGGTCCGTGTTGAGTCCATAGTGACTTGTTCAAACTATCGTAACTCACTCAATACTTGGTCGATTCTCACAATCGAAACATGTATCTGCAAGAGAAAACTCTCAGCTGGCGATAGAAACAATCGCCGAAGCAATGCGACCACCGGTTGTTGAGATATGCGACTCGACACGGCAAATTTCAACTCGATTTTTTTGCGCAGTCTGCAGAACGCGTATTTTCCATCATGGATCATTTGTGCGCTACCTGCTGCCATGGAAACAAGATTCAAATGATGGTAGTGGATCCCGTGAGTCCTCACAAAAAATTTGAGCTTGATACGAGCAAGGAGACCGAAATGGCAGCTGAATATTTGAGCTTGGTTAGTCTTGGCCGTGCTCAAGTCTGTCGAGCGCGTGGATGAAGTTTGCCAGACTGTAGCACGGGGTTTTGGTTTCGCTCCGAGCTAGGTTTGACACCAGTTTGTCACTCGTCTCAAGACCTTTCCAGGAAGCTCAAGATCGTGGAATTCGTCCAAGGGAAGGTAAAGTTATCGATCCTTGAGCAGCTAGTACTTTCATGGGAATATGCGACTTTTACAGGTGTTGTCGCGTGGGGCGCGCTCAGGTAGCGTCGTGCTAAAGAGGTTAAGCACAGATATATTTTAGCTGGCCACGGCCCATAAAGAATACATTTTTGCCTTTGTCTGCGTATCTGCCTCTTTGTTTGCCTGTCAGTGGGTCTCTGTGTGTCTGTCTGTGCCCCCCCCCCCTCCCTCGTAACTCTACATCTCGCTCTTCTTCAGGTTTAGGCATTTCGAGACTAATTTGCTGTAATCACGTTTGCTTGTGTTCTTGCATTATAGACAAACTGCTATTGTGGCAGCACCATGGGCTTCGCTGGGATGGTAACACCTACTACGTGCGGAGGAAAATGCAACGGATATGGAACACGGACCGAAGAATACTATTGTGGTACTGCTACCGATTATGCGGTATACTCATTGAATCCACGTAAGAGCACTTGTGCGAACTCAATTGAAAATGTTGCCGTGTTTAAATCCTTTTCGCTTTGCTGAAATATCTAAAACCGCTGGGCAGTTGAGCGTCCGGGCATAGGCTGCTTCTGAAACTGGCTCCACAGACACAGGTTGAGGGTAAACGAGCCGACCGCTAGCCATAGCGCAATGCCAAACCATCACGGAACTCGCTTTTGGACAGCACAAATCCACGACGAGATAGAGGACGACATGTAAGCCAGCTGTAGGTGCCAGGTTCCCTTGCCAACTGGATAGTGTGCTGTATCACAATTCCCTGCGTCCAAGCCCTCGTCTCCTTTAGACAATTTCTGCAATATTGGGCTTCATGGAAAGCTCGTCGCAAGAGAAACACTCTAGGCCAACATTTGCTACCAAGAGAGTCAAAACACCATAAAAGTCTGTAAATAGGTACAATCAACGTCGCTAATAAAGACTGTGGATATATCGGCAATTCGTGAACAACGAAAGAATTTTCATGCCCAGAGCAAAGTCCCATCTAACTGGATAAGTTTGACTTCGGATATAACGACTATCTGAGTAACGACATTTCGCGAATAGCGACATGATGTTAAGGAGGCTCCCACCTAAAGAAGTAAAAATAAAAGGTCCATGGACACCCTGTTTTTTATGCATAGAATGGTGGAGTGATGTCTCTTCTTCAATTTGGTATAGTTTTTAGGTAGGGTCACCAGGCATATAAGAGGTATTCTGGTGTATTTAGTGAGTGTACAATTTCTTGATTTTCGGTAAAAAATGGTAAAAAAAGTTGGTTTTTGACCCAAAGAAGCCTCCTGGAAGGAGGATACTAAGCATTTTCTTCATCATATGTTTAAGAACCACATTTGGAGGTATCTTGGCTACACAAGATAGACTGCGTCTTGGTTTTGCCCTTGGCGAGCCACTTTTTCGAAATTACGGGTACCGAAATTTCCATCGGGTGCTGAATTGTGAAATGGTTCAGCCTGCAACATTTTGTCCATGGACATATTGATTTTTGTGGCTTTCTGTGATCCTTGAGCCCCAAGGAAACCGATAATGGACAGTTTTGATGGTGTCACCAGGCACTTTAGGCCCCTACCAAACAATATAGGTATCAAAATATGGTATTTTTAGGCCAATTCTGAAAATAGCATTTTTAGAAAATCTGACCATTCTTGCCTTCTTGACTAAATATCACTACCAATGACATGGTAGTATGGTAATATTATTTTAGAAGAAGTTATTTTCATGCTGCAACCTCCTTTGGACATACCAGACATTCTGTGCTTTGAAAGGTACATGTATAATTACATGTACATGTATGTCTTGTAGCCTTCAGTCCTAGCACATTGATATACGAGTAGTGTACATGTACATGTAAGGCAGCGAGGTTTCATAACAACCTCGACCATGAAACTGGCACATGAATAATGTGAAAGCAGGCATTCAAAATAAGGCACACTAAACACTCACACGCGTGCGCACGCACATAAACACCCACCCACATGCACGCACTCTCATGCACGCATCATTGTAACACTACTAGTCCATAGTAGGACTTAGTGTAAATAAAAGCCTGAAGACCAGCCACTGCACTGGGCGTGCATTTGCTGGTTGTCACTTGCGTTGATAGCAGCAGACTCCAGAAAAACATCGCATGAAGGGCAATATGCATCTACACACGCTGGCGTGCACATATACGATATACATGTAATGTACTGTCATGCTCTCTCGGCAATTCTTTTTGTGTCTCAAATACGGTTCACAAATGCGCATTCACATGCAACTCCTGTACTGTAAAGCCATTACCACACTGTCCTTGCGGACATCAGAGAGGCATACAGAACCAGCACCGTGAGCCCCCCCCCCCCCCTTCCACACCTAGCTTTGCACACGCGCGCACACATGCACGTGCATACACACATACATGTACACAGACATTTGCATGCACATGCACACAGTGCACTCGTGGGGACATGTGCATAACCCAGATCAACATTGCGTGCGAACCCACACATGCGGGCACGAGCACACGCGCACACACACACACACGTGCGTACACACACACTCGTACACCTGGCCAACGCTGAAGCGAGGATAGCGAACAAACTACGTTAGACATAGCAACTTGTGCTCGGATTACACCTTTCAACAGCTTGCACACACACACGCGCATGTGCGCGCGTACACACACACACTCGTGCGCGCGCGCGCGCGCGAGTACACACACACATGCGTGCGTACACACACACACATGCGCGCGTACACACACACACATGCGCGCGTACACACACACACACAAACGCATGTACTTGCGCATAGAAAAGGATTCAAAATAATCAACCACAGGCATTTACCCAATACACACCTGAGTGTGCACATCTTAGTTGTGGCATCCCCATTTTTACAAAAGCAGGATTTAGAAGTTCGTCCCTGGTTCAGAACACAAGCTTCTGGCCAGCGTTTTCCTTACACCATCAGTGCAGTACAGTGGTTGACACGAACCTCATTCCTACAGGGACAGTAGCCCAAGTAAGTTCAGCAGCTCTGAGATGCGTCGTCCACTGAGCTCAGGATACTCTAGGATCCAGAGAAACAGTTTCAAACGGCACTCGTGCGACTGGAGCTGCAAGTGGGTCCACTTACCAGCGAGTGGGCAGCCACTTCACGCTCCACAGGTAGTCCATGCTAAATTCCAGTGCCAGTACTAGTATCACTACGTTCGACATCGATGTCTTCACTGACTTCAGCCTGCTTTTCTCACCCTTCTTCGTCAGTAATTTATTATTTTTATTATTTTGTTCTTCGTGGCCACATCGTACCGCTTCAACAAAGCTTTCACAAAAAATCAAGCAGCGTAGGAACTGCCTTTGTTTAGCATTAGCCATGGCCAGTGATTCTTTCCAGCGTAGAAACAGCCACGGCTACAGAAACACTGCAACGAGTAGAACTATATCCTGGAACAACTGCGAGCACAGAGAAATCAAAAAACTTCTTTCTGAACAACAGCTTGTTTCCGCATGGAACACAACATTTTTCGAATCTCGCGGCAAAAAACAGATTTCGGAGGTGCCCTTTTTACACTGCGCTGCGCAACTGTTCGGAGCCTCCTTAAGTGCCCCGAGGTCAAAATTGACTGCTCGTGTAACGACTTTCTGGGCTTGTGACAGCTATTTCAAGTACCTGCCATGCAGAACTACCAGAACCCATGGCGATGGATAAAGGCAGACATGCATGATTGTACAGTAAACATCATACACAAAAGTGGTGTACTCGATATCAGCACGAAAAGGTGCACGTGTCAGCAATACAATAAAGCAGCGCAGCAGCATACACCACGGGTCAGCAGCATGTACGACGCAGAGACACAAGCGCAGCAGCATGGTACGACAAAGAGACACAAGCGCAGCAGCATGTACGACAAAGAGACACAAGCGCAGCAGCAGGTACGACAAAGAGACACAAGCGCAGCAGCATGTACGACAAAGAGACACAAACGCAGCAGCATGTACGACAAAGAGACACAAGCGCAGCAGCATGTACAACAAAGATCTACACGCGCAGCCGTACATGTCCCAGTAGATGGCCCCAAAAGGCATAATTACTTAAATTCATTTCCCTTACATGTTGACTTTATAGTTCCTTTCAATTGCAACATGACAATAAAGTACACATTGACATAGAGCATGAAAAGGGCTTCATTTTGATATGCATGTCATACTATACAAAATATGGGCTCGCATACATTCAAATGGGACTTCGGGTATAAGGACACTTCGCGAATAAGGACACTTTTCTGATGCCCCACCGAGTGTCGTTATTCGCAAAGTTGGCTGTACGTACTTACTTTCGACTTTAGTGGTCACGCCCGTACCAGCTTCGGGCACGAGCTACAACAGCTTTCAAACCTGACTTGTTTACAGTAGAGAATTCATATTTCATGTAGATTTACATGCTAAGCATTGCTTGTGCAAACCGTACCGGTACTAGTAATTATTTCGGGAAGTACGTTTATCGGGCTCGACTTGATTTCAGACAAAAAGAATGAAGGGGTATTTATTTCGGGTGTCCAATAAGAACTCAGATGGTGAGCCATGGAAACATTTTGTAACATGGAAAAAAGAGGAACGTGGTATGCCTCAGTACTCCTTGTCGGTTTTGTGCTAGATTCTGCACGTCTGACTATTCGAAATCTGGTTTAGTTGGTGATCTCGATCGCATAACTTGTGCCCACACTTTTTTCCATGTTACAATTATCTATTTCGGGCAGGTACTTATGTACGGATTTTTACGGTATTTCGCAAAAGTCATCAGTCTCCACCCGAGCTTCCAGCGACTGCACACATCTTTCTTAGCCTGTTCAGCATCACGCACTACCTCTGATATCCATTTCTCCTTCGCCATCCGCACAGCCCTTGCAACTGCACGCTGTGGCTGGCAAAAGTCTTACTCCTAATCTAGGCGATTCACACGACAGACGCACTTGAACGTTTTACGGCGAGCGATCCACGCGAAACAGGACAGTGTGGGCTCACACACCTACACTCGACAACAGGCACGTTGTCATTTTTGGATGGTTTACCCTCCAGTTGCCATGGGTAGTTCAATTTTTTTTACGAAGAAACTAGAAATTTGCGTGTGTAGATTTTCTCGACTCGAGATTAGTTTCTCTCCACGTGTAGTTTGGACAAAACAACAGCAAAGAATGATGTGTCTGTCTCCTAATTTTTCTTGGTGCTTTCACAGGGTGTACAACCACCTAGTGGATGCAGAGCCCAGGCATTGCCAAAGAGTGGACCCGCACTTCAAATAAGCGCAAAGAAAATGACGATATCCTTTTTACTCCACATCACATTCTTGTCCGCCGACTTGAGCATCTCTGGAAATGAGAAACTTCTTTTCCGCATGATTGAGAACGCACTTTTTGCCATCTTCTATTTTTCGGCAATGCAACCATTGCAAAACAAGGCAAGGCATGTCGGAAACACTGCACAATACGGAGACAGTAGCAGAGTGAAAAGAGCTGTGCATAGAATCGAGTCCTGTTTCAATCAAAAACCAGGTCTCAATTTGTTCATCTGCACGCCACAATTATCGTGCCTTAGGCCCCTCAGCTTGCTTGTACCTTTTAGACACAGTTGTCCACAATCTCATTTACAGGTGACATACCATAGCAACAGGTCCTGTACATGTGGATTTGTCTGTCATGTCAATTACGTACTAGGTTATTTAAACCTTTCTTTCTTTAATTGATTTATCCTTCTTCAATTCATTTATCCGTCTTCAATTCATTTATCTTGTTCTCTGCTCGCTGTCCGTTGTCTTATTTCCCTCAGTACCTCCCCTTCAAGTTATGGTGACTGCGACTAGTCCGACTGCTAATTCCTTGGGAACATTTGTTGACGGCAGTAGTGTTACATTGACTTGCAATACAGACGCCACTGATGCGGCATTTACCTATGCCTGGCAACGGAATTCAGTCTCAGTCACAGGATCGGCAAACACATATGTGTTTACCATCGGCAACACGAATGATGGCACCTATACATGCACGGTCACCAATCCTAATGTTGTATCCGCTGGTAATTACACTCTCCTCAATAGCAGGTCGGGACAAGTTACTGTAACTCACCAAAGTAAGTAAATCAAATGCCACATAGGGCAATTCGTTTAGATGTGTACCCAGTTCTGTGTTAGCAGCTTTGGTGGTGCTGTAAGTAATCACTTAAAAATGGGAACACATGCCTTTGGTGATCAGTTACGTCTTCCTCAGAATATATTTTGAGCTTATGCTGACCTTTCATACAAAATTCCAGTCAACTGCCCAATCATGCAGGTGGTTTATATTGGGTGTTGTACATGTGGCTGCGCTTGTTTATCTTCGTTGTACATGTGGTTGCCCGTGTAGCTCTTTGTTGTACATGTGGCTGCTTTTGTGTCTCTTTGTTGTACATGATGCTGAGTCGTGGTACATGCTGCTGCGCTGTTTTTGACCCCTGCGTACATGCGGCTGCACCGTCTTCTGTCCCCGTTGTGTATACACTTGCTCGTCTTGTCGCCGTTGTACGCCTTCACTATAATATAATATTCTGTTGTCTTGTCTCAGTGTCAGTCGTCCGTCGTTCGTTGCCAGAGTTAGTTCTTCATTATGAGTTCTCCAGTCGCCTACTGAAGCAAAGTAGAAGAAAAAGCTCTCTAACAATTAGTACTGGTCCTTTGTTGTGTGGCGTGGCGAGGAGCGCAGAGGCAGTTCTTTCACGGTTCTCAAACCCGTGACGACATTGGGTGTATAAACCCCATATATTCCCAGTATAAACCTCATATATACCACCACAATATAAACTTCTTTTCAGAGATTGGAGGAAACTATCTTCAAAGTGCTATCAAAGTGCTATCAAATCACCGAGAAACAACAGAAGCAGAAAGTCTCGAAAGTCGAATCGTCGTCCCGTAGGCGCTCAATAGCCGCGTGCCCAGATTTGAATGATGGATTTCCCCATCCTCCATTCTGGGCATGCAGTGATTTGGAAACACGTTCAAAATGGCGAAAAGGCTTGTGGCAGTTTGTGAAAAAATGTTGAAGTTGTTACGAGCAAGGAGAGCGACATGGCTGGTACAAGACGACTTCTGTCGGAATATGGGCATTGCAACTATTACGCTGGGTTATAGTGCTGGCGTTTTGACCTTAGTGGTGGCATGTGTGTTCCTCTTGCGACGAGCTTTCCAGGAAGCCCAAGATTGAAAAAATCGTCAAAAGGAGGCCAAAGTTATGACGCGGAGAATTATGGAATTTGAGTTGAGTCGATATAAAATTCAGTCTGCGTACATTTTTCTGTACATAAAGGGTTAACAACGAGAATTTCAACTTGATTTAGGCGCTCCGCAACTGGTAAAAGTACATTCTGACATCTGGAAATCCTCGTAGGGCCTTTCTGATTTTAGTACAGCTCCGCTAAAGCGAAACACTCAACGATGAGAAACTAGTGACGCGACGGCAACAGAGGTAGACGAACTGAAATGCCCTTGATCAACTCGAGTCGGGGCGCAAGAGTGCTACCGCTAGTGACATCTGAATTTTTCCAGTCTCCCACCCTGGACTCCGTGCTGAACACCAAAAGCCCTAAACCCTTTTGATGGGACAAGAGCTGAACATCGATTGATGAGCTACGAACTCTCCGTGTTCGATGCTGGAATCATGGCTCACTGATGCGCATGCTGCCAGTTTCCCACAGAGCTCAAAGAGGTGCAGCAGAACAATGATGGACTACCTCTAATTCGTGTACAAGATGAAGTGCGTGGTGTTGAATGTCGTGTCTGTTTCATATTCCCTGTGGTATGGACAGACTGGGACTCCAGGTGTAGTTGTAGCCACCCTCCCTCCTGTTGTGCACTTCTGTCGATTTTCAGCCGACTTGGGATGGAGTTCAAACAGTTTCCATTGGTCTGCAATGATGAGGATCAAGGCAATCCATCTCCTACGCCAGAGGTTGCCCGATAGTTGATTTACAACAAAAACTGGATGGCTGATTTATTAAACTGCCTTTTGTACCAAATAGTATTCCTATGTGGAAAACGCTGTGATAAATTGTCGTATTTCTCCTGATACTGGGCAATTTCTCATGCGCCATGCAACCATGAATCACAGGGGGAAGTCCCAGTTTGGTGCATCTGCTCACTGTTTACGCCACGCAGGCAATATGTAAAAAAGCACACCCGTATTCATGTTTCACTCTTTGGCGCCCAGTGATTCTTCATCACGCTATAATCAAACGACACGTTGGGTAGAATGGCCGCATAGTATATCTTACTAATTGCGATTTTACACTTTATGTATATTGGCAAGAGTACATCACGCCCAAGAGTGTGCAAATCCAGCCATGGGATCTGCGGCGGCAGAACTTCACATCCCATGCCGAACCTGTACACATTAGTTGCCCCCTGAGCATGATAGATCTTTAGGTACAACTCTCTTGTGGTGACTTTGCACTGTTTGCCAGCGTACCCTTTTGAACCATGTCACATGATCTGAAGTTCTGCCATCGCAGCACTGTATAGAGGTTGTGCTGACAGTTGCACACTTTTGGGGGTTATGTACTCTTGATATTGGGAATCAAAAACAAGCATCAGCCTGATAACAATGGATCCACTGAGAATAAAATTTAAAGTAGGGTGTGGAAAAGCAGAGATAAGAAAATGAAAGAAAGTAAGGGGCCGTCCGCAAATATCGAACTTTTTTCACCAAACGAATTATTTTAGTTTAGACCCAACCCCTCCCTCCCTCCCCCTCAGAACGTAAAAATTGTTGACATACACATGCATATACAACAAAACCCGCAAGTGTGTAACTGCTCCTATGGCCATGTACATGTATCGAACTTTTCTGAAACGAAATTGGTCAACCCCCTCCCACCCCATAACGAAATTATTTCGTTTCGTGAAAAAAGTTCGATAATTGTGGACGACCCCTAAGTGAAGCGATAAATAGAAGAATTAATGCTGACATAATACCATGAATCAATCACAAGAGGATCATAGGATCACATCGATTGTTTTATTTATCGCGTTGATAAAACTCTTTTCTCCGAAATGCCTATTTGCAAGAAAGTGAAGGTTGGTTTTTAACGAATAGATATCAATCCAGTGTGCTATTTAAGCCCTACGTAGCTGATAATGCGCACTGCAAGGATTGGAATTTTAAATCTGAATCCTGTATCAACACTTTGCTTCTGTTGTTAATTTGTTCCACTTAATGGCTCCAGCACGTGTTGGGCGCTTAGCAGAACGAGCAGTACCAGCAGGTGGGACAACAAGCAAGTTTCTTTGGCCTCAACTAGTGCGGGTTGATGGCATGACAGCAACAAAGAAAAAAGTCGGAAATGGCTTGTTCTCTAAGCTTTCTAATGAGCCATCGTTCTTGGCAATCGAAACAATTATTGAAGCACTTTAGGGTCCTGGTCAGCCGTGTCGAGACACGACCCACACTATACGCTTTTGGAGAACAAACCACAGTGAACATATATGCCGCATTTACTGCTAGTTGATGTGAGACACAAAGTAGTCGTTGAAGTGCAATTTTGTGGTATATTAGCATTTGAATTCTTAGCGCAGTCTGAGCGCATTCGGGTCCTCGATGTCGCAATGTTTTTTGCAGATGGAGCTGCCTCCATGCTGGCCTGTCCCGAGTTGTCTCCAGCAGCCGGTGAAGGTCCCGCATGGTCTCCGGCTGTCCATTTCCCCTTGACTTCAAGTCCGGTGACATGGTATACTGGAGCGTTATTCAGGGCCTTCCTCACCATTTGCCGCTCTCATCTAATATTCTGCTATCGCCCACTGTGCGGGTACCTCAGTTGGCAATCTCAGCCCATGGCCAAAGACACACCATCGTATCGAAGAAAAGACAATGAAAATACGACATTTTGAACATCGATGTATATACGCTGCCTCACTTGTTTGCCGTGACAGTAAAAAGAGGGGATGCTGAGGACCTGGCCACAAACTTACTCCATTCAAGTTACTATTTGATGTTTTTTTTCTCGTCTGCAGCCCCTCCAGTGGCAACTATCATGGCTAACGCATCAACTCAGGTTATAGGTGAAAAAGCAACCTTCACTTGTTCCGCAACGGGTGACATGCCGTACGTGTTCCGGTGGTATAAAGAAGCTGCGGAAATAACCGGAGATACACGTATTACTATATCTTCAAGTACTACTACTAGCATACTCACCATCACGAACTTGGTAAAAGGTGATGGTGCAACGTATGGCTGCGATGTAACAAACATGGGTATTGTTGACGCGACGCAGAGAACTTCCTCCATTTCAACATCCATCTTCATGGTGCAAGGTGAGTCGGTCGTCCATCTTCCAAGAAAAAACAGTCTGAATTCTCTCTCTCTCTCTCTCTCTCTCTCTCTCTCTCTCTCTCTCTCTCTCTCTCTCTCTCTCTCTCTCTCTCTCTCTCTCTCTTTTTGCTTCATTTTTTGAAAATATTCCCAAGGAGGGCCCCCGGAACCCCCCCCCCCCCCTAGAAAGGCACCGGCGCATGCGCCAGTCTCTCTCTCTCTCTCTCTCTCTCTCTCTCTCTCTCTCTCTCTCTCTCTCTCTCTCTCTATCTATCTATCTATCTATCTATCAATTTAGGGCATGTTTGATTGGTAAGGATAGGGATCCAGATCTCAGATCCGTCGGATCCTTCAGAGTCAACTGAAGACTTTATTTTGGACCTTGATTGTTGCCATGTTGACGAAGTAATAAAATGGCGCTCACAAGTTACCCTAAAGGGTGAAAGTCATACTCATCGCGTGCGTCGTACAAAGAGTCAACAAGCTCTATCTCGATCCACTTGTGCGTACCACAATGTGTACAAAAATGATTTTTACCCGCCATATACGCACAAATATCACATTTGGATCCATTGGATCCGGTCAACCCTGCTCCCCGAGGTGGGTTGACCGGATCCAAATCCAAAGGATCCGGATCCGGATTCGACTATTCGATAGGGCGCGAGTCCATTGGATCCGGTGGGTCGGGATCCCGATCCTACCAATCGAAAATGCCCTTAGGGCCGGGTTCCACAGCGGCTCCGCTGCTCCGCGGCACTTGGCTGCATGCAGCGGAGCAGCACAGTTCCACTGACACTTGCGGTACCGCGGTCGTGCTCCACAATTTTTGATGACGTTTTACCTGCCTGCCGCGCCTGGGCGAAATTAAAATAATCCTCATGTTCTGGCCTGCGCAAAGAATTAAAATTTGAATTTAAAATGTTTGCAAACAAAACAATGCAAAGTACGGGAAACAGGTAGAGCTGCGACCGCGGCTCGCAGTTTTTGATCAAGAATCGTAGCGAAAGCTCGCGGTGAGGCGCGGCCTTGCTGCTCCAGTTCAAGCCGCGGTCACTATGGCAATGATGACGTTTCAAGCCGCAAAAGACGAGCCGCGGAGCCGCAGTGGAGCCCGGCCCTTAGCTATCTACAGTCGTGGCAATCGAAATCCGACACATGCCATAGGGGACAGCGCCACAAATGGACATCAATGATGTAATCAGCTGTACCTAATTTGTACCCTTAGCCGTACGCACCCCGAACAGGTCGAAAGGTCCCAGAGTTGATACACACAGATCACAGACATGGTACACATAAGGAGTATTGGCAAGAGTACATAACCCCCCAGAGTGCGCAACTGGGATGGGGTTGTGGGACCGCGTAATCCGTGATGTACGTCATTTTTTTGGTCGGACTTATGTACTCTTGGTATTGGTATATGTAGTGGATGTCCCCCCCCCCCCCCCTCCAGCTTGAGCTATCTCACCAGTCTCCATTTATTTTTGCCAGCACCTTTGAACCTTGACTGTGATGAGTACGAGTCCTGTCTTGAGACAGATAAAAGTTGTATGCAACACATGTACTACGTATGCAGGGCTGCAGGGTTTCACACTGTATGGTGTAGTCCCTTATGCCAAGTGTCGGATTTCGCTTGCAATGACTGTACCTATCTCTCTCTTTCTCACTCACTCCCTCTCTCTCCAGGCCCGTGCAAAGTATGCGGGACCTGTTATGACATCCTTAAGCCACCTTTTGGGTCGATCTTCAAAAAGGAAAAAAGTGTGCCCGCTGGGTGTGTTATTGTGCCTACACATCATTTGACGGGCAGATAACAATGCTGTGACTATGGCATTATTATTGAAGCGAGAGAGTTCCTTTACCTGCAGTTCGAAATACCTTCTTCTCTCCTTCTCAGCGGAGAGTAGCTACAGAGATCAATCTCTGGTCCGCTCCTCGATTGGCGATGACATTCAAGAAGTCCGCTTTGTCTTCAAAGTAGAGTTAAACGCACGAGTTCAAAAATATGATTGACGGCATTTTCTTCCAAACGATTGACTCGATCAAGATCTCCATTGCCTGTCGTTCTCTCTCACGTTCGCAGCAGAGATTATCATCAACAACGCTGTCAAGTGTGGAAGACGTGAACATGTGCGTCCATGCTCCGTTTGCCCTGCTTCAGAACGAAGCACTGCTCCCTGCCTGGACTCAAGGACGTGGGGCTTCGCTTCTCATCCATGTGTGCACATCGCAGCGGGAGTCCATAACTCCTTATTGAAATCATTGCAGAACAGCAACAATACATTAACCCGTGCAATGTAGCTGAACATTGTGTCCTAAGAAGAGAAAAAAAAGACGAATTGTTTTGACGAAAAATACCTGGAGGTACAAGGTTTGAATGGTATTTTGCTATGCGGTTCAGATGCAAAATATGTACATTTTCAGATTTGGAATGATTGGATCTGGTCCATGCAGTATCTGTTATACTTCTATTGATACTCACAATATCGAGAGTTCCCAGATTGCCTAGAGTGCTCAACACCACAAGGATGGAGCATCAACACAAATGCAGAAGAGAACAGAGACAGCCGGCTAGGTCATTGTGTTGTGACGTTGCGTTTCATGCACATAGCAAAGCTAAGGCAATCCTCAGACAACTGATAACCTGTACATCATCTGGGTCCAAATTTATACCCAGGCAGGTAGCTAAAACAGGGCGCGCAAAGGGAGTAAAGCACGAAAAAGCAGGTGGCATAGCGCGCAGAGGTGGCAAAAGCGCGACATTAGTGTGACATTTCAAGTGACAGGTTAGTTAAGGAGACATGGTGCGGATGGTGTCGGTTATTACATGGGAGGTGAAAAAAGGAAGGGGTGACATTCATTATATTGATATTCTATTATTGATATTATTTATTTTCAAGGATTCATCAGACGCAAATGGACGCCTATCAAAGGGAGTCTCCTGGGGGAATGGAAGTGAAGGTGGCTGTTTTGAGAGAGGGAGGAATCGACATGACACGCTGAAGAATATAAAATAATACGAACAGGAACAGCAGAAGCTACTTGCAAAAACTCTGTATACCTTGCACTGAATACTTGTGGTGCAGATAGTGTCTGCACACAGCAACAGTAAATCGGCTAGCGGATGTCAGACAGCGGATTTCTTCTGGTAGCTTATTCCAGGCAACACTGATTATTTATAGGCTGTATGCAGTCTACAGTCCATTTCAAAACTATAGACGCGTACCTAGGCAAAAACCGTTATGCCAGCATCTATACCACATAAAATCTGTGATCACTTTGTGCATAACATTTTCCAAATTGGGCGTCTGTTATCCAATCGTTTAGAAACTATATGAGAGTAATTGTGGAGCGGACCTGAACAATATTCCGAAAACTATTCTCAAAAAGCTCCAGCCAAATTTGAAATATTTCAAAAACCCTACGCGTCTATAGTTTTGAAATGGACTGTAGGCATATCTTAATTTTATGCGTTATGCAGATGACACCCATGGAAAGTAAAACCTGTAGCTAACGACCACCCCCTGGGTCCAAAAACCGGTCTTCAGCGGCAGGTGGTATTTAGTTGGAGGTGTGGACCGCGTTGCCATAATTGTATGGATCCTATTATGAAAATTATGTATGCCAAAATACGGGTACTACAAAATTACCCACCATATGCGCAGTGCCACTCTTATTACAGATCGTCCAAAATTTAGAGAGAGAAGAAAACATACGCTCTATTGCTGATATCAAAAACTTGGCTTGGCTCTGTGCTTCAAATTTGTTTGATAAAATCACTTCGTGTATCATCCAATGCGACAGTAGCCAAGCCATGCTGCAACCTACCCTAGCATGTTAGCTTGCTGTCACTGTTTGTGCGGCTGCCACCTCTACAACTACTGCTGTTGCTGTGACCTTTGGTGCTGCCCTGCCTGCTGCTGCTGCTGCTGCTGCTGCTGCTGCTGCTGCTGCTGCTGCTGCTGCTGCTGCTGCTGCTGCTGCTGCTGCTGCTGCTGCTGCTGCTGCTGCTGCTGCTGCTGCTCTGGTGGTGGTTGCTGTTGCTGCTGTTTTTCCTTTATAAAATTGCATAGATCCACCAAGCGCTACAATCGATAGTACGTATACCGTTGTGCAGGGTAAGCCGCTCACGGTAATGTGCACGGCGACTGGTGATGCTACGATAACCTATACCTGGAAAGACAAAAATGATGCAGTTATATCGGCAAATACAGACTATGCCATCATGCCAGGCGGTGAGTACTTGTGTTGTATATGTGGCTGCGCTTGTAGCTCTTCGTTGTACATGCGGCTACGCGTGTAGCTCTTTGTCGCACATGCGGCTGCGTTCATGTCTCCTTCTCGTACCTGCTGCTGCGTTTGTGTCTCTTTGTCGTACATGCTGCTGACTCGTGGTACACGCTGCTCTGCTGTATTTGAATGCTTTGTACATGCTTTCTACATGCGGCTGCACCGTCTTCTGTCCCCTCCGTATGCACTCTTTCTTGTCTTGTCCCCGTTGTATTCGCCCGGTTGCAGTCTTGTCTCCGTCGTATTTGATCGTCTGCCGTTTTTGTCTCCCTTCCCGTTCGGGACACAAGAGAAGTTAAGAGAGGGGAGGGTACGAGGTTAGGAGAGATGCATGTTGCTCTTGTTGCTCATCATCATATCGTGTAGAGACGCACTCGCAGTAACTCTCATTAGCAAGTACTCCGCACACAGCACTTACAATGCACCACAGCGAATCTAATGATGTAGCAAACGTGAATATTACAAGGGGACTGGTGCTTGGAAATGAAATGATTTCTGAAAATACAAAAAGCAACAACAGAACTCAGTATTGGGAGACAACTGCAAACTGAAATCCATAGAAAATCCAGAACCCGCAAAGGAACCGGAGAAGGCAGGGTACGGTGATGCAGAGAAACCCAGATGACGTATGCGACTACGCACAAGTCATGGTGACCCGGGGCTTTGGCCAACAGGTGTGGGGACACTAGCCTGTGCAGCCAGCGCTGCATACAGATATGGTGGAAGCACAGCCATGCTCACGATAGGGCATGACATCTGCATCTTTCTTGAATAACACGTGTGAATATTATGAAGATAAAAAAGTTGCGACATGGCGATCGAAATTATTGCAAGACAATTGAAAACGCCCTGAGTCAGAGAAAGAAAATGTGTCTCCTTACCACGCATTCATTCATACTGCACCATATTTGCGGGCCCGTTTTCTTTTCCAGTAACTCAGTGCATTGACTGCAATATGTACTATGTAGCACCTGGATAGAGCGGTTGTCTGTTGACAAACCTGTTTTTTTCTTATAGACAAGCCACACCATGTGCAAACTCACATTTATCTTATCGTTTCCAACGGTATTTACTCGCATACGATAAACTTGGACATACGCGTGCAACTGAGTTTTGAACTTGGCCGGCCTTTGTGCTCACGATTATTCTTTGCAAGTGAACAAACGTGTCGGTGGCTGATGGCTCCTGGCCGAAAATTTAATTGAGATACTTATTGTAATTTGCAGCAAAGAGACCACTTGGGTTGAAGATGGTATGTTTAAGGTTTTCCAGGTAATGAAGTGGCTGCAGTGGAGCCTGCGCGCATTAATAAATTATGGTCGTGCCCATGTGTATTCCTATTGCAGGTGTCCTGACGATAAACAGTGCAAATTACGGGCGAGATCACGGTACTTTGACGTGTGAAGCTTCTAACAACAATATTGTGACGGTGGATCGGCGAACAAGCACGGTAACAACTTCCATCAATGTGCTAGGTATGTCTCATTAGAACCGGTTTTGATGATGATGCTGCCGCTAACACGCCAGTTCTGAACACATAGCAGGTATTACGACGTACGTTGACAAAGGTACATGCGAACAATGTTCTCCTTGGAAGGAGAGGATGCGATCAGCAAGATGTTAAGGGCACAAAAGTAGGGCTGAAACGAACACACTTTCTCAGAAATCAAATATTCTTGATGCTAACGAACGAATGAACAAATGTTCTTTTGAAGCAAACGTTACTTTTTACTGGGTGTTGTGTAACGTTTCGCAACAGCACGGCACCTCTGCATTGCACTGTGGCAAGTCCAAGGGGTTCGCTTCTTGTGGTCAGTCAAACCACGCTTTCATTGAGGTGTGGAGTGTACATACTCCACATATGTGAGTCTTGACATAAATTGCTGCATGCTGTATCTCCTGGTTGCATTGCTCTCCGGTATAGGTTAGCACATGTTGTCACCAAGGATGTGAACGCGATGAAAGATCGGAAGTCCTGTGCGGGGCCTGATCTACCTGTATGTTCATACTCACACTGTGTAGACCACCTCGTATTATTTACTTGAAGGTATAGTTAAACGACATGTAGCACCGAATAGTAGATCTTTTTGCAGTTCGAATATTCATCACTTCACCAATGTTTGTTCTTTAACGCTTAACGGTCAAATATTCCAATATTCGGTATATTGCCTTCAGCCCTACGCAAAAGCACTGAGGGCGCACGGAATCGAATCAAGAACAGGGTAAAACTATCGCATTCGTGAATGGTGTGTACGCGGAAAACAATGGTTGGTGGATATAATGTTCAACTCCAGTCGAAGATTACGGCCACAGATCATAAACAGTTTAGCATTGGACAGATGGCTGTTAACCCTTTAAGAGCCGCCCCATACTTGAATGCGTCGTAAACGACGCATTCAAATGCAAAACTTCAAAGGTCGTAACTCAGTCCAATCTCGCTCAAATCCAGTGATCGAAATATCCAGGGCGAAGAGAACACTCTCACCTGTCGGGAGAAACAATCCGCGAAGCGCTGCGAGCAACGATTCCCGAGATAAATCACTCGTAAGTTGAGCCGCGATCGCGGCAATTTCAAAAGCGCGCAGTGCGACTTTAGTATTGAGAATTTTGAGACTTTTCGTCACGCTGGTTTACTCGAATTTGCATGGGTTTCACTGTTGATATTGTCAAGAGTACACAGCGAAAAAATTGGAACTCCACGATCGAGTAAAATGAAATATCTGGTGCGGGACGCAATTGGGCGCATTTGGGGCATTTTTCGTACTGTCGCTGCGATCTAGCGCTGGATAGACGGTGTGCTGGCTATCATGATCGACCTCATTCTCTTCCTCTCGCGGAGACCGTTCCAGGAAGCCCTAGATTGTGAGGATTGAGTGAGTAGAACTGAAGCTATGATCCAAGGAACACGAAAAAATGCAGAATTTTGAAATTTTCCTGTGGCTCTTAAAGGGTTAATCATGCAGTCAACTTAGGAAATAATCTTCTTTTGCCTTTCGGATGAAGCAAAATTCAAGAAAAAATAGTTTTGTGTATGAAATGGTACACGTAGTCCAGCATATGGATGTCCTAACATTGCTTCTTGTTACTTCTTTTGCCAGACTCAGCATCTGCTTTATGAATTCCTTATTATTTTGAATGATTGGCTGAAACGTGATCTGAACAAAACCTGAACATGAGGGCTAGCTGCGACCCTGCATACACCTTGCCCACTCCTCACCCCACCCCAGCATCTCACTTTCATTTTGTAACCAATCACCGCTGTGGAGTAGTTTGCTCAGGTAGGAATGACATGAGAAGCTACATGTACTTTTTCTTTTAAGGAAATGGTCCAACAAACCGTGGTATGCTACCGGCACCAGCCCCTTATTGCGCTTGCAACAAAAGTTTCAGTCCATTTATTCTCTTGCAATGTGGCTGCCGAAATCCAAATAGACTGCAGTGAATGCCATCTTTTGTTCTGTCTCATTCGGTTTGCAGTACCAGTAACAATATCAAATGGCCCGCTTGTCTATGTGGAAGAGCATCAATTTGGCAGATCAATTTTATCTATGGTGATCGCTAGTCCAGTCAACCCAGACCCACCTGCACAGAATATTACCTGGCAGCACCCGGACAAACAGATACTTACAAATTCAAGTTCGCACTTTTTCCTCAACAATCGGAGAACACTGGTGGTCGCTAATTCCCAACCCAGTGATGATGGCTTGTACATAGCTACTGTAGATAATGGCGTCGGAACTGCCACAATACAATTCAACCTCACTGTGTACAGTAAGTAGTCACTGTGTCTTTCCCGCCTTAGGAAGATATGGGATCTATGTTTCTTCCTCTGTTTCTCTCTCTGTGTGTGTCTCTCTCTCTCTCTCTGTTTGTTTGTCTGTCTGTCTGTCTGTCTGTCTGTCTGTCTCTCTTTCTTTCTTTCTCTCTCTCCCTCCATCTATCTATCTATGTATCTATCCTGTCTGATGAAGTGTTTTCACACGAAACTCGGAGTAAAAGCGGAAAGAGACTTGTTTGATTCATTGCTGTGTAATATTTGTATTACTGGCTCTGTCCATTGGACATTGAGCACTGTAAGCAGCCTAGGGACATTGGACAACTGTCTATCTATCTGTCTATCTATCTATCTATCTATCTATCTATCTATCTATCTATCTATCTATCTATCTGTTCTGACTTTCTCTCCATTTTCTCTAGGCCACCCAGAATAAATTCGTTGTTTCGGGTAACTTCACTCATCCGTACCAGGGTCGGTTGGGTTTTTTTTATTTTATTTTATATTTTTTTGTTTCTGCCATGGATGCATACATGTACTGTATGTACAGTGCCGGCAACTGAAATTCGACCCCTGAGCGGTGCGCTCACATCGCAAAGACCCAACACGGTATTGTAAAACTACGAAAATAATAGAGACCGCTAGAATGTGAACGCACCGCTGAGGGGTCGGATTTCAGTTGCCAGCACTGTAGAAGAGAACAACAAGGACAATCAAGGCTTGTTTGCTGCTACTTCAAGTTTCATGCTCTCGCAATCATCAGGCAACATCCTCCGGTGTACTGTATGTAGATTTTGCATATCGTATCTTCAAGCTTTTTTTCCGTCAAGCCAGTTGATCCGATCTGACCGTAGATGATCGAGCGCAGTCATTGCCCCTCAGGACCAGATCTTGGCCTCGCTGGCAAACGAGTCTAACGAGCACCTCTCGCCGAATTTGCAGTCGCGTGAAAAATTACGGTCAGTCGGGTGACCCCAAACAACGAATTAATTCCGGGTGGCCCTGATTATGTACAATCTCTCTTGTGGTTAATACCTCCTCCCTCTACTTGTATGGGTGAGCACCTGGTCTAGGTGTTAACGTCCTTCATTCTGTGTGCGATGTAACCATGAGCGTCCAAGAAGGCATTGTGCATAGCATTCATAAGACAGAGATACAGGTATGGTGTGATAGACGTGAACCCATTTTTTTTACAAAACAACCACAAACTATCACCAGGCAGGCACAGTCGGTTGGCCAAGTACCATGATCGAGACACGAGAGGTACCTGGTTTAAATCCTGCCTGGGAGCGGTTTTGCAAGTCGTACTGCTACCCACAGTCAAGTGAGAAGTTGTAGCCAGGGACAAGGGGTACATGGATCCAAGTAATGGGTGTTTTCGGCATTTGTGCCTGTGCGGTGGTGAGACTTATCCCCTCGCCCCCACCATTAGGAGCTGCATACGATGATTGCATGGTTTACCGTGTGTTAGCGGTCGTCTTGAGGACCATGTTGGCCCTTCGCTCTACATCAGAGAGGCATAGAATTTATGGAGACAGCACAGGACCCTGGAACATGAAGCAAAATGGTTGTAGCTCCCTCGCTACCAGTACCACTTTAGGCATGCTAGCATAAAGCATCAATGATTTGAATGCTTGAACTGAGTAGATGAATGCTGGTGTCGTGAGCTACATCAGTCCTTATCCAGTCTTTGCCACTGGAGCTAACCTGTGAATCAGTGCTTTGTGTATCTGGTGAACACCTGTGCGCCTCTAAACGAATTCACACGCTGTGGACGGTTTGCAGGTGTTTTACGAGAATACATTTACATGTGCTTCCTGCCAGGTGGTTAATACGTGGCATGCTTGAAATGGCAGGTGCAAATCAGCTGCAGCCACCGTGCAGGCATTGTTAGCAACTTCAGATATCCAATCTGTTGCGGTGAGCACGTATGGCCGCCATATAGTTGAGTCAGGAGATCCGGCTATGCAACCCCTTCGCAGGTATATATTACATCCCAGTTTGCATAATTTCAGCACAGATTTGTAAACTTTGATACCCAAGAATCGAGAACCTCTGGTTGTCAGCTATCACCCTTTTCAACCCAAAATATCTCCGAATATGGTAATACTTGCCAGTGGAGCCTGTAGCAGGCCACACGGGAAAAAACAGTTCAATATCGTTGCTTGCGGGTCCAACGTTCGAGACGGCTTTCCACTGCCAGACGTTACGCTCGCTTCAAAGTACTTGATGCTCCATGATCTGCAGCTGTTAGAGTGGTTCGGTAAGCACCTGGCACAGCAGTTCTGCATGCACATGTGTTCATGTAGGTTGCCTATGGCTGAGACACTTCTTAGCACTCCACATTTGCAGAACTGTGGGACATTTGCAGAACTGTGCTCTAAACCGAAGTAGAAGTTTCGCTGTGAAAGCTGTTGTCCGGGTCTGGTGTTTGATGGTTTTAGCTTACCAAGAAATCCACCACTAGTCTTCTCAAGGCAGGATTAATTTTCGGGTTAGATTTCTGGCGAAGACTTGAATGAATCTGTACCCTGCCTGGAGGAAGCAGTGATACTATGTTCACTTGGCCACTTCTCCGATCGATGAATTCCCTACTCGGCTGTCGCCTTTTCTATGTTAGCTATGCTGCGGTTCTTGTATTGGGAGTCATCTCTTCGAGCGTTGCCCAGCCTGCTGACTGGCATGCAGACTGTACACTCAGAGGTCCTTCCACATGCACGCTGTCCTTGGCATGCCAAGATGGGGCGGCGAGTTCGTCTTCAATCCTCTTCTGTTCACTGAATGCAACCAACGTCAGCTGCGGCAGAGAAGACCTGATGGGCGACGTAAGCCTACACTGTTCGAACACCGGAAAAAACTTCAGTGTAAATCTGCATTGTAATAAATGTCCAGATTGCGAATGCAGAACAGGTAAGGTGTGAGATGAATTCAAACGCATACATCTTAAAGTAGCATCCCTCCGGCGGAATTAAAAGGGTGTGAATATCCCTTTCCAATCCCACTTTCTGCCTATCCAGTTGGTATCTCTGACATCCTCCGTTATTCACTGTACTAACCCGTGGTGGGAAGGGAACGAAAAGGTTTGGTTGGAAAACATCGTATTGGTCGTATCAGTCTGGTGTGGATTGCGTCGATGCACAGACTGGTTTGAAATTGGATATGCTTCCAATTTGTCCAGGTGCGTAGCTTCTGTATAGACCACGTAGTCCAGTCATCACACCAGCAAATGGCCGCCATAGGCACTATACTCTGGAAATAAGCAAACTGGCCCGATGAGGTTGCCAGTGGTATATGGTCAGCACACCACAAATGTGCTCTAGCACATAGTCACCACACCACCGATGTGCGGGCTATGAACCAGTTGTCCTTATGATTACGAGAAGAATAAAACATTAACAAATTTCAACCACTCTTGTCTAAGGACACAATCAAATAGGCGGAAAGGCGGAGGTTGAATCTTGAAGTACTCATCATGGCCGTATAACCAATGGATCACGCTTTCGTGCTCTCATCTTGCAGCCAGCTATGCGGAATAGAACTGTTGAAAAGGCCTTGGTGTATGCATGGTGTGGAAATAGAAAAGGAGTATGCCACAGCTCCTGGCCTATACGCCCTCTAGTGATGCCAGTTGTCTTGCAAGTAATTTGAGGTAAAAGTTCTTACTTCTGAAAACAGACAGCTCATGAGTGATTTGTTCTAAGAAATGCCTGTCACACCCTGCTTTGCTTGTCCCAGTTGCACCAGATACAACCTTGATACCTGATAATCTTTTGCCATACTCTATCAATATGAGCGACACACTCAACATCACATGCACTTCAACGGGTTCTCCTAAGCCACGCATTACGTGGGGCTATGATGGTGGAGCTCTTCCATCAACAGCAATGGTAACGCAATCGGACGGACCAAAGAATGGAACAAGCGAAACTGTGAGTTAAAAATCATACATTAACTATCCAAAACTGTATGTTGAGCCCAATACTGGTATGCTTGTCACATTGTAGTTCTGGGCATACTGAACCCTCATACACGGACACTTAGCGTCTTCAACGTGTCTTCAATACTTCTATTAAATGACAGCTGGTATACCGTCCTACCGGTAGCACCCAAGTAATGGCTATGAAAAAGTGTTTCTGGCTGAGAATTTTCTCAAAATAGTGCATGATGGAGATCTTTGTATGGGGCACTAGCAGGACTATTATTCCCCAGGCTTTGCATATGCACAATTTTCACTATTGTCAAAAGGCCCGCACTTGCTACATTCAGAGCAATAGCAACTACTATAACACATCTTTTGGTGTATTATGGTGGTTTCAGGTGTAATTTAGAGCTAAGTGACCAGCATTCCCTTCACATACTGTGCATACTCTAGTGCCTTTTCAATGTAATCCAAATTTAGGTGCCTGGTTTCTGTACCGAAATTGTCGAAATTAAAGTAACATCGAAAATAAGGTGAAAAGGAGAAGGACAAAATGTTACGAGTTATGACTAACTGTCCACCAACGTAACTAATAATTGGCTAATTGGCTAATTGGCTCACCATCCAAGTCAAAAATAAGGTGTTATACAATTTTGACCTTGGCACATGAATCATGATGAGAACTTTTGGTCTTATTCAGCTTGCCATTACAATGGAATGCAAAGTACCGTACTCCACTCCTGCTATAGCCATGGGTCATTGCCATGGAGTTTCATTGTATGATTTGTAGGGTTACCCCATAAACCTGCGGACTAATAACAACAGTTTAGGGTCGAGTTCTTACCGGTGGGACCTATGCAGGCTATCACTGAGCACATAGTGCCACACATGACACAATAGAAACGTAATCAACAACATCGATGTTCATTTGAACCTCGCTCATCGCTCAGGAAGCCAGACAAAATAATGCGTCAGGCCAATCCAGGGTGTACATTTTGGGAAATCAGACTTTCGGAAGAAAGGTTATGATTTCCTTCATTGTATAGTGAAATTATTGACCATTTCAAAACGTCTGCCATTTTGTGAACAGATTATCAGTCAACTGATCCTTCCAAATATACAATACAATGAGCGTGGGAAATACAACTGCACGGGAACTTTCACAAGGCTAAATAGAACTTCCTCATCTCCAGAAATTCTCGACGTCCAAGTGCAAGGTTAGTTTCTATGACCTATCATGATCAGCAGCAACGAGAGAGAGAGAGAGAGAGAGAGAGAGAGAGAGAGAGAGAGAGAGAGAGAGAGAGAGAGAGAGAGAGAGAGAGAGAGAGAGAGAGAGAGAGAGAGAGAGAGAGAGAGAGAGAGAGAGAGAGATAAAGAGAGAGAGATAAAGAGATAAAGAGAGAGAGATAAAGAGAGAGATAAGGGGCCGTCCGTAAATATCGATGTTTTTTTAGAGACGATATTGGTGCTTCTCTCCCTTGACCCCCCTCCCTCCCCCCAGAAGACGCACATGTACATCTAGATCATGGAATCAATATTTTTGGATGCTCATGAAGTGCCCAGGATGTTGAGGGTCCGGTGTAGGCGTGAAAATCCCGCCGCACTCACGCAATAGCTGCATCGCCTGGGCTGGGGGGAGCGAACCGGGTTGGCGCTGCAGTGCTCAGCCATTGTGTACTGGTGTAGCCCAAGCGGCTATGCTCGGGCTTGAATTTTTTCAAATCCTTGTTCAGACAGTGAAGACTGGAAACTCTTGTGGAGTTTGTCCGTGTTTGTTCGCACTGCCTCTACGTCTTGAAAAAGGTCTCCCGCAGGCATCGTTCGGCCGATTTCCACAATCAATAGCTCATTCTTTTGCTCTTGAAATTCGCCATGGGCGTACAGCTTCCAATTTTTGATTTTGTTCTTGTGTCGCGAGTTTTAGCTCCGCGAACGGAAGCTGGTTTCACATTTCTTGTATAGCCATTTAGACGTCCGCGTGCAGGGATCGGCGAAACTTCAGATATTTACATCGATATTTTTCTGATGCTCGAAAAGACGCACATGGCTCAAACCCCCTCCCCCCCCCCCTCCAGACGCACCAATATCGTCTCTAAAAAAACATCGATATTTACGGACGGCCCCTAAAGAGAGAGATAAAGAGAGATAAAGAGAGATCTCTTTATTTCTCTTTATTTCTCTTTATCTCTCTTTACCTCTCTTTATAATTCCTTTGTCCAGTCTTTATGTTGGTGAACCAATTGTGACGGGGCGACCATGGAGTCTTGTTCCAGGCCCCATTCCATCCAAGAAATAGTGTGAGTAGCTATCATGATGCCTTGCCACATGCCCAAACCACTTCAACTTGATGCCCTTAACAGTTGAATCAAGGATGTGAACGGGCCAATAGCATGTTTGACTTCCTGCAGTACGTACCCCTTTATGGGTCTCACATAAGCGTAAGGGTCGTATGTGACCCTTACAGTAAAATCGCATTTTCGGTGAGTTCTGTTGCTAGGAGACAACTAAAATGGTGCTCCACGCTTAGCTGAGGTCCAAGGCTTTCCAACGGTGTAAAAAATAAGCATACTTGCCATACAAATTGTTGCAGTATCGATCGACTGAAGTCTGGTGAAATTGGAAAAGACGACCATCCGCCATGCGCGCATTTCGAGAATGGGAGTGCATCTCTTGAGGCCGTGTCAGGAAAGATTTCTGAGGACACTGACGGCACCAGTCTAGGCTGGATGTCCCTGGAGATTGTCCAGTGTAATGTGGTGAGAAAGAGAGCTCCGTTGAGTCCTCCTAGCTCGAGTAAATCGTCCCCGAATGAAGAAATCAAATTTACCAACCAGCGGCGCTCAACCCCCCCCCCCCCCTCCCCATAAACGACTAGTTTTCGTTTCTAAATAAATATCTATATTAAGTTTGACGGATGGTCCCTTATGTGATTATAGATGACTACCGTAGTGTTTTGTATTAAAGCGATGTCCCCGGTTTTCCTCAAATTGTTACGGTAGGTTTTCTTCGGCGTGTACATGTACAGAAAAACCTGGTTTAAGCGACCACCCCACGGTGCAAGCAAAAGCGGTTGTTATAGCCAGGTGGTCTTTAGAGCCAGGTCCCACAGTGTGTGTAGAACTGTCGGTGCATGGAAAGACGGTCGTTGAAAGCAGGTGGTCGCTACACCCAGCGGTCGCTTACACCAGGTTTTACTGTATATCGACTTTGAAAGGGCCCTGAATGAGGATTTGAACTCGAGAACTTGAAACTTACTGTCAGGATCTCTCCAGATATCCATTATCACTCGTTAACCTCAACATACTACTGTGTCTCTGTGTGTGCCAGTATATGTGGAGCGATAAACAGCCTATTCTCTCTGCAGCAGCGACAACACACAAAGTGAAGGGTAGTTGGCTGCAGCCAGATGTGCGCTCTGCTGGCGAGAAATACAATATTCCTGCTGTGAGAGGAAACAATATAGTATTTCTAAAAAAAGCATTTCCAAAGCGCGCTTTTCGCCACATTCCCGTTCTTTCAAATAACAGCTTACCAATATCAAGCATCATAAAAAGGAGGACAAAATGTTACGAGTTATGACAAACTGTCCACCAATGTAACCAGATCATATACAGTCAGCAAGTGCGACAAAATGGCACAAAACTGACGAGGAGTACTGATGAAGTAGGCTTCTCCCCCTGGCCCCCGCCACACAACAACGCAAACTCTTGGTTATCTCTTCAGTTCTTAATATGCTATCAATAAATGGTGAGGGCGCTGGAGGAGAGAGACAAACTTTGTGAAGGGACAAAACAACGACGGGAAAGACTCCCGGGAAAAGACTCAAAGAAAACAACAAGAACAAGCAGTAATATTGCGACGACAAATCGGGACGACCAATCAGGGACTAATACGTACAGAACACATGACCAAGACCAAGACAACCAGACCATGGACGAATCACACACGACTCTCAATCCCAGACCAAACTAGCACTGCGCATGTACAGCATTCACTTGACAGTCACTCTCACACAGACGGAAGCACATCCTCACACTCTGACAACGCGTACTCTTGCATGCACCACATACCATAAACGTCACAAATCACACCATACTTGCGCGTACACTTAGACCATATATGACATCAGACACTGGACTCCACAAAACAAGAACCAAATACAACATGCGTAAATCATAGTCGTGATACAATTTCGCAACACTGAGACATTCAACAACCTGACACCTAGCTCCAACAATTCTCTGAGGTGCAAACCAACACCCTTCCAACTTGAAAGGTGGGAAGGAAAGCGCAACGAAGAAGAGTACGAGTTACGTCCCACGGCAACAAAGAATGCTGAAGTTATACCAGCTTGAAGTTTGCACTAATGACGTCATTAACTTGCCCAGACCAGGCCAGATTTCTGACGTCGGAGAGATTGACTTTGTATGGGAGAAGATGAGGAAATTTAAGTTTTTTGGCTCTCCATTGTCCCAAGGAAGTCGGATCTTTTTCATACTTCGGTATGGGACATATGGCACCCTACCGGTATCCCGACTGGAAAAACATTCTAGTATGAAATTCATGGTTGCAGAGAAACAAGAAAGAAATTGTTTTTTTCCCTTGCTACCATCGGTGACCTCAATCTCTTCCTCTCGCGGAGACCTTTGAGGCCTTTCCAGCAAGCCCAAGATTGTGAGAATCGAGTGCGTGGATAAGTTATGATCCAAAGTACATGTAAAACGCAGAATTGAGATCGCTGTACATTGCCAGGGATGTTCAAATTGGCAATGTGATCACCATCCGTTCACATAGATTAGGTCTTGTTTCTATGGTCTTGCCTTGGTTGGCAGGTTGGCTGCAAGTATTTGATGGTTTTTGTCTTGCACAGTCCAACCAACTATTTCACTTAGTGGATCAAAGACGCAGCAGAAATTGGAGGCTGACAGCGTGTCATTTTCCTTCACAATCATGCAACCTGTTTTCCCAACTCCTACAATTGAGTGGTACAAGCCGAACTCTCAGATGCCCCTGACTAATGGTGCTAAGTATGCCATTTCAACAATGTCGTAAGTATTTCATTTCTACCCTTGTCTGCGTGTGGTTAGTAGTAGTATTGTCGGGTAATGCTATTCACTGCTCACTATGGTGAACTTGTCATCCAAGCATAAACTGTTCAACAATTGTTTTCAGACTCTGAACTCTGCACTTCCTGCAAAGATGCGCAAGCTGGTAGGATGCTTCCCTCACTGTACTTACACGCCTCTCGCACAAGCTATGTGGGGAGCCCCTGTACCTCAAATAGTCTTATTTTGGAGGGAACAAAACGGGAAAATGTGTGATTGTGAGCGCTAGGACTAGAACCAGGGATCTTTGCTAAAGGCCAGCAATCACTGAGCTGTGTTGTAGTAGTGACTGTTCAAAATTTGTCTTCAGACTTAGAGACTTCTTGCTTCCAATATTCATATACATATAATTATTTGACTCCTAGAACCTCTTGGACTTAGAACTCTTCTGTCCAACTCCAGTTCGTCGCCTCAATAGTTCAATGTACATCTCCAAAGAGGGTCGAACAGGAAATACGATAACTGAAGGTTGACAGAAAGAGAGAGACGGAGAAAATAGAATGTGGACCATTTCCTCAAAGCCCACTTAGTGCAAGAAACGGGGCTTATTATAAAAGCTAACTGGCAAAACATAAACGCAGGAAAAGTCAGTCATCAGGAAACTCGAGCATTAAAATACATTGATCACTATCCTAGCTACGCCCCTGAAAAGGATATGTCGAATATGAAGAGAAACTGTTGTTCGGAGACCTCATGGTTGGCCTACGCAGGATATATAGACCGAGTAAAGACTGGGGTCCCCCGAGGTCGTGCATAGACCTCCTAATCGGTCTATAATCTATACATATACTCAATCTGCAGACACTATATGTACGGACATTTCCTGGAAACAAGGGAGGAATTATGGAATTGCAAGACCCGTAATATGTTGGTGTACTCCATCAATTCCATTCTCCCAACTAAGTGTAGAGTGCACGAGAGTGCGTTGGTATTCCAGTGTTGCACCACGTTTTAAGTTATGTATATTTGAGTGGTAAACCTTTCTCACCGTGTGAAATTTGTTTTCAGGAGTCCCAATACTCTGACAATATCCAATTTGGATCGGAATGATGTGGGCATGTACACAGTCCAAGTGAGAAATGATGCTGGTAGTGCAACACTCACGTACAACCTACAAGTGTATGGTAAGATATTTATATACTCGATCTGCAGACAGCGTGCCGTTTCTTCTTTGTGGACTCATCAGCTCAACACAGAGGAAATGAGCCTGAACCTGATAGCAGTAAAAATATAATGTTCCAAAGCCAGATTTAAACGGACCCGAATGCACCCTGCCAGAGTGCTCAGATGGACAAGTCAGTGAGCTCTGCATAATGCAAACAGCTAAGGCACTAACCCATAATAGTGCTCAACTACTACAATAATATTTTATTCCCGTAGCTATGCAGAAGACGTTACTTCAGTAACGTCTGGCGCTAGCCAGGGTCCACACAGCTTTAATTTGGTATTTGTTTGTGTGTTTGTGTCACGCCTGGCGCTATCCGTATCTGACGGCAAAAAAGCATAGGATGTTATAATTTTTTCAATTCTCCTATTTTTTTTCAGGCATATCCTGGGATTCGAACCGGCACTATCGCCCTACATGCATTCCCCCATACACTTCGCATTCATACCATTCTTCCAAGTTGCTTCACGTTATCATCTTGCGTTTGAAAGCCCTATTTGAATATTGCGGGCAGCTGTATGTGGCCAGCTGTGTTTGATGGTACGGTACGGTACGGGAGACGGTGTCGTATTACCCTCGATCGTACCTGTCCCGTACCTATCCCCTACCGTACCGTGCCATCAAAGACGGCTGGCGACAATGCATATTCAAATAGGGCTTTCAAATGCAAGATCACAATGGGAAACAACTTGGAAGAATGGGTATGAATGCGAAGTGTATGAGGGAATGCATGTAGGGCGATAGTGCGGGTTCGAATTCCAGGATATGCCTGAAAAAATAGGAGAATTGAAAAATTTATAACATCCTATGCTTTTTTTGCCGGTAGATACGGATAGCGCCAGGCGTGACACAAACAAACAAATGTATGCGAAGTGTATCGGGGGATGCATGCAGGGCGCGCGATAGTGCGGGTTCGAATCCCAGGTTATGTCTTTAAAAAAAAAGGATTTTTTAAAAGAATTTATAACATCCCTATGCTTTTTTTTCTCTCTAGGTCATGAAGGCAAAAAAAGCATAGCGTAGGGCCCTGAGCTTCCAAGCTCTCTCGTAACAAGAATAAGAGGATGAAAAGGTGTTTTACTCCGAGTTTCACGCACTAAGCGATCATCAGAAAACAGTAATGCGTAAATCTGGATGCTGGTTTATATACGGAGACTCCCTCGATTTAGGCTAAGGCCTTTGGAGAATCCATAAATACAAATACAAATACAAAATATAAACCAACACCTCTACAGTTTCTTAGAGTAGCATGCTACTCCAGTCTCATATTATACTCCTGCAGTCTCATAACAATGATACTGCACCTTATATGATGTTCTCTCTGAATTTTCGTCTTCGTAGAAAATGCTCCCCTCCGAATATTTTTTTAATGTTGCTTTCTTTGCTCTTTTGTAAAAGTGAAAATATAAATAGCGCATGCGCTCTTGTGTCCGCATCCGTAGAATTTATGTACAGCTGCTGATGTGCCGAAATAGCCCGTTCTCGCCTTAGTTTTGGCATTCACTTCACGTTGAGCTTCGAGCTGCAATTCCTTCTAAAAAAAATAATAAAAGTAAATTATCGTGTCCGTTCCCGAAGGGAACTCACGACGGCCGCTAACATCCGATAAACCCTAGCAATTCCTTCTATTGTAATGGTAAAGGGTGATCTTTGTTATCACAACCATTGGTGTGTTCTCTGAGTGAATCCGGTATCGACAGAGTAATAAGCAAGCTATAATACCCAAATTATTTTCTAATCTCTCTCCTCTCTCCCGGGAGACCCACTAGACGAGTAATTGGCAGTGAGCAAATACAAGATCAAATGTCTGTGTTTGGGTTTATGTGTACACACGTACATGTGTGGATGCGCTTGTGTGTGGATGTGTGTGGAATTGCCAATCAATGAACTTGTGATTCACAGTTAAACCCCTGATTATTCGGCCCGCCGATGGTTCAACGATCACGGTCAATAAGACAATGACAATACAGGTAAGTAATAATCAGACATTAGCCAGTGGGAATGTCCCAGTAATGCTTGCATTGAACTCTGCAGTGCAGCATTCGAGCACTTTTAGCGCATGAATAGCCTCCTTCATAATTATTGATAAGGACAGTCAAAACAGCTCAGAATGTACTTGGTGTAAGTTGTGCTGCTGGGTACATACGTTTTGAATTTTGAACCCTTTTCTGTGCCACGAACGTGAAAACGCTTTTATTTTAGCATGATCTGTTTGGCCAAGGAGTACCGGTAGTGCACATTCCCCTTACACTGTATAAGGTGCACCAGGGGCGTAGGAGGTGCTTGGGAACTGGTACGACCAAAGGACGGAGCGGGGTGTGAAGGGGATAGGGGGTTATCCATCGGGAAAGTTTTGTAAAAAAAAACGCGAAATCCTGTATTCTAGGGGTACTTTTGGTACTTTGTTTTACGAATTTTAACTCATAGAATATTTTATGGTTCACGTGTAGAGAACTAAGTTACCGAAAACTGAGAGTATGAGTCAAACACAACCAAAAGTCGAAGATCTGACGGTTCCGGTTTTTTTTTTTACGATTTTGCACATTCCGGACGGACCACACTTTTCGAAAAAGTGGTGCGACCATGGTCGTACCAGTCGTAGCGGGTGCTACGCCCCTGTGCACTGCATGTCGCAGCATGTGAATGAGTGTACAAAGTGCCATGACTCTGTCAAACAGTAATGGATGCCTACAAATGAAATAGGACAAAGTATACACAAGAAAGAGAGAGAGATTGGAAGCTTTGTTACAACTCTGAGTTTCACGTATTACTACGATCATCAGGCAACCCTACACGGGTATTGAGCACTCTTCGGACAGTGAAGCAAACCACTTGACTAGGACACAAAGTATAACCGAACGCCAACAATTTGAATGGTCATAGTGCACAAATTTCACTTTCCGGCGATGGATTCGATTTTTTGCTCGCGAGCATGCAAGAGGATTTTCCTTGGACACAGCACAATTGGCAATGAAAATTTATCCTTCTTTCATGCAGGCACCTTTTTTTCCAGTATGACTGGCTTCGAGCGCACTGACTTTCCTTGTGGAATTTGCAAGCACACTTTCGAGCGAGATTTGTTCTAGTTTCAGTTCACCTTGATGGATTTCCATCATCCTGGGCTTGTTGGACAGATCAGGACTAGATGAATCCATCAGATCCATTTCCACGTCCTCTCCAAACTTCCCCACCATGCCTCAAAACGCTACAACAACTCCATCTAGCATTCTTGCTCAAAGTCAACTGATTTTCAAGATTCAAACTGCACTGAAAAGCTGAGATTCATGCGCTTGTCTTGGTGCCCATCACGCATTCTCTGTGCTGCCCATTACGTATGCCCTGTGCGAAAGGGAAATCTCCTGGCATGCTTCAAAAACTGTAACATTTGCAATCATACAAAGCCGTGATTTCTTTGTCCATCTCGCCTCCACACCAACACGCACACCCACGTACACGCTCGCATGCACACGCGTGCACACACACACACACACACACATACCACGCTCCTGCACACACACACAAACAACCATGCACTGCAGACCAAAACAAGCCCAAAAATGCTATAGTTATTTCAACGTGATACGCATAAGCCTGCGGTCGGTATAGACATGCCGCAGGGACGGCTTGACATGTGGTTGTGATCAGGGCCTGGCTCAAAGGTTTTTTACTCAGCTTGAGTGTCCTCGTTCCTGGTTTTGTTCTTATGTACTGCCCTTTGATACGTCGTCCGTGGGTGTTTGCCAGTCCTCACGTTCTGTTATGCCGTTTCTGCCCACAGAGTGTATGTACTGCCACTGGATTTGATACTCCGGTTCTCACTTGGACAGACCAATCGAGCCAAATGTTCACACTATCTTCTTCGACAGGATCAGGGACCACGATTTCTGGGAATACAACGGACATCGATGGTGAGATTCACTCACTAGAATCAGTGCTGCCAAAATAATGTGCTGCCAAAATAATATTCTCCCAAAATTGGACACCCTTCACCACCAAGGCTGGCCACATTGTGCGAATTTTTCTCCTCCGCAAATTTTTCCAGAGACCGCACATCGGAGCGCTTCCGCGATTGTTTCAATGGACAGCTGGGAGTTTACACGTCGACCTACATATTTTAGTTTTTGAAATGACTGAGTTACAATCGATTGAAATTTTAAAAAGTTGGATCCCAGGGGATCGACGATTTTACAGTCCGTACACAAAGGGTTAAGTCCCAGGCACGATTATACTTTGGTATTCTCAGACATGCTCTCTTAAGCATATCATATGGATGCTGTGACACATAGCATAATCCAGCTACATGTTGGTGCAGTTACTTCAAGTACATGTATGTCCATTGAAATCATGACAGCATGTCCTCCGCCTTGTAACATGCTGTCAATTCGTTTTGCCCGTACAAGAGGCCTAGATTATCGGGGAAAAAAACTACAGCCAGCACATGCATAGGGACCGAAATTTCGTACTACGCGCTGATATTGTTCGAAAAACGCTCGAAATTAGATCGTCTTCACGAAAATTCGCCATGCAGGAGTTCGTCATAAACGAATCATTTTGACTTGATTTGATGCCTGGTCAACCATAGGATTGGCCCTAGTTTGTAGTAATGGAAAGTTCGCCTTATCAGTGTTCGTCCTAACGAGGTTTGACTGTATGTAGCACTTTGCAGTTCCGTTCGAGGCCGGTGTATTAGCTAGTACATGTACTAGCATTAGTCTTTGCCTTTTTCTTTGCGCTGCTCGCTGGTCATGTTCACCATGCAGCCTTTGAATTGCCTCTCCTCTGCCTTGCTTTCTGCCTTGCTCTCTTCCGCACAGCCTCCAATGGACCATTGAAGTCAGTAGTTCTGACTATCACGCGAACTAACGCCGCTCACGCTGACGGCGGCACATATGTGTGTAAGGCTGAAGTTACAGCGCTTGGCAGCACGTATGCAGCATCATCAACGGTCACAGTTGTTGTGCAAGGTGAGTGCTAGTACTCATTGCTTTCTTGAATAATAGTCAGCCCTTAATTCAGGTCCATGTCCAGCACGTATCATGATGCTTTCAAATGGTCAAGCCACCGACAATTTGAAGTGAGTTTCATCAGTAGCCTGGCCCCAAATCCAAGCGAAATTGTTTGCTCTTACCATCATTTGAATCTTTTTTCCATGGCAGCAGGTAGAGCAAAAATGATCCATAGTGGAAAATACGCGATCTGCAGACTGCGCAAAAATCGAGTTGAAATTTGCTTTTTCGAGTCGCATATCTCAACAACCGGTAGTCGTATCGCTTCGGCGATTGTTTCTATCGCCAGCTGAGAGTTTTCTCTTGCAGATACATGTTTCGATTGTGAGAATCGACCAAGTATTGAATGAGTTACGATAGTTTGAACAAGTCACTCTGGACTCAACACGGACCCCACGACTACGAGATGCAGGTTCACTGTGCAGTGTACAGCGCGTGTCGTACTAGTATGACGGCCGTGGGGCATGCAACTCATGTGCGTCGTACTAGTACAACGCTCGTGCTAAAGAGGCTAAAGGGGAAGTATACCCTAAAATCAAATTTTCGCCAGTTGTAGTCTTCGGGGTGCTGATTCGAACGGTCTTGGTCCGAGGAAGCTGAGACGCTCCCTTCCTTATTTATTCCCAATCGACCTCGCGCACTTCCACCGAAACTGGGTGACTGCACCCTACTAGATCGGGATTTGTATGCAAAAAGTCACCAAAAGCGCCGTTTCGTTTTTATAAAAGCACTGATGACCGCGATTGGTCCATATATCGTAGTCTTTTGGATGCTTAGTCGACTGGTTTTGGTCCAAAAAGGATGCGATGCAGCATTCGGCCCTTCTTCCCAATCGAACATGGGTGAGGAAGCGATCACGTGCTAATGCGTACACCAGTCACCTAGTCACAATTTTTACAGCGTTCCTGTCACTCGAGTTGAACCTTTGAAGCTTTGACTTGACTCTTGGTGTGAAATTTGTAGCCTGCAGGCACGGTGACCAGGCGACTGGAGTATGCATGAGCACATGACCGCTTACTCACCTGTGTTTGATTGGGAATAAGGGTTGAACACTGCATCGCAGCCTTTTCGCACCAAAACAAGTCGACTCAGCGTCCAAAAGACTGCAACATATGGTCCAATCACGATCATCCGTGCTTGTATAAGAATAAAACGTCTCTTTTAGTGACTTTTGCATCCACATACCCATCTAGTGGGGCGCAGTCACCCAGTTTCGATGGAAGTGCGCAAGTTTGATTGGGGATAAAGGAGGAAGGGAGCGTCTCAGCTTCCTCGGACCAAGACCATTCGACTCAGCACTCCGGAGACTACAGCTGGTGAAAATTTGATTTTAGGAATCCTGTGTGGATGACAGTGTATTGCAAGCTTTTAGCCATTGTGGTTGTAGACATCACAACAACAGAACAGAACAACAAGGACAATCAAGGCTTGTTTGCTGCTACTTCAAGTTTCATGCTCTCACAATCATCAGGCAACATAGGGGGGGGGGCTGTTTTGTATCTCAACAGAGGTTCACAGCTCATGGCTACCGGAAAGTTATTTTTCGTGCTTGTTGCTTACTTCATGCTTCAAGAAAGTACAGACACCGGCGATGCCCCTTGCAACGCAAACAGTGCTTTTAGAGCAAGCATTGTGGTCGCTTTTTGTGCGGCTTTTCTTGACCTTCCCCAGCCTCACCCTAATACACACACACCGAGCAGTGCGACCCCACGTGCAGCGACACACGCAGAGCCGTATGCGCGCAGAAGTGCACACACTGCCTCATGCACATTGCTGAAAAAGAGATGTGCTCTGAATATGCAGTGGCTAAAGGACAACGTTGAATATGAGTTCCAAACTGTTGAATTTCTCTTAGTTCATAAAACGTTTTCCAAGCTGGTAGATGCAGGTTTTTATCGTATAGTCGAAGGTGCATGAATGTGTCTAAAATGCCATTTTTGGTCAATTCAGCACATTGGTTTACAAAGCACAATTGTTTTTCCTTGCATGAGCGTAATCTGCCAGGTGTGTATTTACCACCATATGAGCGTAATTTGCCTGTGGAATCATCCAATGATCCCTTCGTCCCAGGCACCTCTGGCCCTGAGAGCAGACTTAGCTGCAGATCTATAAAGAATGGTCCCCCAATGTCAAAATTGCGAATTCAAATGTCTTTGCTCTGTTCTTCCTGTCCCTGTAGTTAAACCAACTTTAACAACTACATTAACGTCCCCAATTCAGAAGCTTGAAGGCGAAGATGTGGCATTGCAGTTCATGGTCATGGCTCCTGATTTCCCGACTGTGATGGGCACAGATGTAAGAATGTGTTCCTTTATTTCTAGGTTCTTGTCCCTTTGCTCTTGTCTGTATGTCACCTGAAGAGAAGGCTTGATTATACTTGTGAAAAATTAAATTTGGTTACAGATTTTCTTTTCTTTTCATTGGCTTTTCCAGATCATTCATATTCTAGCAAAATATGTGGCGACAGTCATATAGAATGTCTTTTAGTTGTCCGGTCCAGCTCCTAAACATAACAAGCACAAACAGACATACAATAGTATATCAAAAATACGTCCGTATCCTATGGCGCGTCATGCTTGGTCCGCCAAGTTAAAAATGGCGCTTATCTTCGCACTTGATTTTTCGGTGTTCTGCATGTGTCACACGGCATGGAACTACCGAATCACCATCCGAACATAACCACTGACCATTGCATCCGACAACATGGCAGTCTGGATCGGTTCGTTTGAGTCTTTTTGATGGAGCTACCACCAAAGAACACTTCCGTCAGCGCAAGAAAACCCTGCAACCTCCGCTCGAGTCCGAAAAATAGGTCGCGATTTCAGAGAGATGGAGAATACAGTTTCTGTCTACTCCCGGCTGTCTGGTGGCAAGGATTGTTTACCGCGGGGAGGTATAGAAACCTGAAAAAGCGCGAGCTTGAATTTCAGTGCTGGCGCATTTCAGCGCCTAGTGAAGAGTTACCCCCAGCAAATCGCTTACGAAGAAACTGGAGCTCATGGCGACATCTCCAGAAAGTGAGACCAATCTGGCGGACATACTCTGAAGCTCACAGAGTACCGGGCAAAGGAGCTAATCAAAATATACACCAAGTCCTGAGGGAAACTCTCGTGCAAAGGACTTTCAGGAAACTAGCCGAAAAGCCTGGTGCACGGCGTTAGGACTTAGGTGCAGTAAGCATAGCCACAGGTGCTACATCAAGCGGAAGCTAGCACTGCGCTGCATGTAGATCTACAAGCACCAGCGGCTCGCGTGGGTGCTGATCAGCAAGTACGACAAGCGCAACAGGCGATTTGAAAAAAGACACTGGTGCGACGAACGATAAAACTTTCAGCCAACACGCGGGCATTCTCACTCAGCTTCTGAGCGGCGAGGTGAAAGGCACCCACTGCCTTTGAGCGCGATTCGAGACGAGGAGAAGTGGAACAAACTATGAAACGTGCAGCAGCTGTCCGGATCGAACATTTTGAGCTCTTCCTACAGCGGCAATAGTGGCGAGGAGGACGTGTAACTTTCTTGAATTTTCAGCTGAGTTGCTTACTGACATGTAAATAATCATGTACATAGTGCTTTGTGATCGTGGCATGCTTTAAATACATGTATTTCCTTCCTGAGACAAGTGTGAAGATAAGCGCCAATTGTAACTGGGCGGACCAAGTAGTACATTTGAGACGAGCTGGAAGAAAGTCACGACGTCCAATATTTCAGTATCTCTGGACACGAGTATGTTGTGTGCGTGACTTTGTGTGTTAGCTATCTCTTAATTTGCTGGCCAAAAATCCTATATATAGGATTTGAAAATGTATGACCTTTATGCTGTTGTTATTGGTCATCATGACCCATAATAACAGCATAGTGGTTTTCATAGAAGCTGTAAATATGTCTGAGGGATGAATGTTTACTTTTTAGATTCATAGGACATCATGAATACCCATTTTCAGCAAGTATTGGAACTTTGAGCAGCATTGTTCAGCTGCTGTCATGGAAAGAACTGAAGCAGTGAATGTGCAGAAGAACATTACAGGTGTGGCACCGGGTGGTTTCTTGACGACATATCGCACATGCCGTGGTGAAACTACCAGTTTTAAGGATAAAACAATGTCCAATAAAATGTCAAATCCTATATATAGGATTCGAAAAATAGGGTACAGGCCTTAGCAATATTGCACCAGGAGATGAGCCTGAGATGTTAGCATTTGAAAAAATTATCTTATTCAACTCTCAATATCTTCTAAGACCTAGCAAGGAAGAATTGGTCACATACTTCTTCCTATGCTCGTGCCACACCCATTTTGAGTTGAAATATATGACCAAAATCCTATATATAGGATTTAGCAAATTAAGAGATGGCATCAAACTGAGTGGCTCCCAGCCTAGCATGCAGCTCAGAAGCATCCTACAAAGTTTGAATGTTGTAGGTTGAAAGATCGCACAAGCCGCCATACATTTTGACCTTTCCTACGTAGCATCTTTCACCTTAAATTCGAATTTCTTGCTGAGAAGGTTGGTTTGAAACCACAATGTTGCTTTTTCCTACGTTGTTTCTGAGCCAAATTCAGTTGAAGTGGTGGCAGGGATCAGCCCTGCAACTTCTTGAATGAAAAATGATGCGATCTGAGTGTGACTTGACACGCTCGGTTGAATTTAGAGTATTTTAAGCCTTTCAAGACAAAGATGGAGTTTTTTTGGAGATGGAAATTACTGCAAAGGACATTGCCTCCGACTTCTGTCGTCTTGTGCTCCCTGGAATTTTGTTCAGTCATGTCGGCAGCCTAACCTTCGGTAGCTTGTAGGTAGTGTTATCTAGGTAAGACAAGCTATTACAACTCCGCAACCATGCCAATCAAAAAACCAACAGTTTCGGGTAGAGGGAGAATATCTTGAGGTTACTTTGACGAGACGACCGGACAAGATGAGACAAGGGAGCTTGGGAAACTCCAACCCCGCTGTTCTGTCATTTGGTTTCTTGTTTGAACATTCACTTCGCTTGAACAACGAACAATGCAATCGAGGATTGTTTTGCAATGAAAAATATGCCTAAACTGGAAAAAAACAGGAATGTGCTCTGAATGAGACCCGAGTACACACACACACACTCTTCCAGCAGGTTATGTGGATGTCACTTATAGATCAGCACTGTGTTGAAAGGCAAGTGTTTACACATGAAGATCGGAAGAAGGAGCAGGCGGCCCTTTTGATCTGTGTTGCCCATATACAGTGAAGCCTCGTTAGGAAGATCACTGATAAGGCAAGCTTTCGCTTTAGAAGATCAAGAATTTAGTGCTCTATTGGATAAAAATTAAACCAGTGTGCTTTTGCTGGGTATGCAGTCCCTTCTTGGTGTTTTTCCTAAAGCAGTTTGTCTATGTAAAACAATATTAATGATAGCTTGCATACCGTCCTACCGGTAGGACCACGGGTCCTACCGGTAGGACCCAAGAAATCGAGCTGCAAAAGTGCTTTTGGTTGAGAATTTTTTTGAAACAATTGTTGAGATGAGGTCTTTGTCAGGCAAAGTAATGGCGCAAAATGCAAGGCTATGTCCAGTGCATTGCGTATGCGCAATTTTATCGATTGTCAAAATGGCCGCACATAATCCTGTCGGTGCGCTAGCAACTCTGTCCAAAGTGAATTTTGACCATGGCACATCAATTGTGGTGAGGTCCTAATGTTTTTATTAGCTTGCCAAGGGTGTGGAATGCATAATTCCGTACTCCGTTTCCATGGTTACGATGGGTTATTACCATGGAATTTCGTAGTATGCCTTGTGCGATCACGTCTAAAATTTGTGAACTCCTTCATTAGCCCCTTAGCAACAGTTTAGGGTCAAGGTTTAGGTCAATGTTAGAACAGAGGCCATGCAGCATGTCTGTGTATGATGGTCCTACCGGTAGGTCCTACCGGTAGGACCAAGGTCTATGCAAGCTATCATTAAAGTGTAAATTTACTTTTGAATGGACTTTACACCTATAGTAGAGTGCCAATTATCCGCACCCGTCGTTGCTCTGGCTTTCTCCTGGGGGTTCGGATGAGAAGAATGTTCTGATAAGGGAGCAGTCTCATCTATGTAAAACATGCATATTAGCGCATGTTTTCATCATTTTTTTCATTCTCTTCGACAGTACAACTGGAACTATGCGCTCTCCAGCTCCTCAAAATGTCACTATTGTTATACATTTTGACTCCAACCAGTCATACTGTGTAATACATCTGACTATAGCCAGTCACATTGTGCATCGCTTGATTGGTGCTCCGAGTGGGGAAAACCAGCACAACCTCGACAACCTGCTGAATCAGTTTTTGGTGCAGTCCCACAAGGCGATATCGCGATCCGGATACTTGACGTCCGGATAATTGGCGTTCTACTGTATGAGTGTTAATAATAGTATCATCTCTCCTCACATGAGATAGAACGTTCAAATGAGGTGGCAACATTCTCTTTCATACATGAATGGGATGGTGTTGATGTTGTTGGTGCCGGCTGAATTTATGGATTTCCCTCTTTTCACCTGCCCCCCCCCCCCCCCCCCCTGGCACATTTATATCAGATTATCCTTCGCCCACATCGCCTTTGGTCCGGATCTCATTCGCACGTTACTCTCCTCTACTGTAGCCTATATCAAACATATCAGTTGGGCATGGCATTCTGTGCTGTCTGATGAACGCTTCATGACTGAAACTCTGGGTCTCGACTGAGCACTTTTGTGACCCGTTTCTGCATGTGCCCTGAAAGGCCTTGACACAAAGTGTAGCGCCTTCTTTCACCAGCTGCGTCAACTCTCTCAGAGAAGCCCAAAGGAAGCTCGTAAACAACCAATATAAGGCCGGTGCAACTGCACAAATTGTCTTTTTTCCCTCAGCATTCTCAGCGCAAACTGTTAGACAGTTGCGTAAGATTTCGAATTCAAAGAACTCTCTGTGTTGCCTATTATTTCCTTGCACTTTCTCTTTCCTTACAATTTCTTGTGTACTTTTGATAATTATCTTGAAGGTAACGTGGACTGGTCCAACAAACGCAATTCTCGCTTCTTCTGCGAAATACGTATTTGATCAAAACCGCCGTAATGTGACGGTCAAAACCTTAACAAGATCTGATGCTGGAATGTACACGGCTACAGCTGTCAATGCAGCTGGAAGTGGGAATATAGCTCTCTCTGTACAAGTCAATGGTACGTGGATATTAGCTTGTGTAGATGATTGTTTCTTTCTCTTCTTTGGAAATGGCATGCGGTTTTACTAATTTCTCTTGTCATCTGATCCTTTAGGGGAGAGTGTGGCAGGCAATCAATTTCTCACAGCTTTTCTGGGGGTCGAGTCGGTTGGCATTGCAAGAAGTCAAGAATTTGCAATGCTCCGTTGTTTTCTATGGTGGCCATCGAATTTGCACATACCCACTGAAATCAGAATTGTGTGACCAACGAGAGGGCCGAAGTGAAAGTTTATAGGAAATGCCACTTCCCTGTCGTGGAGACCGGATCAAGATGAAAGATGAAATAGTTTGCTGCCTTCTGGATAAGGAGTGGAATGAATTGTTTTGATCCAAAGCGACTGAGGTGTTCAGTCCATACCCTTATCGAACATAGCCTACTTAGTCTGTGCACAGCAGTCGCTGTACCCTTGCTAGGTAGCACGAGCTAGCGTCTTCTTCAGCGTCTTCTTCAGTGCAGCATGTATTGAACTTACAATTCTGGAAACATTTACAATGCGACAACGATTTATGCACCTGCCAGCTTTTGTCCGCCATTCTGGAAAAATATTATTCGATAAACGGAAAATGACAGCTTGCACTGGTAATCCTAACAAGTTATGAAACTTCGTTTTCAAGCGATTCATGCCTCCAGAAAAAGATACGTTCTCTGGAGTGGAATAGTGCGGAGCGTAATGATTTTTTTGTTTGGAAAAGAGCTCCGAGACCACCACCACTTGCGTAACAAGTAAACATTGCGTAGGAAGAGTCGTACCAATGTTGGAAGAAAAAAGGGGGAACACAGGAAACGGCGACTCCGGCAGTCCGACTAAGACAAGCAAGTCACAAACCTCGCAATGTGCGAAGCAACATATATAATGACAGGAAGTAAGTAAGTAACTGTCATGATGCGTCGCTCCATGACTTGCTACATGACCAAACCACTTCAATTTAATGCGCTTAACCCATTCACCGCTAAAGACGTATATATACGTCATTGAGAATGACCCCCAGGCGCTGAGGACGTATATATACGTCTTAGTATAAATGTAGGTTTGCAGCGTACGGCAAACCGTAGTTATCGCTGACAACCGAGCAGCAGGCAAAAGCCACGCGCGTGGCTAGGCGCGCAACAATGGGGGTGTCTGGCATGCAATGGCGGGCAGCCGTACTGGGGAAAGCCCAGGCCGCAGTACGAGTACGCCCATATGCGCGGGCGAGACTACCCCATATTTGCATAAAGGTATCAGCGCTACTAATGCAATGTTTACTACAAGCAGGGCTCATGGCGCCTAATCTCTATATTAGGAAGCAGTTCCTTTTATGGCACGAAAGGACTCCAGCGCGCGTACTAAGCCTCAGCCAAGGTACAGTACTAACAGAGTACGCAAGATAGAACAGGCGGTGTGGCGGAGCAAACATACCACGTATGGAAGAGGCGAAGTCCCCGGATGCCGCCCGGCCCACAATGACAGACACCACCATGCTTATATGGGAAATAAGGCGCGAGAGCCCACCAGGTAAGGCGGGCCACATAAGCACGTGGCAAGCGCAAATAGCGTAAGACGTACCCACGAGGCCACAACGCGAGAGTACGACAGCATGAGCAGAGTACGAGAGTACGAGGCCGGATCAACGCAGGGCGGACCAAGGTGTGGTAGTGCCACAGCACGAGGCACCTCAGCAGTTGGAGGTGGCGAACGCAGGGACAGCATCAATATTGGCAGCTAGCAGCAGCAGCAGATGGGCGTGATTTTTTTTCTTCAAGACTAGCAACGAGGAGCAGCAGGCAACCCTCGTTTCAATCGTGATTGCTTAATCACATGGCAAAAACAACAAAAATGCAACCCCATTCTATGGTGCTATGATGTGTGTGTCTCGGGGGGAGGGGCGATAAATAGCCGATTTGAGCCTTCCCTCTTGTGTGTAGTCGTCCCTGGACGATTGGTACAGTTCCTGCCTTCAGTACGAGAGGTTGCGGGTACAAACCCAGCTTTGTTACACGAGGCGCCTCTTTTTTCTTTTTCGTGCCGTGATTCAACTCAAATTGCCGACTTTTTCGTATTTTATGCAATTTGGAAGAACTTACGTCTCATATAGCACTTTGTTCCTCTTTTTGGGAACTATATCGAGTTGGTCAGCGTGATGATCATAGCCTTGGTCAACCTTTCACAAGAGTTCAACAACCTGGTTGCCTAGACTATGAAGTTGTGGAGCTTTATATTGGCCCTATTTTTAGTATTTTCTTCAGAGCCTCAGATGAAAGGCCCTGTAGCCCTCAATGGGTTAACAGTTGAATCAAGGCATGTGAATGGGCCAATAACATTTTTGACTTCCTGCACAACTGACTCTTTTGTGCATTCATTGTAGTATTTGATGCCAAGCAACTTACACAGATACCTGCGCTCAAAATCTCTGATTCGATCTAAGATTGATTGTGAAATTTTCATTGTGCCCTTTATCCATCATTGAATTGGATCTACATCCGAGTTCAAATATACGAATTCTTCAACTTTATGTGAGTTGAGTCGTTGCCGTTAGCCCAGGACGCATTTGGTTCATGAAAGGATAGGGAAGAGTCTAAGCCCATCTTGTAATACTTTCTATAAATTGTTAGAGCACCAACACAATGTCCATCACATCATAAATTGAAATGCAGTCGTGACTACACTGCGGAGCTTGATCTACTGCTTCTGTATATTCCGTGTGGTGTTTGATATCTTCCAGTCATTCCGATTATCTCGACACCAGCGAATGGTGCTGTACTAACGGTCAATGAGTCTTCAGCCCTTAGCATTGTTTGTACATCAACGGCATTCCCAGCTCCAACTAGTACATGGATGTTCGATACCAGTCCATTACCTGCTGGAGCTGTGTCAATGGCTTCAACTCCGCGTGAGTTTGAAAACAGCTTTCTCGTAATATTTGTTTTGAAATGAAAACTCCTCAGTTTCAGGGAGGGAGCTGAAAATGGGAAGCCTGGATCAATTAGTGGGAATGACGATTGTTATGTGCCCAGTTTCTCAGCGCCTTGCCTTTGACTGTTCTTATGAGCCAGTTGTAATTGATAGAGTATTTTCAACTGTTGTGTTTTCAAAACTTTAGGCAAAACCCAGGGTTGAATACGCCAGCGAATAGGCGACGTAAATCCGAGAGTTTCATGAGAGAGATGAGTAGTATGTTACCAAGGCAAACTTTGAATGCCACCTCTATACCCCCTACACGAATAATAGTGTCCCCCCTCCCCCCTTCTAGTTAGTTATCATTGCTCAGACCAATTCCACCGTGTTGTACTTGCACGACGCACACGAGTTGCGTGTCCCACGGCCGTCATACTAGTACGACGTTGTACAGTGAACCTGCATCTCATACTCGTGGGATCCATATTGAGTCCTAGTGGCTCGTTCAAACTATCGTAACTCAGTTAATACTTGGTTGATTCTCACAATCAAAACCTGGATCTGCAAGAGAAAACTCTCAGCTTGCAATAGAAACAAACCGCGAACGGCTCCGATCACCGGTTGTAGAGCTATGCGACTCGACATGGCAAATTTCAAGTAGATATTTTGCGCCGTCTGCAGAACGCGTATTTTTCATTTTGGATCATTTTTGTGTTACCTGCGCTGCCATGGAAACCAGATTCAAATGATGTTAGTGTATCTCGTGAGTCATCACAAAAAATTGAACTCAATACGAGCAAGGAGACCGAAATGGCAGCTACATATTTGAGCTCTTCTAGTCTTGGCCGTGCTCAAGTCTGTCGAGCGTGTGGATGAAGTTTACCAGACCATAACACGGGGTTTTGGTTTCGCTCCGAGCTGAGTTTGACACCATTAAGTTCCTCGTCTCAAGACGTTTCCAGGAAGCTAGTTTTTTCATGGGAAAATGCGACTTTTACAGGTGTTGACGTGAGTCGCGTTCAGGCAGTGAGTGTCGTGCTAAAGAGGTGAAGTATCTGGTCTTACAGTACTCCTCGCTCTAATGGGTGCGGAAACACTAGGATGTTGATAAAATAATGATGATTGATAAAATATTGAAGAAAAACACATGGGAGCAAGTTATGGAGCAGTTATCCACGACTGGATAGTGGATAGTTGCTTCATATCTCGTTCCCATGTGTTTTCTTCTATAAGCACGTATTTCTGGCTCGGTACTCGTGGTGAATAAAACTTCCTGCTGCTATAGTGCATAAAATCGACTATGGCAACAAATTGATTAGGCCGGCTGCAGGGACACTCTAGCGCTACACTCGCCTCAGCACCATCTAAACATTTTGTTATTGCAGTTCACGATACGAACAAAGCCCTACGTAATGCGTACAGGGAGGTCCTGTGCGCCGCTTGCAAATGAAAATAGAAATAGACTCAGATGTTTGGAGAATGGATGCCAGAGTTACGGACTTTAAGGTGAGGTGTGTTTTCAGTAAAAAATTACCCGTTTTCGCTGGTCTTAAGAGCCCAGGCAGCAGTGTCCCGCAGCTGTCATATGCTAATAAATTTGGTTACTTCCAACACTGCAGCTTGTGCTTTAACCGCAGACTTGACACTTGATTCACAGCTCCCATTCAGAATATCCAAGAAGTTCATTGAACGTTTTAGGATCGGTGCCTTTTTGCGGGGTTAACAAGTCAAAATTCGATAGACTTCTAGTGTGCTGTGGATGACAGTGGAATCCATTCCCTGAAATTGCATGGTCTTTGGCTGACTGGAAACTATGACAACAGGGAAAACGATTAGCTGAAGCACCAGTCTCCACAAGGTTGGAGACAAGCTTAAATACTAGTGATGTACCGAATAATCGATTATTTGAGTATCCTCGATCTCTTGGACGTCAACGAATAATCGATCGGATAGAATCTAGGTCGAAGGTTTGAACATTCAAATATTCGCGGGCGCGCGAAGTCCGTGCGCGACTCAAGTTAGGAGCTTATATCCTTTTTTTGGTTCTTCTTTGCTATATCCTAATCTACTTGTATGCAGCTTACGACATGGCAACCTTGCTTCATGTTAACCACAATACTCTGACCATTGCCAATGCTCAATACAGCAACAGAGGGACTTACATCTGCAGGTCAGAAATCGATGTGACACCCATAGGTATCCGCTTCAGTACAGCTAGCGTCAGTGTCATTGTGCAAGGTAAAGTAACATTCGGTGATAAAGTAATTAAGGGATGTTCACTTTCCGAAACCCATTTAATTACTATTGGAACTAAGCTGCACGTGAGGCATTGCGTAGAGGTGCTGATCCGGCCCATTTTCTTATGCAATCACATGATGGCCTTGGCTATGCAGTAGAGACTCTCTTATCCAAACCTCTCTGTGACCAATGTAGGGAAGGGAGTGCTCAGGATTGTAAACACACAAAGTACCCGGTAGAAGCAATGCCAGAATCACCTTTATTCCCGTAGCTATGCAGAAGACGTTTCTTCAGTAACGTCTGGCGCTAGCCAGGGTCCACACAGCTTTAATTTGGTGTTTGTTTGTTTGTTTGTTTGTGTCATGCCTGGCGCTATCCCGTATCTGTCCCGTACTGTACCGTACCAGCAAAGACAGCTGGCCACAATACTTTTGTTTGTTTGTGCCATCGACATGCCTGGCGCTATCCCGTACCTGTCCCGTACCATCAAGAGTACGGTACCATCAAGAGAATGAGTATATATGCGAAGTGTATCGGGGGAATGCATTCAGTGTATTAACATTTTGTGTGGATTTGTGTGCAAGGCCGAGATCCCACTAGCAGGCTGGCTGGGCCGCCTGTCGACCAGCCCGGGAATCGCATGTAGGCCGATAGCATAATAATTATAACGTATATACAGTCATGTAGATGTATAGCAGGGAGTCATATTACGTAAACGTCTCCCTGCTGTATGGGGAGATTTTCTGGAAAGAAAAACGAAGTAGGGAGACGAGTAAATGCAATCAGAGTGGATGTTAGTTGCCGTAAGTATAATAATAATAATAATGAGAAGAAGAAGAACGCCCGTGATCGGCAGAGTCAGCGCCGGTCCCAGGAAACGTCAGGGCAGACATCCCGTCGACTCCAGAACGCCCGTGATCGGCAGAGTCAGCGCCGGTCCCATAGCTATGCAGAAGACGTTACTTCAGTATCTCATTGAAACGTTTTTGCAATATAATGATGTAGCTAATCAAAGGAAAAAGCATTTCCATCAGTTCGAACAACATGCACGATGAGCTAGGCAACAAAGCATAGCGCAGGGCCCTGAGCTTCCAAGCTCTCTCGTTTCTGTATCCTGTGTTACTGTCTAAATAAGTATCCTAGCGTTTGTATTCAATGCGGCTGGATGATAATCTTTTACTTCTTCTTCTAGTATGCACAGTTCAGAAAGAAATGAGCCCCGGCCAGCGAAAACCAGCACTTGTGTACTTGATATCAATCATCAAAATGTGACGTCAAAGTTTGGGACGCGCAGTGAGCTGGCTTTTGAAGATTCTTTTTCGATCGAGTGGGTGTCTTTGTTGTCAAAGGAGTTTCGAGTGTCTTCAAATGTCTCTGGTCAATTGATTTTAGCGCTAGAGGAGAGCTCGTCACACGGAGGTTGAGTTTAGACACAGCGATGGCGACAGGTGTCGCGACAAGGACTTAGCCTTAGGTCCAGAGTTGTCAGCATGAGACTCCCTGTACGAAGCGGCGCTGAAAGTTAGTTCGCGATCGGAATTATTTCTTTGGTGGCGACCTCGCTGAGTTTGTCCAGCAGTGGCAAGTCTCATATGCATAGCAATGAAGAGCCCTCATAAAATCGACACTGGATACTGATGGCGACGATAGTCAGTGCTGGAGTAATATCGACTGCGAGGAGAAGCTGAATGTCGACCCGCTGAGCGATCCGTATTTCTACATCGACACCAATGATGTTGCAGACACTGATGGAGGGCTTCTCACGGCACAAAACAGAGCGTAGTATTATCAGTACTCTACCTTGCCAGACGACGCCAAGCTGGCTGCTGCCTGTGCTGAAAAAGGCGATCCCTAAAAAGTCAAACCGGCTGAACGCTTTGGGGCAACATCTTCACGTGCTACAAAACGCGAATATTCGCTCATATCATTGAAATACAATTACGGTATGCTGAAATCATGGTCTGAGTGAAAGTGTGCAAGGGAGTGGATGTCAGTGGTATTGGTCAGTACATCTATCAGTATGGCAAGCTTTGGGACAACGCTCAAACTGCCAGCACAGAGGTCCCTGAACACAATTTGGAAGGCCAGCCACCAATCATCGTTTTGCACTCTGGTGTTGTAAAGAAGGTAGTGGTGTATACGGAATATCGTCACACTTCTGAACTACTCATGCCTGCCGCACCAAGAGGGCAAGCCTGACTTGCATTATATTTACTTACATGTACCTGTCCCACATTACAATCAGAAACTGTAGGATCAACTTGCATGGAGTTACTGGGCATGGATGCTGCGCCAACTGTACCGAATCTTGACCTGTGTGACTTCAAACTCTATTTTCCATGCTTTTGCTCATCAGATTGTCACCAAACTTGATAACTTGAATGATTAATAGTGTAGAATCAATTTCGAGCGAAAAAATAATTTTTGAAAAATTACACATGTTCAGGTTTCTGCTGGCTGGGGCTCAAATATGGGGGAAACTGATGTTCACTATTTGAACGCCAGCAACTATCTGCATACTGCCCACCCGTGCTGTACCCATTGTAGGTTGCTGTTTCGAATTTGTATTCTCATGATAGCCAGTGGCCAATAAGAGATATACACTGTTCAAGAGGAGAAATAGCGAGGAACGCTGTTGTTTGAAATATTTATTCTCACGATTGCCAGTGTCCAGTGAGAGACTTTTAAAAGTAGTTACAGCAACGGGAATTCGCTTATGTTGAATAGAAAGCAGCACTAGCAGAGGCGGATTGAGAATGTGTACTGCTATGGGCAATCTGAGGAGTTGCATGTGGGGGTAATGACAAGAGGTATGGTTTGGGATTTGAATTCAGGCTTGAGGTAAAGAAAATGCGCGTGCTAGCCGTTTACAAATCGTTGCAGATGGGCATAGTACATGAAGCGCAGAAGCCACTGGAAATTTCGATTTGACCTTTCGTACCATTCTTCAAAGTCGGTAACCCTTTGAGCCCTACCATGGCATCCATGGATTCCTACATGGTTTAGCGCACAGGTGCGCGATCAACCGCGCGACAGTCCCAGTGTGCCTTTCAAAAATATCTAATTTCACTCCCCAGATTCACAGACAAACCTTTACTACACATATGTGAATAGGCATTCTGCCTCATTCCAATGTGTATCACTGTGGAACAGGCTCCAGCCCGACATCAGGAAAATCCCACAGTACCACCGATTCATGCGATCCCTCCCAGCACATGCTGCTTTTCAGTAATGCCACTGCCCGCTGTATTATTATTTCCTTTACTGGCCTAACTGGCTTTAACAAAGTAATACTTTACTACCCACTCTACTCAGTGTCATTACCTTCATTGGCCTTTTATAATTTATTCTCCTTTTTAGTCGACATCATGTAATTAGGCAAATTTGCCTGTTTGTTCTTCGACTCTAAATAAACAAACAAACAAACAGGCTGCTACCCGAACATGTTTACACAGCCAAAAATCCGTGTTGCAGCGCATTTTCGCTTATAAGCGCATGCGCTTATTTGTGGGGAAGTACGATATGGGAATTCATAAGTTTTCAAACTGAAAGAAGTACTCTGTGTGTGGTGAGGCCCATACATTGGATGCACATGTATAGTATTTTCCTGGGTATAGGCCGTACTTTAAACACTGAGCAGTGGAATGTTGTTGTTGTTGTTGTTGTTGACTTTTATTTTACTTCACCAATTGCACAGGCATGATTGCCTTCTTACCGGCCTATAGGTCCGGTTCTCACAGAAAGATGAAGAAAATTATATGAGGAAATGTATAGAGATAAAGACATGCAAGCAATGTTGTTGTTGTTGACTTTTATTTTACTTCACCAATTGCACAGGCATGATTGCCTTCTTACCGGCCTATAGGTCCGGTTCTCACAGAAAGATGAAGAAAATTATATGAGGAAATGTATAGAGATAAAGACATGCAAGCGGTAATGTCCGGGTATTCACTGCTGGTTGAGGAGTGGAAGGTACGGACCGGGTATTGAGTGCTGGTTGAGGAGTGGAAGGTACGGCCCGGGTATTCACTGCTGGATGAGGAGTGGAAGGTACGGCCCAGGTATTGAGTGCTGTTTGAGGAGTGGAAGGTACGGACCGGGTATTGAGTACTGGTTGAGGAGTGGAAGGTACAGCCCGGGTATTCACTACTGGTTGAAGAGTGGAAGTCGCCTACTGTGTAGCCATGTTTAGTTATGCAATGTATTCAGCTCCTGAACTTAGAATACAATTCAGCTAATGAAAAAATGTTTGCATCATGTCAATTAACTTCACTCTGACTGCCCTCCATTCTTCCTTGATGCTTCTTATCTCGGTGTTGTCATATGTAGTGAAACCCACCTTGCAAGTTGCAACTCAAAGTTTCACACAGCTGGAAAACTCACAAGTCGTTTTGGCCTTCACTATTCAGTCTCCTGTGGTTCCAGACGTTGTCGGCAACGATGTGAGTTAACTTCCCTTCTTAACCCCTTTAGCGCGAGCGTCGTACTAGTACGACGCACATGAGTTGCATGCCCCACGGCCGTCGTACTAGTACGACGCGCGCTGTACACTGTACAGTGAACCTGCATCTCATAGTCGTGGGGTCTATGTTGAGTCCATAGTGACTTGTTCAAACTATCGCAACTCACTCAATACTTGGTCGATTCTCACAATCGAAACATGTATCTGCAAGAGAAAACTCTCAGCTGGCGATAGAAACAATCGCCGAAGCGATTCGACTACCGGTTGTTGAGATATGCGACTCGACACGGCAAATTTCAACTCGATTTTTTTGCGCAGTCTGCAGAACGCGTATTTTCCATCATGGATCCTTTTTGCGCTACCTGCTGCCATGGAAACAAGATTCAAATGATGGTAGTGGATCCCGTGAGTCCTCACAAAAAATTTGAGCTCGATACGAGCAAGGAGACCGAAATGGCAGCTGAATATTTGAGCTTGATTAGTTTTGGCCGTGCTCAAGTCTGTCGAGCGCGTGGATGAAGTTTGCCAGACTGTAGCACGGGGTTTTGGTTTCGCTCCGAGCTGGGTTTGATACCAGTTTGTCCCTCGTCTCACGACCTTTCCAGGAAGCTCAAGATCGTGGAATTCGTCCAAGGGAAGGTAAAGTTATCGATCCTTGAGCAGCTAGTACTTTCATGGGAAAATGCGACTTTTACAGGTGTTGACGTGGGGCGCGCTCAGGTAGCGTCGTGCTAAAGAGGTTAACTGCGTATTGTATCATCTTTAACCCTTTGCGTGCTGAGTACGAGTTAACTCGCACTTTATGCATGACCTGATCCACTACGTACGAGTTAACTCGCAAAAAGTTCGCGCGCTCTATCGCAGTGCATAGACCAGTGTACAAACTTTCGTAACTTCGTCAAACATAAACGCATCGCGACAATCAATACACCGTTGGAAAGATCTTCACCTCATCTTTCCGGGGATATAAAGTTCTTCGCGATAGGATAAGAATGCATTGAGCGGCGACAAGATGAACACGGAAATCACGGCCCAGAGTGAACGCGCGCTGTATCGCAGTGCATAGACCAGTGTACAAACTTTCGTAACTTCGTCAAACATAAACGCATCGCGACAATCAATACACCGTTGGAAAGATCTTCACCTCATCTTTCCGGGGGTATAAAGTTCTTCGCGATAGGATAAGAATTCATTGAGCGGCGACAAGATGAACACGGAAATCACGGCCCAGAGTGAACGCGCGCTGTATCGCAGTGCATAGACCAGTGTACAAACTTTCGTAACTTCGTCAAACATAAACGCATCGCGACAATCAATACACCGTTGGAAAGATCTTCACCTCATCTTTCCGGGGGTATAAAGTTCTTCGCGATAGGATAAGAATTCATTGAGCGGCGACAAGATGAACACGGAAATCACGGCCCAGAGTGAACGCGAATTTTTTTGTTCATAACTTCTTTTTGTTGCAGAGCGTGCCAGGGGATTTCCCTTTTGGCACGGCGCATGCGTGATGGACATCAAATGAAGCGCTTGGATCTGAGCTTTGCAGCGCAGTTTGAATTGTGAAAATCTGTTGAATTTGGGCAAGAAGCCGAACAAGAATGTGAAATTGAGTTGTTGTGCCGTTCCGAGGCACGGTGGAGTAATTCGGAGAGGACCTGGATGTGGCCCTGATGTGTCTATGGAGCTGAGAGCTGCCAGGATGGATTCGCTTGGTCCTGATCTTTCCAACGAGCCCAGGACGATGAAAATCCATCAAGGTTGAGTAAAATCAGAATAAATTTCGTTCGGAGCTGTGAGTGCATACTCCACCAAGAGAGTCAGTGCGCTGTACGGCCAGTGGATTGGAGAAAAGGGGCTCAGCATGCAAAGGGTTAACAACAAATATCGCTTGCACCAATTGTTTTCAGCATTATCTTTTGCGATGGCTGGGTATCGCCCTCATCTCTGGGGTTGCTCAACCCACATTAGCGTTGTGTGCACATGCTACGCGATTGAGTTTAGTATTATAAAAATAATAGAATTTTAAAGATAGTGACATGTGATGTGGGGGGGGGGGGGGGTGATTCCCGATTGCTTAACAAGATCCAAGCGCGACTGACAACTATTTCACTATACCAACACAGCACCCAGTCTTCCTGGACTATTACTAAGCTGGTGAAAAAGGAGGACGAAATGTTACGAGTTATGACTAACTGTCCACCAACGTAACCAGATCTTATACAGTCAGCGAGTGCGACAAAATGGCACAAAACTGACAAAGGAGTACTGAGACATTCGGCGACCTGACACCTCAACACTTCTCCAAGGCGCAAACCAACAACTTTCCAACTTGGAAGGCTCATGGAGAGGTCCAAGAGGGGAAGGAAAGCGCAACGAAGAAGAGCACGAGCTACGCATTGCGGCACCATAATATAATTGGCTCACCATCCGTATTAAAGGGGAAGTATACCCTAAAATCAAATGTTCACCAGTTGTAGTCTTCGGGGTGCTGAGTCGAATGGTCTGGGTTCGAGGAAGCTGAGACGCTCCTTTCCTCCTTTATTCCCAATCGAACTCGCGCACTTCCACCGAAACTGGGTGACTGCGCGCTGCTAGATAGGGATTTGTATGGAAAAAGTCACTAAAAACGCCGTTTCGTTCTTATAAAAGCGCGGATGACCGCGATTGGTCCATATGTTGTAGTCTTTTGGCCGCTGAGTCGACTAGTTTTGGTCCGAAAAGGCTGCGATGCAGCATTCCGCCCTTATACCCAATCGAACACGGTTGAGTAAGCGGTCACATGCTCATTTACAGCCGGTTTGGGCCCGTTTATGTCACTCGAGTTGAACCTTTGAACCAGGAAGTCGTAAAAGCCTCTTACGACTCCCTGCTTTGAACCTTTGAGTTGAATCTTGATGTGAAAATTGTACACTGCAGGCACGGTGACCAGGCGACTGGTGTACGCATGAGCACGTGACCGCTCACTCAACCATGTTCGATTGGCAATAAGGGCCGAACGCTGCATCGCAGCCTTTTCGGACCAAAACCAGTCGACTCAGCGGCCACAAGACTACAACATATGGACCAATCGCGGTCATCCGTGCTTTTATAAGAACGAAACGGCGTTTTTCGTGACTTTTTCCATACAACTCCCTATCTAGTAGGGCGCAGTCACCCAGTTTCGGTGGAAGTGCGCGAGTTCGATTGGGAATAAAGGAGGAAGGGAGCGTCTCAGCGTCCTCGGACCAAGACCATTCGACTCAGCACCCGGAAGACTACAACTGGCGAAAATTTGATTTTAGGGTTTACTTCCCCTTTAATAAGCTCTTACAGGAATAAAGTGAAGTGGATAAGACGACATTTTTGCAACCACTTCATCGAGGCCCTTAACCTTCATCAAAGCAAACGGTCTCTTCTCCGTAAATTTCCAGTTGATTGACATGTTGGAAATTTTGTAGCAAAAAGACCACTTGCTTGGATCATGGTGTAAGTTTTTCCGTGGCTAAGAGAGCAGTTTGATAAGGTATCTTATTTGCTTACTTACTTAATAACTTATTATTTCGCTTTATTCCCGGCAAGAGACGACGATGAGAAGGGAACGAAAGTGTTTGGTGCGGAAATTCCCGCTATATTCTTGTATACTTAGGTGGGCGGCCTAGCTGCATGTACCACATCAACCCTGTAAGAATTATCGCGATAGGACAAGCTGAATCGACATTTACAACGGCTTTGACTGCTTTATCGTATTATTAAATTCTCGAAGAACGAACGAATAATGCAAGAATTACCTAAAAGGCCTTCAACTCAATGTAGAACTACAATTGAAACTGCAAAGGACTCGTGAGATTTAAGCGATTCATTCGTCATGCTGGGCTATACACCTGCTGGGTAAATCGCCTTGAATAGATTGAAAGTCGCAAAAGTAGCTCGACGGAAACTCTGATATAGGTTCAGTTCTTGAAGGGTGCGTTAAATTTGTCACCGCTCAATAATTTTGTGAGGTACTAGTATCGCAACACCAAACACACCTCTGGAAAGCCCTCTCCAATACCGTTTAAATACGCCATTGGTCATGGCAATGCAATATTTTCGTTCCATATTGAAAACTGTACAATGGTCTATCCATTGTGTACGGCATCTGCATATACAGCATGACTCGTCATATCCTAGACGCGATGGGGTCTACATGACGAGTTTTCTTGTCATAAAGCTGGAAAGGGGTAAAGCATTGTATATTGGAAATGACTCGTCTTGTCCTACAAATTGGACTTATAGTCAATTCAACTCAATATGCATACCAAAGTACAGTACACGTTTCAGTGGGTGAGTGAGGGTGAAGGGGGGGGGGGGGGCTTGGGTGATTAGTATAAGCATCTTGTATGAAGCAGGAAAGGTCTCCTCAGCCCTCCTGTACACTTCAGGTTGATTTAATGTATGCTATGGACTCTAATATCCAACACTGCAGTCTTCTGTTGCACATGATACAGATGTCTTGAAACTGTAGCAATTTTGTACCAATGTGTGAGGTGGTCAGCTGTCTTCCTTCTGTATATTGCTCTCTAGATTACCTGGGAAGGACCAATGGGTGTGCTTCCATCTTCATCAACCTCGAAGTACACATTCTCTGCTAATCGCCGCAGTGTGACTATCCTAACTCTTGGAAGACCAGATGCCGGCACATACACAGTCACAGCTTCAAATGCTGCGGGATCAAATTCAGCTACCTTCTCTGTGGTGGTGAATGGTATGTTGACACGGGCGGTGGTGTGAGAAGGGCGGGCGTTTGCATGTCATGAATCAGCAGCTAGCTGCAACATGATTGTTCATGCCGTTATCCGAGGAGCATATTGTAATGCAGAGGTGTTGCCCTCATTGAGAGTTGCTTCAGCTCCAGAGAGTGCTTGATGTACCTAGTTGCAGCGGCTTTTTCACTAGGGGTCACCTGTAGTAAGAGAAAAACATATAAGGTACATCAAATAGCTGTCTCAGAGGAAAATCTACCAATGCCTATGTTCTAGACTCAACTTACCAAGTATGAAGGTTGTTAGTTTGCATGTTGGAGATGTGTTCTTGTTTTTCATCTGCTGTTGAAGGTCTCACTGTTCCGTTTTTGCGTGCCCAATTGTTGCACGATCTGATTGTATGGACTCGGATGGAGAGCCAAGGATCAATTTATAGAAGAGAAAAAAGGACCAACTGGTGGTGTAGTGGACATTATAGCGTAACTTGTAGTTCCTTGGTCCTTTTTCTTTTCTATAAATTTATCTGATTGTATAGTTATCATTCCGATTTCATTGGATAGTAGATAGTAGCGGCAACTTCGGTGATGATTATATACGAAGGGAGCAAACACCTTTCCTAACTTGGTAAAGTGTCAATATTATTCTCTTCTAAAGAAGTCCATTTCCGTGCCTCAGAAGAACCATACCAGCGATAATAAACAACACACTGCATGACAATATTTATACGAAACGATCGGTTTTGGTCAGAAGAGGCCCAAAGGGCACAAAACTGACAAAGAGTACTGAGACATTCAACGACCTGAAACCTAGCTCCAACACACCTACGAGGCGCAAGCCAACAACTACGTGACCTTCCAACTTGGGAGGCTCAGGTTAGGAAAGTTCCAAAGAGGGGAAGGAAAACACAGCGAAGATGACCGCGAGCTATGTCCCACTTACGGTCATAACTCGCAACATTGTGTCCTTTATCCACCATTGACTTGGCTCAACATCCAAGTTCGAATACTGTAAAACATGTAATTTTCGGTGTAACTTTAATTTCGGTGATTTCGGTAGAGAAACCAAGCCCTAGAGTATGCACTCTATGGGAATCGAAAGCTGGTCACCTAATTCAAAATTACACCTGAAACCTGGCAGGTCCCTGCCACCGAAATTTTAATGCACCTCAAATTACATGTTTTACAGTATACAAATTCTTCAATTTTATGTGAGTTGAGTCATTGCCGTTAGCCCAAGACACATTTGGTTCATGAAAGGGTAGGGAAAAGTCTAAGCTGATTTTGTAATACTTTCTAGAAATCATTAGAGCACCCACACGATGTCCATCACATCATGGAATGAAATGCGGTCGTGACTACACTGCGGAGCTTGATCTATTGCTTCTGTATATTCCGTGTGGTGTTTGAAATCTTCCAGTCATTCCGATTATCTCGACACCAGCGGATGGTGCTGTACTGACGGTCAATGAGTCTTCAGCCCTTGCCATTGTTTGTACATCAACAGCATTCCCAGCTCCAACTAGTACATGGATGTTCGATACCAGTCCATTACCTGCTGGAGCTGTGTCAATGGCTTCAACTCCGGGTGAGTTTGCAAAACAGCTTTCTGGTAATATTTGTTTTGAAATGAAAACTCCTCAGTTTCAGGGAGGTAGCTGAAAATGGGAAGCCTGGAGCAATTAGTGGTAATGACGATTAAGTGCCCAGTTTCTCATCGCCTTGACTTTGACTGCGATTATGAGCCAGTTGCAATTGATGGAGCATTTTCAGCTGTTGTGTTTTCAAAACTAGTTACTTAAGGCAAAATCCAGGGTTGAATACGCCAACGAATAGGCGACGTAAATCCTGGAGTTTCATGAGAGAGATGACTAGTACTTTAACCCTTTAGCCACAGGAAAATTTCAAAATTCTGCTTTTTTTCGTATTCCTTGGATCATAGCTTCAGTTCTACTCACTCAATCCTCACAATCTAGGGCTTCCTGGAACAGTCTCTGCGAGAGGAAGAGAATAAGGTCGATCATGATAGCCAGCACACCGTCTATCCAGCGCTAGATCGCAGCGACAGTACGAAAAATGCCCCAAATGCGTCCAATTGCGTCCCGCTCCAGATATTTCATTTTACTCGATCGTGGAGTTCCAATTTTTTCGCTGTGTACTCTTGACAATATCAACAGTGAAACCCGTGCAAATTCGAGTTAACCAGCGTGACGGAAAGTCTCAAAATTCTCAATACTAAAGTCGCACTGCGCGCTTTTGAAATTGCCGCGATCGCGGCTCAACTTACGAGTGATTTATCTCAGGAACCGTTGCTCGCAGTGCTTCGCGGATTGTTTCCCCCGACAGGTGAGAGTTTTCTCTTCGCCCTGGATATTTCAATCACTGGATTTGAGCGAGATTGGACTGAGTTACGACCTTTTGAAGTTTTGCATTTGAATGCGTCGTTTACGACGCATTCAAGTATGGGGCGGCTCTTAACCCTTTAAGAGCCGCCCCATACTTGAATGCGTCGTAAACGACGCATTCAAATGCAAAAATTCAAAAGATCGTAACTCAGTCTAATCTTGCTCAAATCCATCGATCGAAATATCCAGGGCGAAGAGAAAACTCTCACCTGTCGGGAGAAACAATCCGCGAAGCGCTGCGAGCAACGGTTCCCGAGATAAATCACTCGTAAGTTGAGCCGCGATCGCGGCAATTTCAAAAGCCCGCAGTGCAACTTTAGTATTGAGATTTTTGAGACTTTTCGTCACGCTGGTTTACTCGAATTTGCACGGGTTTCACTGTTGATATTGTCAAGGGTACACAGCAAAAAAATTGGAACTCCACGATCGAGTAGAATGAAATATCTGGAGCGGGACGCAATTGGACGCATTTGGGGCATTTTTCGTACTGTCGCTGCGATCTAGCGCTGGATAGACGGTGTGCTGGCTATCATGATCGACCTCATTCTCTTCCTCTCGCGAATACCTTTCCAGGAAGCCCTAGATTGTGAGGATTGAGTGAGTAGAACTGAAGCTATGATCCGAGGAACATGAAAAAATGCAGATTTTTGAAAATTTCCTGTGGCTCTTAAAGGGTTAAAGGGTTAACGTAACAAGGCAGACATTGAATACCACTTACAGTCAACCCTCATTAGGACAAACACTGATAAGGCGAACTTCCCTTTAGTACGAACTAGGGCCAATCCTATGGTTGGCCAGGCATCACATCAAGTCAAAATTATTCGTTTACGACGAACTCCTGTACGGCGAACTTTCGTGAAGACGAACTAATTTCAAGCGTGATTTGAACAAGATCAGCATGTAGTACGAACTTTCGGTCCCCATGGGTGCGCTGGCTGTAATTTTTCCGATAGTCTAGGCCTCTTGTACTGGCAGAACATGTCATAAGGCGGAGGACATGCTATCATGAATCCATTGCACATTGTACTTACCTGTTGCTGGGTTATGTTGTGAAAAAAAATGTTTCACATTTGCCACAGCATGCACCTTCGCACAAATACAATCCATCTGATATGCATATCAATGTTTTTGTCAGGTCTGGATAAGAAGAACCCCGGATAAGACAAACAAACTTGTTCGATCCCTTGAAGTTCGTCCGAACGAAGTTTGACTGTATATACCCCTTACACGTATAACCGTGTTCCCCTTGGTAATTGTAGTTGTTGAGACCAATTTCACTGATGATATCTCAAGAAAACCAATTAAGAAACCTCTCTGTTCACTGCATTATTCTGTCGCCCCATCGTTCAATGGCCCCTTCTTTCTATAAATACTACACATCGCTATAATCGGAAACATTGGAATGTTGACAAAATAATAATGAATAAAAGTGTCGCAATCAAGAAAACAAAAGTATCCTGATACTTTATTACATAAAATCGATTATGGCAACAAATTGATAAGACCGGGTGCGGGGACAACCTGATAATTTCGTTATGGCAGTTCACTATACGAAAAAAGCCCTGCGTAATGCGTACAGGGAGATCCTATGCGCTGAAATTTGGGAAATGGATGCTTGACTTACGGACTTTTATGTATGGTGTGTTTTCAGTAAAAATCACCCGTTGTCGCTGATCCTTAGAACCCAGGCAGCAGTGTCCCGCAGTCAAAAGGCCGTCAGGAAACGTCTTGGACGACAAGAAGACATCGCGTCTTATCCCCGTTGTATACGCAATTTCTCGTCTTGTCTCCCTTGTATTCGTCTGGTTGTCGTCTCGTCTCCGTCGTATTTGACCGTCTGCCGACTTTGTCTCCCTTCCCGTTCGGGACTGGTTGCATTACCCATGGGCACCAATTTCGCGTCTACCGCCGCACTTTTCCTAACGTCTTCACAATAGATTCCCTTGTCTTGTCTTGTCTCGGTGTCAGTTGTCTCGTCCTCTCATGAAAGCAAGAAGAGAAAGCTCTCTCTATAAACTAAAGCATCTTGGCCTTTTGGTGTGTGGCGTGGCACGGTCGCGCAAGAGGAGAACAGTTCGTCCCAGTTGTTGACGACACTCTTGACGACGATGATGTTTTGGATGCCAGCTCTGATGGAACGCAAACTTTTCAACACTTCACTTTGCCAACTTTTAATGATCTGAATTCAGTCTGGTCTTTTTTATATAAAAGCTTTGTCCATCTAAACCGATGTGCCTACAAGTTGTACCTGACCATAACCACTCTTGAGTTACAGCAGCCAATCGAATGCCGCATTTTCCCCACTAATTTAATTGGTCCATAAAGGGTTAACAAGTCGAAATTCGATAGACTTCTTTTGTACTGTGGATGGCAGTGGAATCATTTCTCCAAAATTGCTTGGTCTTTGGCTTACTGGAAAACTACGACAACAGGGAAAACGATTAGCTGAAGCACCAATCTCCACAAGGTTGGAGACAACCTTAAATACGTACTCACAGGAGTAGGAAGCAAGTTTTGGAGCTCTGTGAATTTGCGGGCATTTTGCCGATTTTGGAACGCCGAGAGTGTGTTCCATTCAGTTAGCGGAGGACCATTCAAAGAATGATCATGCGTTCTACATTAAACTGCTGCTTTCTGCCGGAATCAAGCAAAGTGAGGTGAAGCAAGTGGATTTAGATGGCCGGCAAGGATTCTGCAGAATCACATTTTGAAGCACTGAAGTAAGAGCTGATTATGTTGACTCAAGGCCTACCGTTTGTAGGGACGCCTTTGACCTCGGTGTTTGGAGATGGTGCTGTAGTTTCAACGCATGCTTTTGGCGTGGCTGAAGATGTTTCCCTCTCCGCCATTGTATCATGCACGGTGAGCAGCAAGCCAAAGCGGGAGGTGAAAGCCGTCGAGGAGTGCACATTCAGCACACGGTGTGTGTCCTGGTGCATGGCGGGAATACGTGGAAACTGTAGTGGCCCTGAAAGGGTCAAACCCAGGGGGCAATCATTGTGAAGGGTTACCGCATATCTACCGGAAAATATCTGTTGTATTCATTGAGAAGTTGCTTACAAGTTCAAGTTAGGATCTCATGTCCTTTTTTTTGGTTCTTCTTTGATATATTCTAATCTACTTGTATGCAGTTTACGACATGGCAACCTTGCTTCATGTTGACCACAATACTCTGACCATTGCCAGTGCTCAATACAGCAACAGCGGGACTTACATCTGCAGGTCAGAAATCACTGTGACAACCATAGGTACCCGCTTCAGTACAGCTAGCGTCAGTGTCATTGTGCAAGGTAAAGTAACATTCGGTGATAAAGTAATAAAGGGATGTTCACTTTCCGAAGCTCATTCAATTACTATTGGAACTAAGCTGCAAGTGAGGCATTGCGTGGAGGTGATGATCCGGCCCATTTTCTTATCTAATCATAGGATGGCCTTGGCTACGCAGTAGAGACTCTCTTATCCAAACCTCTCTGTGACCAATGGGGGGGGGGGGGGGGGGGCGTGCTCAGGATTGTAAACACACAAAGTACCTGGCAGAAGCATTGCCAGTACCAATGCCGGAATTACTTCTATTTCTGCATCCTGTGTTACTGTCAAAATAGGTATCGTAGCATTTTTGTTCAATGCGGCTGGATGATAATCTGTTACTTCTTCTTCTAGTATGCACAGTTCAGAAGGAAATATTGGGGAAACTGATGTTCACTATTTGAACGCCAGCAACTATCTGCGTACTGCCCGCTCGGTGCTGTACCCATTGTAGGTTGCTGTTTTAAATCTTTATTCTCACGATAGCCAGAGGTAAAAAAGTGTTAAAGAGGAGAAATAGCGAGGAACGCTGTCGTTTGAAATGTTTATTCTCACGATGGCCAGTGTCCAGTAAGAGATGTTTAACCCTTTCCATGCCATGGACGCGTATACGCGTTTTTTAGTATGAGCCAATTGGCCATGGACGCGTTTACGCGTTCTGCCTACACTGTACAATGTACACTGTACAGTACATGTGTATCGCGCGCTATAGACGAGTGTACAAACTGTCATAACTCCGTCCGAATATCTCAGACTGCTAAGGTTGAGACACCGCTGGAAAGGTATTGAGCTCAGCCTTCCAGGGATATAAAGTTCTTAGCGATACGACAAGGTATGACCGAGCGGCGACAAATTGAACGGCCGGAATGCGCAAATTTCACTTTTTGGCGATCAATACAATTTTTTTGTTCGCGACTTCGTGCGGGCTAGGGGATTTCCCCCGGATACAGCGCGTGCACAGTCAGCTTCAACAAACGCGCTTGAATCTCAGCTTTCCAACGCAGTTTGAATCGTGAAAATCAGTTTACAATGAGAAAGAAGACTACAGAAAACATGAGAGGCAGTGGTTTTGTTATTATCAGGCATGGTAGGGGGACTTGGAGAGGAGATGGAAGTGGCCCTGGTATGCCTGTCGCGCTGTGAGTCCCTGAAATGGCTTCCTGTGGTCCAGATCTTTCCAACAAGCCATGGATCGTGAAAATCCATCAAGGTAGAGTGAAATAGCAATAAATTTCGTTCTGATGTGCGCGTGCAGCTTTGAACAGGTGAGCTCAGCGCCTGAACAATGCGCGGCCAACACAGGAAACCATGCTGGCATGGAAAGGGTCAAGTAGTTACAACAAGAGGAATTCACAGAAAGCAGCACTAGCAGACGCGGATTGAGAATGTGTACTTCTGTGGGCGATCTGAGCAGTTGCATGTGGGGGGTAAAGACAAGAGGTATGACTTGGGATTTGAAGTCAGGCTTGAGGTTAAAAGAAATGCCCGTGCTAGGCGTGTACACGACCAAATGGTTGCACGTGAACATACGGTAGCACATGAAGGGCAGAAGCCACTGGAAGATTTCGACTTGACCTTTCGTACCATTCTTCAAAGTCGTTAACAATGGCGATACGAGCACATGGCCACAGGAATGTGCGCTTATATCAGGACTTGGGCATATACGTACCGCAAAGCATCGCCGGCAAGGACGGACATGACTACCGCTTTGTGCATATTCCACGCTTGCCGTATTTTCCGGGGTATTAACCGCACTGGAGTATAAACCGAACTGGAGTTAAGCTGCATTGGAGTATAAACTGCACTAGAGTATAGGCCACACCGGAGTATAATCCACAGTGGAGTTTAAACTGCACTGGAAAATACACCGCACTGGAGTATAAGCTACACTGGAGTATAAACCACACTGGAGTATAAACCCCACTGGAGTATAAACCGCACCACACACACACACACACACACACACACACACACACACACACACACAAACACACACACACACACACACACACACACACACACACACGCACACGCACACATACAATCACACACACACACACACACACACACACACACACACACACACACACATACACACACACACACACACATACACACCCGTACAAGTACCGTATTTTCCGGAGTATAGGCTGCACTTTAAACACTGAGCAGTGGAATGTCTGAGTATTGAGTGCTGTTTGAGCTGTGGAAGGTACGGCCCAGGTATTGACTTCTGGTTGAGCAGTGGAAGGTACGGCCCGGGTATTGACTGCTGGCTGGGGAGTGGAAGGTACAGCCCGGGTATTGACTTCTGGTTGAGCAGTGGAAGGTACGGCCCGGGTATTGACTGCTGGCTGGGGAGTGGAAGGTACAGCCCGGGTATTCAGTGCTGTTTAAGTAGTAGAAGGTACGGCCCGGGTATTGAGGACTGGTTTAGGAATGGAAGGTACAGCCCGGGTATTGAGGACTGGTTTAGGAATGGAAGGTACAGCCCGGGTATTGAGGACTGGTTTAGGAATGGAAGGTACAGCCCGGGTATTGAGGACTGGTTGGGGAATGGAAGGTACAGCCCGGGTATTGAGGACTGGTTGGGGAATGGAAGGTACAGCCTGGGTATTGAAGACTGGTTGAGGAATGGAAGGTTCAGCTCGGGTATTCACTGCTGGTTGAGGAATGGAAGGTACAGCCCAGGTACTGAGTGCTGGTTGAGGAGTGGAAGGTACGGACCGGGTATTGAGTACTGGTTGAGGAGTGGAAGGTACGGACCGGGTATTGAGTACTGGTTGAGGAGTGGAAGGTACGGACCGGGTATTGAGTACTGGTTGAGGAGTGGAAGGTACGGCCTGGGTATTCACTGCTGGTTAAGGAGTGGAAGTCGCCTACTGTGTAGCCATGTTTAATTATGCAATGTATTCAGGTCCTGAACTTAGAATACAATTCAGCTAATGAAAAAAATGTTTGGATCATGTCAATTAACTTCACTCTGACTGCCCTCCATTCTTATTTGATGCTTCTTATCTCGGTGTTGTTCATATGTAGTGAAACCCACCTTGCAAGTTGCAACTTCAAATTTCACACGGCTGGAAAACTCACAAGTCGTTTTGGCCTTCACCATTCAGTCTCCTGTGTTTCCAGACGTTGTTGGCAACGATGTGAGTTATCTTCCCTTCTTAACTGCGTATTGTATCATCTTTAACAACAAATATCTATTGTACCAGTTGTTAGTATTTTTCAGCCACTTCATCACACGGAAGCCCTAAATCCTCATCAAAGCAAATGTCTCTTCTCGATAGTTTTCCCTTTGATCTAGGTGTTGAGTCACCTCCACCATTAATCTGATCTAGGTGTTAGAAATTTTGGAGCAAAAACACCACTTGCTTTGATCATGGTGTACGTTTTTCCGTGGCTAAGAGAGCAGTTAGATAACGTATCTTATTATCAGATTGAGTATCTTATTGCGTGTTCAACACGGATGGAGAGCCAAGGATTAAAATTGAGAAAAAAAAGAGGACCATAAGTTCACACGGTATCCGTTTTGTCCAACACTAACGATTATAAGCAGGGTACTGTGCAAGAACGCCGATTTCGCTTTTTCTGAAAACAGTTCTAGTGGATTGTGAAGAGAAAAAGATGGCCACGATGGCCCTCCTCATGGCAAGAAGCTCCGCGCTGTGTGTGCACCGATTTTGACAAGTGAACTGCGGAACTCGACCATGACCTTTCGATATGGAGTATGAAAGATGTAAAGACGATCGCGCAGGGGTGAAGTGCTTAGATGCAAGGTTTGTGGACGTTTCGCAGAGAAAATTTGTCAGTCCAAATATTTCCCGGAGTCCTTCATCGTTGGGTTCAGAAATTTGAGAACGTTGGACTTTCAAAGACATGGGTGGCAAGATGGTATGTCCGGGCATGTCCGACCAGTTGAAGAAGTGTCAGGATATTATGTCGGAACGACCATGCTTTCTTATCGCATGGCCTGCAGTGCATTGATTTTTTTGTGCCTGGGCACTGCCTGGGCACTGAAGTTCAGTGCATCAGCACAATTGTGGAGAACAAAGCAATCAAATTACACAACACTCTTGTACTTCAACCGAATTGCATTATTTATGGCCTACTGGAAAGCTCTTTATCTGCTGCTTGTCTTCTTCGTGCTTTCAAAAAACATACACCACACCTAGAACGCCCCTTGCCTCACCAGCATTGTCCCACCGTGCTTTAGTTTAGCATTTCGAGGGCTCAAACTTAAAAGAAATGACTGAGATATGATGGATTTACTGATCGACGGATAGTCGTAGATTTTTGACGGGTCGAACGGATAAGGGTTAACGTAGAACTGCAATTGAAACTGGAAAGCATTCGTGAGATCCAAGGGATTCGAGTGATATAGTCAATCGTCATGCTGGGCTTTACACCTCCCAGGGAAATCCCTTTGAATAGATTGAAAGTCGCAAAAATCGAAGACGGAAACTGTGAAATGTGTTCATTTCGAGAAATGCGCTTTAAATATGTCGCCGCTCAATAATTTTGTGAGGTATTGCAAATCTGAACACACCTCTGGAAAGCCGTTTCCAAGACCGTTTAAATACGCTATTGGTTATGGCACTGCAATATTTCGTTCCATTATAGAAACTGTACAGTGGACTATCCATTGTGTACGAAAAGTCCATATAAAGCATGACTCGTCATATCCCAGACGCGATGGGGTCTGCATGACGAGTCATCTCTTCATAAAGCCAGTAAGAGGTAAAGCATTGGATATTGGAAATGACGCGTCTTGTCCTACAAATTGGACTCGTAGTCAATTCGACTCAATATGCATACCAATGTACAGTACACGTTTCACTGGGCAAGTGAGGGGGAGGGGTGTGGGGGATTGGGCGATTTGTATAAGCATCTTGTACGAAGCGGGAAAGGTCTCCTCAGCCCTGCTGTACACTTCAGGTTGATTAAGTTAATGTGTTCCCTGGACTCCAACATCCAACACTGCTGTCTTCTTTTACACATGATACACATATCTTGAAACTGTAGCAATTCTTGTAACGATGTGTGAGGTGGTCAGCTGTCTTCCTTCTGTATATTGCTCTCTAGATTGCCTGGAAAGGACCAAGGGGTGAGCTTCCATCTTCATCAACCTCGAAGTACACATTCTCTGCTAATCGCCGCAGTGTGACTATCCTAACTCTTGGAAGACTAGATGCCGGCGAATACAATGTCACAGCTTCAAATGCTGCGGGATCACATTCAGCTACCTTCCTTGTGGAGGTGAATGGTATGTTGACACGGGTAGTGGTGTGAGAAGGGCTGGCATTTGCATGTCGTGAATCAGCTGCTAGCTGCAACATGATTGCACTGCTGACTGTTTAGTTTTCAGTATGATTTCATTGATCGACTGTTGCTGATAAATCGTGCCTAGGAGATCACAATAATTGTCATTGGGAGCATCTCATAAGGGGCCGTCCGTGAATATCGAACATTTTTCACCAAACGAATTATTTTAGTTTGGTCCCAACCCCTCCCTCCCTCCCCCTCAGAACGTAAAAAACGTTGACATAATACATGCAAGAGTCGCAAGTGTGTCACTGCTCCTATGGCTGTGTACATGTACATGTATCAATGCTTTCTGAAACAAAATTGGTCAACCCCCTCCCACCCCATAACGAAGTTATTTCGTTTTGTGAAAAAAACATTCATGTCCATGTAGATGTGCATACTATGGCATGGGGCATGGACATGTACTGTAGTAGATCTACACAGCAAAATATGCCATAAGACTTTCGAACAGATGGGGGGGGGGGGGTAAAGTCTATTCGAAAAGCAATACATATACAAAAAAGTGCCAACTTAGGGGCCATCGATCTTTTTCACGAAACGAAAAAGTTTCGTTTATGGGTGGGTGGGTAGCGACCGGTTTCGTTTTGAAAAAACATCGAAAGCGGAAAAATCAACGCTCACTGCATGCATTGATGCATGCATACATTGTGTACATCGAAGTAGATCGACAGTAGAGTAGTCTATGTCGCGCGGCCAAGCAAGTGCTGCATGGAAGCAGTGATACCACTCTGTACTCAGTGCAGTGAGTTCCTTTCGTCCTCGGATGACTTCTCCGACGAGGACCTAGCAGTCATCATGGTCATTCACTCTGGGACCGACGACAGATAGATAAATACTTTATCCAGCCGCCGATGCAAGCGAATTTCAAATTACGGAGCGGGGCGCACGCCAAGTAAATTCTCACGCAAATATGGGGAGCGCCAGCCGCTGAAGACGATGTCGTCGTAATGTACCTGGAAGAATCTGATCGTGCTTGTGGTGGGGAAGCCATGGAGAGTGATCCCCGTGTCGACAGTCTTCCAGAGACGGAAAATTAGGCCACCGACTTTCTACGTACCTGATTGACGGCAGCGCAGCGCGGCGTGCGTGCGACCTTAGGGAGCTTTCCGACAGCGATTCTGAGGCGATGCTGCTCTCATTTGCGAGCGAGGCACGACCACTGAAGTCTGTGATAGCTATGGCTTTTGTTTCCGCTCCAAAGTCGACTTGTTTTGGCAGTATCATGTCAATGTCGGAACTCTGACGATTTGCAAGTGTACAATTCCCGTGTTTAGACGTAGAGGTGCCAGCAGCGTATGTGTGTGGTAGGTGAAAATAAATGTTTCCATGGTCAAGAATGAGTACCAGACTTCCAAGAAAAACATAACTAACGTTGTTACTTACTTGCACCATCACACAAAATGTGGCCTCGCTGTGTTGTAACAGCCAATCAAGATCATTTTCTGCACAAAGTCTCAAGTCAATTAATTTTTTCGTTTCATGGGGGTGGGTCATAACTAAACTTTTTCGTTTCGTGAAAAATATCGATAATTACGGATGGCCCCTTATGAGATGCTCCCTAACTATTATTATTATTATTCTTCAGACTTTTCCCGTTTGTCTCTTTCCCTCAAACCAGTTAATATTATTATTATTATTATTTGAAACTCGGATGTTGAGCCATAAATAAATGTAGAAAGGAAAAGGACATATGGATACGATTGGAAGGCTGTCGGTTAGCGCTACGGAGATGTGTTGAAGCTAGGTGTCAGGACGTCGAATGTCTCAGTACTCTTGTCAGTTTTGTGCTTGGTTATTGCACTTTCTGACTGTATATAGTATCCAGTTACAGTGATGGAGAGTTACTCTTAACTCGTATCCATATGTCCTTTTCTTTTCTACAATTAATATTATTATTATTATTATTATTATTATTATTATTATTATTATTATTATTATTATTATTATTACTACGCACACACTCATGGCCAAGGCCAATCAAGGAGGAGGTGAGGGCGATTATAGCCAGCCATGGCAAAAGAAAGAAGAAGAAAAACAAAACAAAAAACAAGTGCAAATCAGAACAACAACAATAAAAGAAGAGATTGGGCTGCAAATCAAGTTGTATTATTAGGTTTAAACGTTTACGGGAAATGGTCCGAGAGATCACGAACAAAGGCAGAAATGTTTTCACATGATTGCATTTTTTGGGGAAGCGAGTCCCAGAGAAAATAGCTAATGAAAACAGGCGAGCGACTCATTGAGTTATTTCTTGAAATAGGGAATCTTAGTTTATTACGACTTGACGAAGAGGAGTTAAACCAGTTAAGCGCATTTTGAATATGCATTGGGGCCTTCAGCAGTCTAATCTGATGGATAAATCTACCGCAGAGTCTGTTAATTATGGTTTGTAAAGGACAGGTTTTGCATTGGGAATACAGAATTGTTAATGGGGTGTCAAGAGGGAAGCGAAATATCGCTCTCAAAATCCTGCGATGCATTAGTTCAAGCCGCGCAAGCATTCCTGCTCCAGCACTGCACCACACAATGCTACAGTATAAAATTATGGGTAAGATATAGGAGGCGTAGGAAGCCCGACGACAGACTAGTGGTAAATGGCTCATGTGGCTGTATAGAACACCAACAGCCGAACTTGTCCGACGCTCGAGATACTCCAGATGGTGGGACCAACTCAAGCCTGAGTCAAAGATGACTCCAAGGTGTTTGTGGTGGCTAACAATTGGGATGGGCGTCCGGTCGTCAGGGAAGTGGAATAGGTACTGGTCGATGTGGGAAAGATCGGAACGCGGATGAGGTGGAATGCACAATATGACAGTCTTTCCAGCATTAGGTCGAAGTTTCCAGAGACACATCCATTCAACCACTGAGCGAATTTCCGACTGCAAAGAATTACACGCCATGGGCAGGGAAAGGTCAGATGCCACAAGAGTAGTATCATCGGCGTACAGGGAGGTATTTGGAACGCGAGTTAAGTCATTTACATAGAGCAAGAAGAGAAGAGGACCAAGTATTGAGCCCTGTGGCACACCGGAACAGACTTCGAGCGGTTGGGACAGCGAACCTGACAGGCTGACACCCTGACCTGTTGGACCCGGCAGGATAGGTAGCTTTCGAGCCACCGCAGAACATTGCCACCGATGTTAAAGGAGGCGACTTTGGCCAACAAACCACGGTGCCATACTGTATCAAAGGCCTTTGATAAACTAGTTATTATATAAACATGGTTACGTATGAGATAGTGGTAGCAACTTTGGCGATGATTTTATAGGAAAGGAGCAAACACCTTTCCTAACTTGGTAAAGTGTCGATATTATTCTTTTCTAATGAATTCCATTTCCTTTGTCTCAGAAGAAACGTACAAGCAATAATGAACAACACACTGCATGACAGTAATTATATGAAACGATCTATTTCGGTCGGGGGAGGCCCAAAGGGTTAAATAGGATGCCACTGTCTTGTGATCGCTCAACTGCGTGAACCTTACAGTTACAGCTCAACAGCCCTTCGCCTCCTGTGTTTGTGTATACTCCTCCGCACATTTGAGCATTGTGCAATGTAATTGATTTGCCTATACCAGCCCTGTTTGTAACAACAAACTTATAACAATACATGTGCGTCTGGGCAGGTCTGTGGAATGACTTTTTAACAAGCTGTGTTTGTTTCTCCTTGTTTCAGTGAAACCAATAATTACTGCACCCTTGTCAGCAGCACCTACGTACACAATCAACGAGGGACAAACACTGAGGGTTCCTTGCATATCGTCATCATATCCCCAGGCAACAGTCATGTGGCAAGATAATGCCAACGTAGTGGTTGGAAATTCTGGTAACGTCACTGCAAGTAGCTCATCAACCTATGGTAAGTAGCTGAAGTTATGTGGTGGTGACATCTTTAGCGCCGTATATGTGTACCGCAGACAGTCATCTTTTCACCAGCATGCCAGGAGGCCACAACCTCCTCAAACCGTCCATTCAGGCATTCTCCTGTGTGCTAGCTTATGATAGTCACTGCCTGGTACCTGTCTACCCTACCTGTAGCCACTACACCATGCCAAGTGCTAAATCTTGGTTCTTGCTATCCATAACCTCGTGGCAATGCTCTGCCGTAGGAGGAACTTTCACTTGTGGAGTTTTGGTAACTCTGCAACATGTGCCATTCCACCATTTGTCTATAAAAACCTTCAAGAGGAGTAACAGTGTTCATCACTATTGTGACCAACTTAAATAACTTCGCAACCTGGCTAAGCCAGATACACTACATATAGCACATCTTGTGAACTTATACTAGGATATAAAGGTATATGGACAATGGGTTTGAAACTTTCAAATCTCCAAACTAGATTGCCCATTCCGAGTTGGTGATCACGGATTCTTCAGCCACTGACGATGTTGTTTAGGGCGGCGAAACGTCTGAAAAGTATCGTAAATATTTCTATCTTTGTTAATCATGTGCACCATTTTTGATCTAAAAAAATGATTATAATCACAGGTTGCTGCTGCTGCTGCTGCGGAAACATGTTTTATTGGAAGCACAAACGAATAATGCATGCGGAAAATGCTGCTGTTGCCGTTCCCATTGCTACTTCTTTGACAGTGACTTGTTCATGATTCTGCTTACTTTGCCATCCATGTGCAGATTCAGGCAGTTTGTTAAACAATAACACTAACACACTGACCATTACAAATGCTGCGTATGGACATCGCGGGAATTACATCTGCACCTCCACGATCACAGTTCCATCTGGAACTCATTCAGCCATCGTAACCATCACTGTCGATGTGCAAGGTATGTTTGTGGTGGACCTGCCATCTGTAGAGGATGGCCGTCCCCTGCAACAGATTGCATTACTTGTTTTAATGTTATCTTACGCACCCAACTATTAGTGTTCTGTTTGATGGTTAAATGTGAGTGATAGAGTCATGGCAGAGCAGGTTCATTCCTTCCTTGGCTGTGAAACATAACATTAAACAATATCACATTCACACGTCATTGTTTGGCATTCCCTTTGTCCTGATGAACATTTTTTCACAATGGTGGGCTTCTTCGATGACTCTCCATGGGAAGAACAAAATCTAGCCTTGTGTACCACCACCGCATTGGTAAAATGCGCAATGCTATGGTGCGGGAAATGATCCCCAGAACAACCTTTGTTTCACAGACAAATTCTCTCTTGACCAACCACTTCGCTCTCCCCTGATATAAAGGTCACAGAACATGTTGTGCCTAGGTGTTAGCTATGCTGCCCATGTGCACAAAGCATGCCGTAACGACACAGCTTGCCAGCACGATGAAAAGTTGAAAGCCCATGACAATCACTGAGGGTCTTTTTGACTATTTTGGAATGGTGACAAATGGTATGCTTCAATACTGTATGTCAGGAATTTTACATTGTAACTCCGTGGCGCATTTGCATTTGAGTACTGAGCTCTTCAACTTTTTCAATATACATCTACTTGGATTGTTACCGTAGTAACGCACATATAAGCACATGCGCTTTTAAGTAATTTTTTGCTATGAATCCAATTTTCAGGAATGAAATTTGTTACCGTAAACGCGCATGCGCGTTCAGAGTTCGTTTGCCAGAGTCTTTGTGTTTGACTAGGTCTTGTAGTATCAGTTCGATGGTTCCGGTGTGCTGTTTTGCAGACTTTTATTCGTGATTGTGTCAAAGTGAGAATTGTGGTAGTGCTTCGCCTATACAAGCATGCGCTGATAAGTGAGAGTGCGCGTATATCCGAATACAGGCACATGCGCCTATATGTGCGTTACTACGGTAACTTTCTTATATTCTACCAGGGATTATAAGCCAGAAACGTTGGGGCGTCTGCCCCTGCACCAGCCGTTTGCGATGCTGAGGGAGTCCAGTTATCCCTTTTCATGCATAATAATGACGAGAAAACATTGTGCTTATGTGATCGAGTCTTGCAACAACAAAGTAATTCAGCTGAGCATAAAACACTCTGTCTGAATCTCTAAGCACATACTTCCATTACGGTACTGCGACTGCACTATTCGCCTATCTGAATCTCCACGTTATCTCCTGTTCTCTTTTGTATCCACAGTTGGTCCAAAGTTTCAGAATATTACATCAGGCTATCTGAATGTGTTTGAGGGTGCTCCATTCCAAATTGAGTGTGCCACCTTTGCCCACCCAAAGCCCACTTTCACATGGGCTGTGGCTCCAGCCTTCCTATCTTCAACAGTACCTGTGCCAACTCAATCTGACAAGATGCCATACTACACATCGTACTATACTGTAAGCAGTGCCCCCGTACAAAACGCTGACTACATCTACAGTATAACGTGTACAGCAAGCAATGTGATCTCTAGTCCCAAGTCAGTGACACAAGTTACCGTCAATGGTAAGATAAAATTCTGAATTGAGCTGATATGATCGTGTACAAATACGATTGCGTTAAAGAATATTCATTCGCTGAATGCGATGATGTGAATTGATATTCTGCCTGCTTCTCGCACACATGATGTTGGGTACATATATCCTACATTTTCCAGTGTGAAAATTCATGGTCAAGTTCACACAGAAACCACCAGCCTAACTGATCTCAAATTGGTCATCTTCACCCATAGGCTACTATAACATTTGGTGTATTTACAGGGTGTGACATGCTGGGGATTGGAAAGATGTATGCTGGTTCACACGATGCATGGCTAGAGAGTGCATCCTATCAGAGCAAATTTGTTGGTGTATGGCTTGAATGAATTCCGGGTTGGGACGAAGGAAAAATCTTTGTCGCGGGATGACGTCTATAGACGTCACGGGATATTTGGTGATTTCTGGCACTATCTGGTGTGTAAAAGCACTGTTAGTCAGTTGGATCATGATCCTGCCTCTTGACCAATAGTTCGTGGGTACGACAAAAAGCAACAGACCACCCAACTTGAGAAGCTCAATGGCACCTTATTTCCAGCGTATAATTCGAACGTTAAACACCAGTAATTCACCCGAAAAAAAGTCGATGCGGCTTATACTACACTGGTCAAAATACCAGTGGTAAGTGGGATAGATATCTACATTTGGTTACGAAAAATCTGGGTGCGGCGTATACTCCGGGAAATATGGTATGTAAAATTCATAAAGAGGGGCGTGTGAAACTACTTGTTATTATACCTCACTTGCACATCATGATTACGACAACATGGAGTTTAGTAGGGTAGAGACTTTTCGGTTTGTCACGATTCGTCTTTGCTTGACTTCCCAGGGCCTCTCGATTACTTGTCGATTGCTCTACCACTAGGTCATAGGCACCAAACAACCTCTCTTGTCCAACTTAGCCAAATGCTTGAAGAACGCAACACAGACTTTAGTCAGATCCCCAATAGGTGCCACCTGACTTTGTTTCGGCTCAAGTCAGTCTAGTGCTTTAGTTTGAGTCGTCTGAGTCATTCTAAATTCCACGTTCTTGTTTGTAATGTGCCATGCTGTTATGCAGTGCGTCCAGCATACATACGTTCAACCACTGGAGTTATTGTGGTGTCCAATCAAAATCAGGCCAATGTCCAGTTGAACTGCGAATACCGGGGAATCCAACAGCCTACCATCACATGGACAAGATTATCACCAAATACAGTTACTGGTAGCAATGTGCAAGCAGCTACCAGTACCCCACATGTCTTCTCCAATACGTTGACATTTACCACTGTTGCAAAGAACGATGAAGGCAACTACACATGTACCGGTACTAATTCCAATGGCACTGCTTCCCATGACCTATACCTTCGAGTTCAAGGTAAGCTTGTTGAATCGGTTCAGCTCATTTCCCACTGAAATAGTGGTTCTTACAGTGGTCGTAACTTCACGCTACGTTTTGATGGTTGTAGTTGTAAGTGACTTTTTCATATAATGTTAGCACTTTCTTCTACCCCTTCTCTCTATTCATGGATTATGGTCCTCCTCCGTCTATAGATAGTCTATAGGCCATCAAATAAGTGATCTTATAACGGGGCTCATGCCCTCACGTTTTCTTTTTTATCGTTCTCACACCCTGATGACAATTTTTTCTGAAACCTTTTATACGGAACAGTATTCGAGCATGTGTATGGAATGTCTCCAGCTGCAGCCAAATATTCCTTTCCCAAAGCAGGCTAGTTCTGTAGATGCTGTGTCAAGTTCTGTTAACGGTGTGTAACTTCTCTGTATGTCTCTTTGCTTGAAGTTCTGCCGCAGATATCACCCAGGACGCGCACACAGAATGGAGTTGAGAACAAGCCCTTGTCGCTTGAGGTGGTTGTCGGCTATATTGGTGACCCCGCTGTTCCAACATCGAATATCACTTGGGCCAAGGTAACTATGGTCTTGCTCTGCTGTAATTTTGTATAATTATAATGTATATGCTATCTGTTGCATGCGCAAAGCCTACCAGTATGTAATGCCGCAGTATATTAATTAGCTTGATTTGACTTCAACAAAGTCAAAAGAATGAAGGGGGTTATTGATTGGGGCGTACTTATTTATGGGCTTTTACATTAGCTAAGAACCTAATGACAATTCGGCCGGAAAGGTGTTTTTAAACTTGTATCTTTACATTTATGTATGCAAAATAAGGCCCAAGCCCCAAAACTTGCCAAAAAAATTCACTTCATTAATCTCCACTTTTGGAAGAAAATGTTTCCTAAAAACGTGTATGGAGATTACTCAGCAATGCATGACCAAAACCTGGAAAGCTGCTGCTGCTGCTGCCACAAACGCTCATAATAACTATTATCTCTTATCCGGACAGTCCGGGACCAGGAACTGGCCGGAACGTGGAAATATCCGTAACTCTGGATCAGAGAGCGGAGTCCTCTGTTTCGATACAGTGCTCAATGGGGGAGCAGAGCAGTAGCACACGAGTCACAGAGGACCACGCGTCTGTTTCAGATAACTGTGTCAGTTGTCTGAAGATTGCCATCTGGCATGAAACTATTAGTTACAGCAAACCAGACGCGTGGTACAGTACTACTCTGTGACTCGTGTAACTCTGAACCATATACGTTTCTGATGGGGAAGTACCAGAGACTTGGCATATCACGTCAGTATTTCAACAAAATTGGCAAAAGAGTAGTCATACTTCCACTAAATCTCGCCCATAGGGTGTCTGATAGAGCGAGGTGCCCGTAACCCTGCGGTCACGATAAGAAAGGTGTGAGTGTATAAGTACAGCCATGACTACTGTTGTTCGTTTTGAATTCTGTATTCTCACGATGGCACCATCGCCAATAAGAGATACGTTTATGAGAAGGTGGGATGCTGTGGGTGGGACGGTGGGTTTTGCAGTTGGAAAGTGATTTACATCACTTTGAATTTTACAAGTATGGGAGAGGGTGAGCGCTGCAGGAGCAGATTGAGTTAATCAGCAGTGAGTAGATTTCTTGTTTGAAGGCAGGTCGGGAGGAGACGTCACGAATGCTAGCAGGGAGGGCATTCTAGCATTCTAGGGATTTGTACATTGGGGAGTGGGGAGTCTTTACAGCGATCGGTTCTGGTGGATGGGAGGTGCCAAGTGTGTACGTGTCGAAGGCTATACTGGGCCGTAACTTGAGCGGGGGTGTTGAGCATGAGTATATGTTGTGGGGCATATTGGTATTCTATGGAGTGTGCGAGAAGGGTGAGCTTCACTTTGCGGCGAGAGAACATTGTCGGCCATTTGAGCTGATGGAGCAGTGTTGAATGATTCAGAGGAGTGTAGAGGGCGAGACAGAGGCAAATTCTGGCCGCCTTGCGCTGGATTCGCTCAAGACGGTCAAGGGCTGTGATTTAGAGCGGGGTAACAGCAATCTTCTTCTTGTTGTTTCAAATCTTTATTCTCACGATAGCCAGTGGCCAATAAGAGATAATAGTGTAAGAAATTTTTGTTGTTGTTTTGTTGTGCTTTTATTTATAGTCGTTCAACCAAACAGGCAATGGTGCCTTCTCACAAGGAGACGACTTAGAAGAGGAGAGGGCAGAAAGACAATGGGAAGGGGAGAAAAAACAGGCACGGAAGGGAGATAGAATGGAGAGGATAATGTAGTATCGATTAAGAAGCAGGAGTAAAATCCAGACCTTTGGCACAGTTCAAAAGCGGTTAAGGAGTTTGGGAGAATAAGGAGGTCTTGCGAGCGCAATGCATCACGCACTAGTATGCAATGGGGGATAGCTGTGAGTATGCTTTGCTGGATTAGTCAGTGGGGCACGTCCAATGATTTTTGTTCTGAGCAGAAAGTTCACACTTGGTCAAATTTTTTCATTAAAATGAGTTCCATTTCTAACATACACCATTGCAAATGTTCTCACTCCTATTCCACACTATTTGCAGACCAACAATGCCTCTTGGAGTTCCAGAGCAGCATCTCTTTTGTCCGCAGACCGTTTAACTTTGACAATATCACGCATCCACCATTCAGATGCTGGCGACTATACAGCCTGTCTGATCAATGCTGCCGGCTCTGTTTGCACCACATTTACTATTCTATACGAAGGTAATTTTATTTCTAGGAATTGCGTTAAATTTATGTGTGCCTTGATGCCTAAAACGACACACAAGAATAGGAACCCATCTTCCCTCTTCACCCTGCATATGTGCTATGCTGTTCACTGATTTCGAAAGTCGTGCAGCAACCACCTATACCAGTGCATTGTGCAGTATTTGTTGGTCCTGGACTGCACCTAGTCTAGCGCTACCTGATGTATGCGATCGTTTCTCACTCCAGGAGCATTGCAGATGCAGAAAATAAGGCAGCTTGGTGTCTTTTCGTGTGTGTGTGTGTGTGTGTGTGTGTGTGTGTGTGTGTGTGTGTGTGTGTGTGTGTGTGCGTGTGTGTGTGCGTGTGTCCCTTGTCCTCACCCACTTACTGAGGTGTGGTGAGCCCATAAGTGGGATCATTTCAAGTCCACTCTAGTTTGGGGATTTCAGGGGGTGTCGGCCGTTGGGTGGTTCAATGGCCAATTGAGTCATCTTTCCAAGATTCCTTTTGAGTCTCTCTCCCCTCTCCCGGGGAGACCCACGTGACCAGTTTTGGCAGTGAGCAAGTACACCTAAGTACAAGTACAAGTGTGTGTGTGTGTGTGTATATATGTGTGTGTGTTTTTTTCCTTTCTCAGAACCGCCTCAGATTGTCATTGCACCAGTACTGGTGCGCGTCAATGAAAACGCACGAGCAATATTCAGTTGTAGTGTTAGTGGCAATCCTGCTCCCGTTGTTACTTGGTCTTACAATGGAACAATGCTAGCGGGGTCATTATCAACGCCGGAACCATTCACCAATGCAGCCATCACTGCACGTGGTAGTTTAGGCACGAAATCTACGCTGACACTTCCTGCAGTTACTAACCAGAACAACCAAGGAATGTACACATGTACTGCTAACAATATACATGCTCCTGATGCGATTGCCTCAGCTGACCTGAAGATATTCGGTAAGACCGACAACTCTGCCTTGTTCATAATCTCTGAATAGGGTACTTACTACTTACTGGTTAGTGAGGGTTGACACTAGGTCTGGTTGTAAAGTTTAAAAAAAGGCGTTATGAATCTACATTCTCGTTGTGGCCAGTGGCCAAGAAGAGGGAAGTGGAGCTTTGTGAGCTTTTATAAAAGTCTGACTTGGCAACTCATGCATAGAAGTATTTACGGTGTCCAGTACATGCCAGGTCAAAGCGCCCACAGTTGTGAATAACGAACGTAGCAGTAGTTCTAGTATTTATTACTTTACTTGGGTATACCCAAGGGCCTATGACTTTCTCACAGGGTACCGAAGGAGAAATTGCAAGCAGCTAGCGCAAATGGCAGGCAAGGTATGCTGGGATCGTATGATAGCGAGTAGTGCATCTAAAAAGTATTGTAACAAGCCATGCGCACCGTCAATTGAGAGGCCGCTGGGATTTGTGGTGGAGTGGTACATCCAGCGCTTTCGAAGCAAAAGGTACTTAGCGTTTTATTTCCCGTCGGCCAGGGCAACGACAGCCTTTTAGTCACCAATGTTGAACAAATCGCCTTTTCAACTGAAAGCGGTTCAAAAATTGTGAGCAACATGGGCTTGGTGTGGTGCGCTGCAATAGAGTACCGCCAAGCGCCGTCAGGGCTGTGTTTGCGTGCTGGCCGTAATCCCTTCCATCAGTCTTCAATAGAGTGACTGTCCCTCCCTCCCCTCTGACCTTGTCCGTGCTGTGTGACCTGGCTTTCCCTACGACCTTGTGTCAGTCTTACCCTCTTTTTTTGTCTTGCTTCTTCTACAGTCATCATGTGTCTGCCCCCCCCCCCCCCCCCTCTTGTCTAAGCAGATAAGCATGGCCAATAAAATATAACAACCCAGCAGACGTGCACATCTGTACTTTATAGCCAGCTCACTGCATATCCGAGGTGAAAATGATTGCTAAAGTGTAATGTATTTCTCAAAACGCGAAGACTCCACTGTAGCCATCCACTGTATTCATACATCTTCACTCTCCAAACGGTCTCTGGGCTACACCAATCACTAAAAGAAAAAGAGATAATAAATTTCGAAAGAAAGGTGTCAGCACCGACGCAATACACACAGTCAGGTAAGCCAATTTATTTACCGAACGTTTTCGTTCCCTTCTCATCATGGGTAAATACAGGGAATAATGAAAAAATGTCAAACACCGCAACTTATAGAGCAAAAGCATAGATTGAGAACTCACGCTATACGTGTGGAAAAAATAAAATTCAGCTGAACAAGTCAACAACAGGGTGAAGGTGAAGAAATGACTAAAACATAAGCGTGAGTTCTCAATCTATGCTTTTGCTCTATAAGTTCTATATTTGACATTTTTTCCATTATTCCCTGTACATGTATTAAATTTTTACCCATGATGAGAAGGGAACGAAAACGTTCGGTTAATAAATTGGCTTACCTGACTGTGTGTATTGCGTCGGTGCTGACACAATTTTCTTTCGAAATTGGATACGCCTCCAATTTTTCCTTAGATATTAAATTATTCGAATTTTCTATTAGCGATTAACCCTTTATGTACCAGCCATCTAATGTATGTAAGGGGCTATCGCAGCCAAAGAAGCAACCATGGTATGAGATCTAGACGACTTTTGTATATGCAAGTTGTGTTTTCCTGACTCCATATGTATCACTACACCCAGGGATGCATGGATATTGGTACAGCATGCAGTAGTATATGAAAGCCATAGGTGGAATACCAAAGATACGCGCCAATTGTGCATATTTCTGACCAACCAGGGTATCACAAAAAAATAGACTGAGAATTAGCTTGTGCTCATGTACTGGGAACATAGGGACAAAACAACCTCATAAGCGTTGTCTCAGTGCATGAAGAGCAACAACATACCAGGGATATGGTCATATTGTCACACATTTGAGGTAAAACAATTGGTTCAAAATTGCAAATTTTGAATTCTTGTGTCAGATTCGAAATCTTTATTTTTCTTCATCTACTCACATCCAGCGTAAGGTAAGTGAAAGAGAAGACAAGAAGCAGTCGCTGGCTGGTGAATTACGCCTGCCTTGACGATTTTAGGCCATCGCTACCCTCCCTCTCGCTCCTCTTTTGAGAGCGAATACTGCGATGGGATCAGCGATACAAATTTTCAATTTCGAGTCGCATTCCGTGATGATATCGCCACAGCCGATCTCTCCAATCGTCCACCACGTCTAGAAGACGTCGACATGACCTAGAACAAGCTACATCTTCGCTACAAGCAGAGAAACTGAGCGAGAACACGATCGAAACAGCGACAATTATTTGCGCTGAAAAGCATACTTTTGAACGCGTTCGTTCTCCATACTTTCAAATGGCAACCTACCCATATCATACATCAACATTTTCAGTGGGATCTCAGCTGTCGAGCGCAAAAAACCGCGGCTCGATCGGAGCTACGGCGGCGGGGAACGGCGCGCTTGATTGGAGTGCAGCGAACCGTACCATATGGTACGGTTCGAGATGGGGCTGGTACACAAAGGGTTAATGTAGCCCAGAGACCGTTTGAAGAGTGAAGGTGTATGGATAAAGTGTAATGTAGGGCCATCTAAATTGTATACACACTTTACATCCAATCATGGCTTATATCCAGCAATATGCTGAAGTTTTAAAATATCATACTTGCCAATCAAACAAATTTCCCATTAGTCTACAGGAAAACTAGGCAAGCATACCGGGAATTTGTGAAGAACTAAGGGATATAGTGCAAAACTACAAGTGTTCAAAAACAACTTTCGTGGTGTTTGAAATGCGAACTGTGACCAGTGCCAAGCACATACACACAATTCCTCTGTCGGTGTTGGAGGAATCCACGAGGTGAATCGGCAGTAGAATGCAAAACATACATCGCTAAGTTGTGTGTTTTCAAACAACAAAAACAACAACAACAACAACAACAACAACACCTTATTGGCGATGGTGCCATCGTGAGAATAGAGAATTCAAACATCAATCTGCTCCTGCAGCGCTCACCCTCTCCCATACTTGTAAAGTTCAAAGTGATGTAAATCACTTTCCAACTGTTTAACCCACAATCTCACCTTCTCATAAATGTATCTCTTATTGGCGATGGTGCCATCGTGAGAATAAAGAATTCAAACAACAACATAAATTTATCTCTTATTGGCGATGGTGCCATCGTGAAAATAAAGAATTCAAAAAAGACACAAAACGAAAAAAAGGATTGCAGGCAAAAAAAAAAGAGAAAACTGGCCAAAATTGGCGAAAACTAACCAAATAAGGGAGACAAAAGGAAACTACGAGAAGCTAGGCATGTATGTAAGGGAACTGTGTTGGTTGGGTTGGCAAATACTAGTATGTAATATAAAGGTACTGTTGCCTGTTTTTGCTTCTGTTTGACTGGCAGTACCCACCATACAGCTGACCAGCACTCAGGCCGTTAGCTCATCAGAGGGAGCCACAGCGCGGTTCATCTGCGACATGTATGGAGTTCCCACGCCAACAATATCCTGGTTCAAGGACACAACGGTGAGAAGCCCAGGTCTTTTGTCTTGCGCACCCATGTTATGTTGGAATACACCTGACAGGCTTTTGCCTAGCGCTTCTATTTTAGACCGTTCTTCCTTGAATTATAGAATCGGGCCATGGGGAGAAAGAAATTGAGACCGTGTGTTTATGTGTGCTCGTGTGCTTTCGTATGTGTTTGAGAAGGGAGGGAGCTAGAAAAGGTATACCCCCCAACACCACACACATATGTACACCTTTGACCTGTGACACGCATCGGTAGTACAATACTGGCATGCCAGCTGAGCAATGGTGTGTGTAACGCTTTTAAACCTCACTTGGCCGGCAAAAGGTTCAACCGCAAACTCACCAGACAATGTTTGCTAAGTCAGGAGGATATCGGCGACGAGAAATTTGCAGCAAAACACACACACACACACACACACACACACACACACGCCCACATACAAGCAACGGCCCATATTTTCTACATTTTTGCCGCATTTGCCAACACTTCCCAATCGCACAATCCCAACACTTTCATTCCTACAAATCAAGCTACGAAATAACACGGTTGGTATAAAGGCATCAAATGAATTCACAAGAAACATGCGATAAAGTGTGCACATGTAGGGAGCTAAACACTCCCGCACTGTAAACTGCATGTTGTGAACCCTAAGAATCCATTACATGGCTGGTGCATGAAGAAGCAGAGCAGCCCGGCTGTTTCATCATGCATTCAATTTTTGTCACATTTGAAGATGCAGACCGTATCATCCTTTGCATGCTTCTCCCGTTTTTAGCCAATATCGTCAGGTGGAGATGTGCAATTCTCAGCTGGTAATGTTGCGCTAGTAATTAGCAATCTCAAATTCAGTGACCGCGGAATGTATCAATGCGACGCTGATAACAGAGACACAGACATCTCATTGGGAGGGGAACTGCGAGGCACTAATGTAAATCTGGATGTGTACAGTAAGTTGGTGCAAAAATTGTTCTCTTTGTCTCTCTCTCTCTCTCTCTCTCTCTCTCTCTCTCTCTCTCTCTCTCGCTCTCTCTCTCTCTCTCTCTCTCTCTCTCTCTCTCGAAATCTCTCACTTAAGGTACGTTCCTAAATTCTCTCGGAAAAGTTCGGGAGCTGTTCTTATATCTTCACCGGATTTTAGGAGTCTCTCCAAAGCTCTCCAAGCGACAGAGGTGGTTGAAACTTGGAGATTCCCACGGTTTGGGATAAGCGCATGCGAACTACGGCTAAAAGCCATGTGTTTATCACTAGTGTACGCATTTCCCTTTTCGCATACGCACAATGCGTACTACATTCGTGACACTCAAGATCGCGGCCCTTTTGGCGCTTCATATTGCTTCACAATTGCAAAATATCTCCGAATTCTTCGAGACCCGTTCTAAAATTATACCAGTTTCTTCGACTTCTCTTTTCTTCTTCTCCGAGAAGCTTCAGAATATAGAACGCACCCTTATTCTCTCGCTTACTCGCTCGCTCACGCACTCGCTCTCTTCTCTCTCTCTCTCTCTCTCTTTCTCTCTCTCTCTCACTCTCTCTCTCTCTCTCTCTCTCTCTCTCTCTCTCTCTCTCTCTCTCTCTCTCTGTCTGCCGGTCTGTCTGTCTCCCTATCTCTGTGCCAAGTCTCGAACCGAAGGACACATCGCACTTTTTTTAAGAATTTCACAGGAGAACAATGTCTTGTACACCTGTCGTGTTTATGCCGCTGTCCGAGTATGAGTTCAATGTGGGTGCAAAAAGAAAGAAATATTCAAGTATTTCCTGTGTTTGTAGAAAAGAAAAAGGACCAAGGAACTAACAGTTACAAGTTACGCTATAATGCCCACTAACACCACCAGTAGCTACTAAACAATCAGCTCATCAGGGTTCTAGCCAAAGGGGGCAGGGGGGGGGGGGGGGGCAGCGCCCCCTGTGAAAAGTGCCGCCCCCTACTCATTTTCCGATTTTTGTGTTTTTTCACGCAATTCAACGAAAATACAGTCGATAGTCACTACTAGAGGGCTCATAAAGTCACATTTGTGAGGGGTGAAGTCGGGGCTCACCCCGTATGTTACATTTTGCATGGCAACACAATTTTGGACAATGAAAAAAATGGGTCATGGGGTAACTTTTTTCCCATGCCCGCCCCCCCCCCCCCCCCTACTATATTGACCTGGCTAGAACCCTGCTCATGCGATAACATTGCACAACATTGACTGAGGGTGCTGACGTTCTAGAACTAACTGGCTATCAGCTCTAGGACATCTTGGATGCGCACTCCAACAGCCTTCCAACTTGGAAGGTTCTAAGTCATTACGATTACATAGGAGGGGAAGGTGAGCGCAATCAAGACAAGCACGAGCTGAAAGTCTCAGCTGTGAAGGACGTTGGCAGATGTCCATGCATGTCGATGACGATACTGGCAAGACCATTGGACAATAGCATGACATGTTGTAGCAGACTATGGTGGTGGTCTTTTCTACATATCAAAGTCGTTCCCTCACTACTACTGGCCCTTGAAGATAGTATGTGTAGGCAGGCTGAATTGATTGATTCGTTCCAGGAACTCAACAAGTCCCCAGTCGCCAGTTGGATGGCTAAATATTACATGGCAACTTGGATCAGTGTGCGGACATAGTCGGCTTGGCTGCGTTGCTTTGTTGTGAGAAGCTGTGATCCCTCCCCATGGCCAGCAATCGAGGACGTCTGAGAGTTTTAATTTTTGTACTCCTCCGAGGTGTGATTTTTGGCGTGCTGGGCCCAGCACAAGGAAGCCATCTGCAAAAAAACTGCAGCAAATGGTTGTTGTTTGATCCTTTGGTGTAATCTTTGTTTCTAGTCGAAGCTAGTTGCTGTTTGGAGCAGAAACGCTGAAATTGACTATTTTCTGCATGTACTCATACATGTACTCATGTACTCAGGCATGCAGTCTCACTCGTATTTTAGCTCTTTTTCTGGAATGGATGCTGCTCTGCGCCCCTTGGTGAACATTTCCTGCGCTCGTGGAGCAGCTGAAAAGGACCACTGGTATGTCTGGTTCCTGGTTTGAAAGTGGAGAGTCGACTTGTGTGCCTTGAAAAAGGAGTAGAGAGCGATAGAGGTACGTCTGTTGCTTATTTTTGAGTGCTCCTCGTACATTTTTGATTGTGATAGAAATTCTCAGACCAAAGTCAGCGCGATGATGGCCGTACAGTTTTCTTGTGGATTTTTTAGTTGTTTCATCTCGTATCTATGTCAGTATCGTGATGGTGAAGTGGAGAGGGTTATTTTCTTCCCCTAGGCTTCGTTCGGCCGACTTTGCTTCGTCCTCGTTGAAAAGTGATCCTGAAAAAAAGGTCGATTCGAAAAATTATGTTGATTTTGAATGTACGTGATGACATGCGATTGCTGGCTATGCTTTTGTAGCTGGTTGCGGTGTGTATTTTGGTCAATGTTTTGACTTTGTCCGATATCCCGGGAGTGCAGGGTCTCTGGACCAAACTGTCATAATGGGTGGATGCGCTCCTCCAGGGGATAAAATGAGCCAACTTTGAGCGAAATCGAAAATTTTGCCATGTCCGATAATGTTTGGACATTACGGAGATTTTAAACTCGGATACTGAGCCAGCAATAAATGTAAAAAAGAGAAGAAGAGGAGTTTATCATCTTGTGACAGTCGTGGATAGTTGCTGCATAACTCGTTCTCATGTGTTTCTTCTCTTTTTTTACATTATGGAGATTGACTGTTTTATAATGTTTTTGAAATCAGTACTCGTGCTAGGTCTGCATCGTCAGGGAATGAAGACTGTGATAGTTAGAATATTTCTGGCACACAACGTTTTCGTAGGAGTGCAGAGTACTACTGTTGTGAAGCTGCTGGTAATACCTCTATCAGCCATGTAAAACTGATGACATTCTTATTTGCCCCTGTACCTTCACAGTTGCCCCGCGGATCACCACGGGACCGATTAGTGTTACTTTGAATGAAGATGCTTCTACCACAAGAACGTGTGTAACATACGGTCATCCAACTCCTGCAGTATCATGGGAACATGATAATGTAGCACTCCCTGCCAGTCAGGTAGTCACACGATCAACAACGCCAGCTACGTCTTCTTCTCCAGCAATATTGACAAGCACCCTGACGATTTCCACCGTCAAGTTTCCCAGCCGTGGTACATATACCTGTGTGAGCACTGTCTCTAAGGCAGGTTATGTCAACGGCAGCAGTCTTGCTGGCACTGCCACAGACTCTGCAATCATCACAGTCAACAGTAAGTGAATTGTGAGAGGTGATTGCCAGTCCCTTGCACTCACCACACGTTGTCAGTTGAGATGACGCTTTAAGTCTCACATTGAGTAGTGATGTCTCAGTATCACTGCTCCTTACATTATAATCATGTGTACGTATACTCAGTCTGTCATGCAAGAGTTCTTCTTAAACGTCTTTCCCCCTTTTAGAACTCTCCTTCAACATTCCCAGTTCACATACATGTAATTTCACCATTGAGATTTCCGTAATAGGCATCTGTTTGCCTTTGGAAAATCAATAAAATTAAAATTAAAAGTGGGAAAGACAGAAGTAACACATTATGGCTCAATACTCGATCAATCACCTGTGCGGCGAGGTGTGGTTGGCTTGTGGTGCTACCCATGTTGGACACTTAATTTAACAGGTGGGTCAAGGCAATCTCTCTGGCTCTCCAGTTTTCCAGAAATTTGCAAGCCCAGTGGCACTGACTTTTATGAAAGAGCACTATGTAGAAAGGAGAATTGCAGGCTCTGGGTGAATCTGGTAGCGATTAAAATAGAATATGGTAAAACATGTGGTACATCTATGGGACAAATTAGGACCAAGGAACTACAAGTTACGCTATAATATCCACTACCACCACCAGTTACTTTACAATCAGCTCATGCGATAACATTGCACGGCACTGACCAACGGTACTGGCATCAGTGGACATTTAAAGCATAACTTGTACATGTAGTTCCTTGGTCCTCATTTCTTCTTAAATTAATCCTTGGCTCTCCACCCGGGCCTGACTATGTATAACTATGGGTGCACTTTAATAATCACACCAGTTGCAGCCGAGAAAAGCTGTACCCGCTGACTTTTTTTTCTTTTTCGCCCCTATTGCCTAGGGCATGACTGTAGCTATCTCTTAAACTGTCAAATCCTATATAATTATAGGATTTTTTTTGAAAAATTTCCAATGATCATTACCATGCTTCTGCCCGGGATAAGTTGTGTGCCTAGATTGTATTGTAAGGTGTTAGGGCAGTGCCAGTGTTACCACTTGACTTCTAGGGCTGTTTTAGAGAGGACATGTCAGTTTTTTGTCGGAGCCCAAGGCTATATATATATAGGATTTGAGTATTCTACATTATCCAGAGTGTTGTAATGGATGCAGATGATGATAGAACTGGCAGGGAAAGTAATATAGGATGCTTAGTATGCTGAATAAGTACACAGATACCATGAATAGATGTATGTGCTTGACTGGGGAGCACTGCCACAGGTTGCAATATCTACTGATTGTAACTGTACTACAGCGGAAGCTTCATCCCGAAAATTGGCCGATAGGCTTGAAGTTTGAATTATTCCTGCTGACGTATATGGAAAACAGTTCCAAACACCTCAAAGAAACCATTTCATCAATTTTCGTAGGTTGTTTAGCGAAATCCTTTAGCTAGAAACCAAATCCGATATAGGATTTTCTGGTGACAGTTTAAGAGATAGGTAATATTTCGGTAATTTCGGTAGAGAAACCAGGCAACTAAATCCAGATTACACCTAAAGGGCACTGGAGTATGCACCGTAGGTGCAGGGAAAGCTGGCCACCTAATTCTACATTACACCTGAAACCTGGCAGGTCCCTGATACAGAAATGTTACCACACCTAAAACTACATGTTACACAGCATCTAATTTTGAGGATCCTCGCCTTCCTCTGGGCGGGTTCATGAATCTGTTTGCGTGCCTGTCTGTCTGCTTTCGTTTGCACAGTACGTCCCCGTAACGTGGTAATCTCTCCTCCAGCTAATGTCATCTTCCCCGGCGCTATCACAGTGCTGTGCCGATTCAGTGGTAATCCAGCCCCAGCTATCGTGATCACCGCTCCCGGCCTCACGCCTGCCGAAGTTCTAAGCTCCATCACAACAAGCGTAGGTGAGTGTCTGCACAGCATGTACATCTACTTGTATTACAGTACTTGTTGGGTAGACATGTTACATCCCCAAAGGACAAAAGAGTTCTGTCGGCGGATTGAGCACATGTACATGTACATGTGTGTAGTAAAATAGGATGGACCCAAACTTGGCTTGGGTCCATCACGGCCAAGATGGCGCTATCTGTAGCAACTACCTTCTGCAAAGTGGTTTAAAACCGAGAATCATCCTACATTAAGAAAAAACTGCCAACGGATTACAAGTTACCCTAGTTGTCCAACACTGGCAATTATAAGCACGATGCATCCATCAGAGTTAAATCATCCTCAAACTCCCCAATTGCTTCTTGCGTTGCCTTGTTTGCAGGTGCAGATGCTGGTACTCGACTTCCCTACAGAGAAACAACGTTGACCATTCCCGTGTCAAAGAGAAACAACAATGGTACCTACTCCTGTCAAGCCAATACACCTGCTGGTCAGCTTGTCTCCACAACAGATGTCACTGTGCTAGGTAAGACTTGCTTTGGCCCAGAGCCAGCTACCGAGGGGTGGTACGGTCGCAGGTCGTCTACTGGGCCAATCATTTCCCAGTGCCCAACGTCAGTTTCTGACACGGCACGTGATCGTTGCCCAGGTGCCCTGGCCAATAGCTGGCTCTCTTGTAGTCACACTCAGCTCATGTTGCCCAGTTCACATCATTAGGGGGAATTTGTGGTTGGTTGGGGGGGGGGGGGTAGACAGTTCAACATTTTGACTCCTTGTGTAAGAAGTTAGATCAAGCACACCTATTGTCGGTCATGATGGCTGAGATCTTGCTCCTGGACGCATCCGTTGGGCCCTACGACCCTCGGGTTGCCTTCTCGGGAAGGCTTTGCCGTTATGACCGCCAGGGTGTGCTGGATTGCATAGATTATGAATAGATACCTCAGTGTAAGTCTCCGCATTGTATCAGGGGTTTTCAGCAAGTCAACATTTTGCTAACAAGAGATATAAAGATCGCACTACAGTCCGAATTGGGTGAAAAGAACAGAGGGAGAATCTCTAGCAAGGAGTGGGCGAGGATAGCGTATTATTACTTCCACATGAAAGATTGCACATTGAACAACCTATGAACACTGGAACGGGTAAAACAAAAACTGGTACAGCCATGGCAGTACCCACCATACCGATGGGGCCCTGCTTGCTGTAAATATAGCATGTGTCCCTTCCCATTCTGCCAGACACCAGTATTTGCATCTTCCATCAGGGTTTTTTAGTTTGTATCAGGATGACGTTTATATACTCTAGCTCACCAGTTTGTGTGCGCATGCGTGCGTGCGTGCGTGCGTGTGTGTGTGTGTGTGTGTGTGTGTGTGTGTGTGTGTGTGTGTATGTGGCCAATAGTTGAGAGGGCCCACCATGTGCTCACTTACCTCTTCTGTTTGCTTTTCTCTGTGATCTCCGGCGTTGCCTTTGTGAATGCAGAGAAGCCTGACGCTCCAGCCCAGCTTACACTTTTTAGTAACACACCGAACTTCATTGAGGTTGAATGGGTGGAACCCACCATCAACAATGCTCCTATCACGATCTACGAAATAGAGTACGTGTTCACCTTTTTTGTTTAGAAGATTGCTAACTTTGGTACGGTGTACGCTGGTATTTGAATGCTTGGTGAAGAGAAATCTGAACACCGCTCTGCACGGTATAGATGATCTTCTGACAGGAATAGGAGGCCATGTGAAACCGTGTGTTCAGTGCATCAGCACCGATGTTTTATTCGCGCAGTCGTAGGTGTTCTGTATGCGTCTAACTGGTATAGTGTATAAGGAGCTGCCGTCCCTGGAACACCAGTACATTCTACTTTGGGCTAGTTGCACGCTTGGTGTTGGATCCGATTTACGTCAAACATGCGGCATGCAGATACTGTACGCGTACGCAAAACTGTCACATGCCATCCCGTAGGGAAAGGTGTATGGCTTATCACATGTACGTTGTATGGTGACTTCTACGGCACATGTTGATTTCAGAATATAGGCGGACATCTAGCCTAATGTCTTCACTGGGCCTTTTTTATTTGGCATGTCTACTGGTGAAATGTGTCAATTTCCGCACAGTATCTTTGTACTAACCAAACACAGCACGGCATGATTCGTTTAGTGCCAGGCAAGTACGAGGAACAATTACTACGTTTCTTCCATATCCTTTCAACACATTTCCCTGAGTAGTAAATCATGCTCGAACGTGAGTCGCGCCACTTCTCTGGCCTTGCTATTTAGTGCAAACGGCTTTGACTTACATTCGGAGAAATTTGTATCGTTTCCGGAGTATAAGCCGCACTTTAAACATTCTTAATCCATCCCCAAAAAGTCAAATGAAATATGATGTGCAGGGATCCGGGGTAGATGTCTGTATTTCATGACAAACCAATCTGGGTGAGGCTTTTATACTCCGGGAAATACGGAAACTATATCCTGTTCCACCTTGCATGTAAGGAGAGTCTGTCCACCTGGCTTTGACTACTCCGTGGACAGAGGAACCGTTCATCACCCCCCTTTACAGGCATTATTGACTTGAAAATATCATAGATGTAAAAGGCCTCCTTCATGGTCATGTGATCTCTTCACTCCAGGTTTTCTTATGATAACTGTTTGAGGCAGACCATTACTAACGTAACCCAAATTCCGGCCGATAACCGGAAGGCAACGATTGGTGTGGAGCCAAGCCAGAACTATGCTGTCCGCATTCGTGCTACTAATAACATCGGCACTGGAGACTACAGTACGCCGCTCTCTGTGAAAACTGTGGAATACAGTACGTACCCATATATCTCCTTTGCTTGTGTCTTGCAAGAACGTCTGTGATGGTCCTTGGGTCATTTGTAACATGTTTTGCTTTAGTGATGGTCTAAGTTTTGCGACAATTCTGATTTTTAAACCTCAGTTCAGCAAGGAATGTACTGACCCGTGACTGGAGGCCTTGGCGACTTAGTCTGTCTTCACCAAATCGATTTGATTGGAAAGTGGTAAAGATATCATAGCCAAAATTGCCTGCCTCACCGAATAGGTCAAGTAGCAAGTAGGCTTGTCTGTACTTAGAGTCAACAAGACTTCACTGAAAACAGCATTTCTTTGATTATTGTTTGCTTCGCTTTGCACAGACCCAGAGGCTCCGCCGCAAAATGTGGCTGTTCAGAAGCTCACCTCTGACAGTGCGATCATCTCCTGGTCACCGATTCCATGCACAGAACAGAATGGCATAATCACTGCATACGAAGTCGAATACAACCTCACAATGGTATGCTTTTCATGTGTGTGTGTGTGTGTGTGTGTGTGTGTGTGTGTGTGTGTGTGTGTGTGTGTGCATGTGCGTGCGTGCGTGCGTGTGTGTGCGTGTGTGAGAGAGGGGGGGGGGGGGTATGAGAGAAAACATTGATGTGTTTATTTCCATGTGCACTTGATACATTTTCAGTGGCGTCAACTCTAATCTGGAATGCATGCTCACATATGGAATGCAAGGAGACCTTTCAAATCGTCGTGTTGTACAATTATGCTGTTCTGGTATCCTTTTCAATTTGTTCCCTAGTTGCTGCATGCATGTATTTGCGAGAGGCTATCGGATCAACCATTGTCTGTGAAAAAGACTACATCAATCATCACAAGCTTTAAATGGAGGTCGCGATTTTCCAGTACTACAGCAGATGAGGATCGTGAAATGACTTAGTGCAATCTCTCCAGCCTTTAGCAAGATTAATGACAACTGCCCCGAAAATTACCAAGTGAAGACGATTTTTGTTGAATATCGTATCTCGGATGTTGCCCATCTACGATCGCCGAAGTTGCTGCCTCTATACCTCTCTGCTACAATTTTGTACTCATCATGTTGCATACGTTTATAACCACTGTACTGAAAGGGTGTATGCATAGGATTTACGCACCGTGTTCATTTTCCAACTTGTCAAAAACCCTGCTTTACAGGTTCATGGCACTGATCACCGCCTTCAGAATACAAACGGCACTGTGCCTGTCCTGTCTGGCACGACGTACATGTCTACTATCTCCGGATTGGACGCCTACACCACGTACAATTTCCGTGTCAGAGGTGCAACAGCGCATGGATTTGGCCCCTACAGTGATTTTGTCACCAACAGAACACTAACAGACAGTAAGTATCCGCTCTCCGATACGCCGCTGTTGCTGCCGGGTATCAATAGCCACGTATGCCATTACACTGAACGCTTTTACACAGTCTAACAGGATCTTTTGAAGGCAGATATTCTAGTTTCCGGCTTGTTTTCCAAGTAGCCCAACCAATTGGCCACTACTAACTATGTCAGTAGCTAGTGAACAGTAGGAGCACCTTATGTGAGAGATCTATGGATGTGTTTCTTCAGAATTCCCAAACTCCATTGCAGCGTATTTCTTGCACTTGAAAACACCGCCATTCCGGCAACAGGCTCTCAGCTGCACCAAATAAATAACTTTGTGTCACCACGATGTGTTAGTTCTAGAACATTCATCTGCCTGCATTATTCGTCTCTATATTTCGTGTTTTTGCCTCCCCTTCCTCAATGCCCTGATGATGCCCAATGGGCGAAATATTGGCAAAGTTATTTATTTGGTGCAGCTGAGAGCCTGTTGCCGGAATGGCGGTATCTATGGATGTGACGAAATTTAATGAGAATGGCTCTGGCATCATGCGGCAAGGCTAGTCCTCTTTCCTGCGCCGTTCACGCATCATAGCAGCGAGCGGAGCTACAGCAGGCGCAACGGCAGTCCCGTGAATAGTAACTGGTATACGGCGAAATATGCTGCACATGAAATAGGGATATATCCCAATGCTTCATTTCCTACCAATTTTATGCGCTGTGGGTAAAGCTGAAAGCCCACTATGGAAGCAGGTAGACTTTGGTCATGCTCCCGGCCCTGGAATATGCTAAATTTCAGAGACCACGCTCTGTGTGCCAATCTTTTGCTGCCCGTGGCTTACTTAGGGCGCGTTTGGTTGGTACGAACTAGAACAGGATTCACCCGAACAGCGCGTTTGGTTGGGACTGCACCTGTTCTGGGTCGGCCAGAACATGTTCTGCTTGCTCCGGCCTCGAGGCTGAGCAGACCGAGCAGTTTCACTTTTTCACAGTGAAACCTGGCGGGAACATCGATTTTGGTCCCAAATGATCACGTGCATACGCTTTTGGGTTGGACTCGTCGTACCGTACAAAGTGACCATGGTGACCCATACACATTTTGAAGAATGCACCAAATTTCACACGAAAATGTGTTCTGTTTCTGGGGTACCGTTTGGTTGGCATGAGGCTGCTCCATGTGCACCAGCTGTTCGATCCTGTTCTAGATCGTACCAACCAAACGCACCCTTAGTCCTTGGTGTGTGCTACGTGTGCATTTGCATTCGTGTATGCGTCCGTGTGTGCGCGTGTGCTTGTGCATGTGTGCACGTGTGCTTGTGCGTGTGTGTGCGCGCGCGTGCGTGTCTGCGTTCTTGTTTGTTTGTGCTAATCAACAGTCCCACTTGCTCCCCAAAACGTTGTTGTCGACACTGCCAGCTCCATTTCTCTGAACGTCTCTTGGACTGAACCCATTGATTTCAATGGTGTACCAACTGGCTATATTGTAAGTTCCATTATAATCAGTCTTAGTCAGAAGTCAGTGTCTTACATATACAAGGAGAGGGGAGGGACAGCTAACTGCAATAATATACATATCTATTCTACCCATTGCTGTTTAGAATAGTTTGGCAAGGATTGCAAGTGAGTGTTACTACAGACTTAAACTGATCTGTGGCGATTTTGTATACTAAACTGGTCCATATTTTTTCTTCCTCTCTTTGGTGCTATACATAGTACAGATGGCTGTGGTGTGTGTGTGTGTGTGTGTATTTATGTGTGTGTGTGTCTCTGTGTGTGTGTGTGTGTGTGTGTGTGTGTGGTGTGTGTGTGTGTGTGTGTGTGTGTGTGTGTGTGTGTGTGTGTGTGCGCGCGCACGTGCATGTGTCTGCATGTGTCTGCATGTGTCTGCATGTGTCTGCATATGTGTGTATACTATACACTAGGTGTATTACAATGCGTCTGGCACAGACGCTAACACTGAGTACAACGGCCTTGAGCTGCAAAGTGAGAACAGCAACATTTTCTACGGAAACGTCACATTGCCAGCCAACAACTTCAGCATCGTGCTGAACAACCTTCTTAACTTCACAAACTACACGGTCTACGTCGAGGCTCTAACGTCAGCTGGAGCAGGTGATCACTCGTCTGAATTGACCACGGCCACGGATGAGAATGGTATGTAAACAATTGTCATTGTGAAGTGATGCCTCCGTTATCATTACATCGACACTGTTTTTAATGCACTTACCAAACAATGGCATGTGCAGCACCCTGCCAGAATAGGATTTGAGGGCCTATCTGCATGCATTGTCATTTCCCGAACCCATGACTAAGTGGGACTATTGTCTTTTATAAGCCTCGCCAGAAGTGTTTGTAAACTGGTTGAAGTGTAATGCTCCTGAACTCCACAGAGCCCACTACAAAGGCAGGGTACAGAACGAAAACAGGCAATGTCTAGCCACGTTTATAGCAGGCATGTGTGCCTCCTGCTGTTTTCCTTCCATAGCTCATCGGTTATATTCGAGTAGGGTAATGGTAGTAAAGATACACCTGGTGCAATAGAGGTAAAGATGCCATCTGACCCACGCAATGCTCTCTACGCTGCAAGATGCTGGCAATAATAAGCGTTCATTCGCTCACCACCATCATCAGTTTGTGCATGGTGCGTTGTTGATGCATGGCTTGTGATATTAGCAAAGCAGGGTTATGATGGAGGAAAGAAAGCTGTTATACCCTACAAAAAGCATCTCAGACACTGCGAAAGAGAAGAACAGGTGGAGATCAAGTCCGGCGGGCATCACTCGGCACTTCGGGACAATTTTGGCCACCTTCTTTTCAAGCTTTCACCCACTTCCAGTCATCGCAGAGAACGATGAAGTACACCATCGTGATCAGGAGCTGATACAAGATGAGACAACAAAAAGTTTTGGTTTAATACAGTTCCCCCCTTTAAGTGCCTACAATTCTCATTGTTGTGTACCATACACTCAAAGGTTCCAGGAACTGAGACCGACCAGTATGTATTTACATGGCACGAACGATTACAGAGGATATGCAAGATAGAAAAGGAGACGAAAGAAGTAACAAGTATATGACTGTGTATTGAAGCAAAGAGAGAAGAACAACTGAAAGGGAAACACAGGAAAAACGGACTGTCAAAGCACAAGCGCCAAAAATGTAGCCAGATCGATACTCGATCGCGCCCGGGTACAGTTCGTACAGTCCGAGTAGCCAAATTAGTACCTCACGACGTCACTAAACTAAACACAAAAAAATACGCCGTGCGTGCACTCAAGAAATTCAAACTACGAGTGCGAAGCGAATAAAGGAACGTAACTACGTCGTGAAATAGTGCACCAGAGCAGTATGCTGACGAATCCAACATGGATGCTACAAATCTGGGCAAATGCCTAACACAACGATCAAGGATACTACAAAGCAAGTTACGTAGACACAGGTAAGACAAGTCAAATACAAATCAATACATTGAATGCTCAAGAAAGAATTCAAACAAATCAAGCATAGCATAGCCTAGAAGCACCTAGCCAGGGAATCAAGTCGGAGTTACAGTCATGACGAGATCTGGCACCCATTCACTGAAGACCTTTCCCATGACAACGCCATTCACAACACTCATGCAGCGCCTGCTCCCCACCCAAATGGGGCAACGGGCACTGAGATGGCGTTGGTGGTAAATAGTAATGCAACTGTCTTCAGTACTTGTTACAAGTTGTGACATAGCGCACACTTGTGGGCTGCCCAAGATCCACTACCCTTCCGAGATGTGCTGTGCATCTCAAAAGAGTCCAGTAATTTTCCAGTATTGTCGTTCTCAGGTTGTATGCCGTGCCAACAATGGGTCGTTCCTTCTGATGTGTTCTTTTCCCATGTCCAGTGCCCGGCGCACCAATCAATGTGGAATTGTCCATGAACTTGCAGAATGAGGTGCGCGCGACGTGGAATCCTCCACCGAATCCGTACGGCATCTTGACTGGTTACCGGGTGAGTTATGATAGCTGAACTTTGCATGTAGAAGCAGCAGAGCATGTATGCGTACCCACACAAACACACACACACACACACACACACACACACACACACGCACACACACACATACATATGTGGTAGATTTGGTGTCACGTGTTTGTTTCGTCTTGGTCGCTGTGGACACGCGTCATTGGTTGGTGGTGTTGTGCGCATGCGCGAAACTGTGTGAGCTAGTCTTTGGTCTGTCGTCTTGTCAAGATGTAGTCGTTTTCCGTGTTCTTGTTTATTCGTCAATAAAAAGAGTGTAAAAAGGCAGTCCAGTGGTGGCGGTTGAGCTGATGCAGTGATGGAGAAGTAATGTTAGACGAACAACTACAACACATACACACACACACGCACACACACACACACACACACACACACACACACACACACACACACACACACACACACACACGTTGGAACTGGACTTTCTCTTCCTACTCCCAGCCCTGTCCCATCTCCACACTTAGAGAAGACGACGAGATAGTTCCATTTGAGACATCAGTTAATTACTACACGATGAAGGATACACAACTGGACACGACGAACTCAAGACAAAGACTACTTTTCACACCACGGTAACACACGCCTGCACCAACACCACAGACACCTGAAGTGCGCAAAATAACGTACTACAACACGCACACGCACACGGCTGTTCTCAGTTTTTTTTTAAATCTCTATCTACACTTCCATCTGTGGTCTTTTATTTTAACTTGGTGCCATGGTCAGCTGCTGCTATCTTGTTTTCTTCTGTGGCAGTGGACAGAGTGGGTAAGGGAGGGGGAGGGGGGGAGGGGGGGGGGGCGTTATAGGTGTGAAAGTACCCACTTGCCCAAAGTGTATTCCCTCTCCCTGGACAACTGGTAGCGTGTACTGTCCATGTCCTACGGCTGGCCCGCTATTTGAGGACTCTGTCTGAACTGACTCCCGTATCTATGCGCATCGTGACAAGTGTTCCCAAAGCCTTGCTATCTACATGTACGAGATGTGGTGACTATTGTCCCACTGACATCACATTAAACCTTGGTTTGGCCATCAGATTCACTGCCACTGACTTGCGCTTTCCTGTTGTTCACAGCTTGAGCTTGCTGGTGATTCGCGTCACACTGCCGCAACGAGCACAGAAAATGTCAGCGTGGACTTTGACGTCAACCAGTACAACTTCACGGATGTCGCAGCTGGCTTCGACTATACAGTCACTGTGCTGGCAGCAACCATCAAGGGGTATGGTGCTCCTTCTGCGGACACATTTGGCAGGACGGTTGCTGGCCGTAAGTCTGTCAGTCCACGCGCATGCACACACACACACACACACACACACACACACAACACACACACACACACAACACACACACACACACACACACACCTTTGACCTTGACCTTTGACCTCACACACACACACACACACACACACACACACACACACACACACACACATATACATACACACACACACATATACATACACACACACACATACACACACACACACACACACACACACACACACACACAACACATACACACAACACACACACACACAACACACAACACATACATACATACACACACACACACACACGTACACACAGTACAATGAAATTTAGCTTTGTAAATTCTTGAGCTGCTTTACGTGCGC